ACGATGTCACTCACGACATCAGCAGCTACTGCACTATGGACCGCGCTTAAAGATGACACGCACGATGGAGACGGAAAGTCGAGGCTGTCAAATCCTAGAGCAGAACAGCGTGACCTGTATACCCAATTCGTGATCAGCTTTGCGCTCGGCCTGGGGGCCTTCATAACTTTCTGCGTACGTTGTCGACGTCCCAGCAGAATGGTGATTGTTATTAACGTCTTACTGGCTGTAGATATTACGACCCAAATGGACCGAGCTGTATGCAGCGAGAAGACAACAACGATGCGCTGCTTCACGGCTACCGGAGTTACCGGACAGCTTTTTCGGATGGATCCCGGTCCTGCATCGCATAACAGACGAGGAAGTGCTTCATTCGGCTGGCCTTGACGCATATGTCGTGAGTCTGCTTGCTCTCCTCTTTTTCCTTGCGACCATCCGCATGACATTTCGCTAATATTTTGTTATGCCCAGTTTCTTTCCTTTTTCAAATTTGCCATTCGATTCCTGCTCGCCGTCTTTGCCTTCGCGGTAGCCATTATTCTTCCCATACATTACGCATACATCGGAGAATATGGAGTTCCCGGTTGGGACAACAACGACCCATCTGGCAACGACACGACAAGCGGAATAGGTCAATTTCTCAAAGGCAAAGAGAAGAACAAGACGGATTACTCCTACCTATGGATATACGTCATTTTCACCTACATCTTCAGTGGTTTGGCCGTGTACCTTCTGCTTCAGGAAACGAACAAAATCATTCGTACTCGACAAACCTATCTCGGCAGCCAAACCAGCACAACGGATCGTACTATCCGTCTGTCAGGCATTCCGCGTGACATGGCATCAGATGATAGTATCAAAGAATTCGTGGAGGGACTGAACGTGGGAAAAGTGCAGAATGTTACATTGTGCCGAAAGTGGCGTGAGTTGGATAATCTCATTGATGAAAGGACGAAGATTGTTCGAGAATTAGAACGGGCTTGGACGAAACATATGGGATACAAGCGCCCGCGGAATGACGGGAATACGCTGCCACTCACGCGCCAGCCACCATACGCTACACTTTCGAGTCTACCCTTGGAAGAAGACCATGAACATTCCCAGCTACTCCCAGAAAGCGAGCGCGAACACATTTCAGCATATAGCGAAGAGCGCCCGAAAGTACGTGTCTGGTATGGCCCGTTGAAGTTACGCTACCGATCGATTGATGCTATCGACTATCACGAGGAAAAGCTGCGAAAGATCGATGAGGAGATCCAGACTGCTAGGGAGACGGAGTATACCACCACCGAGATCGCCTTTGTCACAATGGAATCAATTGAGGCGTCTCAGACACTGGTCCAAACAATCCTGGACCCTCATCCGATGCAAATGTTTGCTCGACTCGCGCCGGCTCCGGCTGATGTTATCTGGAAGAACACCTATCTTTCTCGTACCCGCCGCATGGTCCAGTCATGGTCTATCACGCTCCTCATCGGGTTTCTAACAGTCTTCTGGTCTGTTCTCTTGCTGCCTATTGCAACTTTACTGGAACTAGAGACGCTCCACAAGATCGTCCCACAACTTGCAGAGTTTTTGGCGATGCACCCCCTCCTACAGTCGCTGGTCCAAACCGGTCTGCCAACTTTGGCCTTCTCCCTGTTAACTGTTGCCGTTCCATATTTATATGAATGTGAGTGTCTACTTACGCCGAAAGGATTCTTGGTGTGAATCGAAACTGACCAAGATCTAGGGCTCTCGAATCACCAAGGAATGATGTCGCGCGGAGATGTTGAACTTTCGATCATCTCGAAGAACTTCTTCTTCTCTTTCTTCAACATGTTCCTGCTCTTTACGGTGTTTGGAACAGCAAGTGGATTTTACGGCTTTTGGGAAAACCTGCGGGATGCCTTCAAGGATACCACAACTGTAGCACTTGCCCTTGCCAATTCTCTGGAAGGCTTGGCGCCATTCTACATCAACCTATTGATTCTACAGGGTCTTGGCTTATTCCCTTTCCGACTTTTGGAGTTTGGAAGCGTTGCCTTGTATCCGCTGCAGTTCCTTCGGGCCCGAACACCCCGAGAATTCGCAGAACTCTCCACGCCACCCAAGTTCAGCTATGGATTTTCCATCCCACAGACCATTCTGGTCTTAATCATCTGTGTTGTCTATAGCGTGTTCCCCAGTTCCTGGTTGATCTGCCTATTCGGCTTGGTCTACTTTTCCATCGGGCAGTTCATCTACAAGTACCAGCTTCTCTACGCCATGGACCATCAACAACACTCGACTGGTCGTGCCTGGCCAATGATCTGCAACCGAGTTTTTGTGGGACTTGTCGTATATCAGCTCGCCATGATCGGTGTCTTGGCACTACGCAAGGATATCACTCGCCCTCTGCTCCTTGTACCTCTCCTGGGCTTTACCGTCTGGTTCAGCTATTGGTTCGGACGGAATTATGAGCCACTCATGAAATTCATTGCTTTGAAGAGTATTGATCGCAACCTCCCTGGCGGCGGAGACATCTCTCCCTCGCCATCATCCACGCTTTCACCACCTTCGGGCTTAGACCGTGATACGGCACCTGTTCGCATAGGGGGTCGTGAACTAGAACTGCGACTGAAGAAATACGTCAACCCGAGTCTGATTGTGCCACTCCATGGTGCTTGGCTGCCAGGACACAATCCTGCACAAGGCAATGGAGCCTCCCTGTTCGAGGCTCACCAGACTCGGAATGACATCAGTCCATGATAGCCGATCAGCGGTTCTACTATCGACCAGTTTAATATTGACGCAAATGCCCGTTGTATTTCCCCTTTCTTTTCTTCCTTTGACTGTCCACGATGCTATACGACCTTGATACCTCTCCTCGCCTTCTTTTATCTTGTACTGGTTATCATCTATGTATACCCTTCCCGTCGTACTGTCCGTCTCTTTCCTTTGATTTCTGGTTTTAATCATCCGGCCACCGCGCCTAACTGTCCCTTACTGCACATCTGATCTATGCTACTAGTACACATCTCGGTTTTCAGACTCTTGCGAGCTTTACTCTGCGGTGTCAGGATTTCATTTTTTAAATTCCTGGCAAGCTTATTTTTTCCACTCTGGGATACAATTCTGTGCAGTTTGGCGAACGCCCGACTGGTGGGCATGGACATGCCACTGGTGGCTCTAGACTGTTCATAGTACTTTCCAGTGTTGCCTGACAGGTGGAATTTGACACATTGACCTCTTCGGTTATACATGGACACATTCTTCGTGTTTCAACTTACCCGTGTAAACGTGGCAGTGGCCATGTTGGGGCTGTGAGACTTGAGGCACAGTTCGTGTATCTTGCCCCCCGTCCAGCTGACTCTACAGGTGATCAGTCATGCCAAGGTGGATGAGGGGTGTGCATTTCCTTGAATTGGAGCTGCGGAAGGCTCGAGGCTGATGGCGATGCACCGGTACAGATGATAGGGCTGGAATGCGAAAGTACATACTAGTTACCTAGTGACTGGTTATTTACCTGCACTACATCTTTCAGGCTTTTTATTAGAGGTGAGGTTCTCATCAACATCATTCCTCCTTTATTCAAATCCATCGAGAGAATTCCGGATTTAGTGAGTTTGATTATCATAAGAGTGGGCCTGGGTACCAAGACAAGAAGCACCAAGCACTCCGTACTCCCCGCTCCGTGTCCAGGTATGAGGCTATTCTCAAAACGACTCGGCATAGTCAGCGGTGTAATCCGTACAGTCGTTAGTTACTCGAGCCGAAATCGTACTAGTAGTATGGATTGGGTGCTTCTGGAATCCGAGTCTCCAAGGGGGTCCACATGGCCCGCATGGGATCGAGGGTCAACATTCCGGAGGGCCTTGCAGTGACCATCGTAATATCCAAGTCAAGGGGCCGTATTATCGAACTTCAGTGTTGTGTTTATTCGAATCAGATCACTTTGAATAAGAACAGAACAAAACAAAGCAGAGACAGAGCAGAGACATGGTAGAGACCACGGAAGTTGAAAAGTGGTCTGGACAGTGCAGGAAGGTGTGCATCACTGCTGCATTCGGCATCGTCGCATTCTTCGCTTCTTCTTCCCTTTTCACCTTCCACTTCCACCTTCAATCTCAGAGTTACCAGGCACTTTTTTTTTCCTTTTTCTCTTTTTTATTGACTGCTCGCCTAAATCCGTTGCCTCGCTCATTCCCCACCCCGCTTTTCCGCCCGTCACCGTTGCGCAGCTCACTCTCACTCGTTCGAGCATGAGCATTGACATTGGCATTGGTACCCTCTCTCGCGGCTCAGCCATGAAACTATCTCCGATCAATTCTGGAACTGCTCCACTTTCTTCGGACTCCCTCAACGTGGCTCATGTCTTGGACTCGACGTCGGGACGATGGCGAAAGTTTGAGTGTATAGATTGGGCCTTCCCCCCCCTGGTCCTGCAGTAGAAAAACCCTTGCCTCCCCCAGCTGCCCGACTCTATCTATCAGATTCTTCGGCCACACTCTGCAGCTCTGGTTCAGGCTGTCCCAGGGACTCTTGTTGTGTCTTCCCCACCGCTTTCGCGTTCGGTGACACCATCCCATCTGAAGTCGAATACAACCTCGCAACCCGATTCCCACATATTTGCCCTCAAAGTCCGGGTGTCTCCCCCTCTCTCGCTCGCCATTTTCGTTGGAATACCACCATGAGATACTCCCGCCGATGAGATCGTGCCCAACCGATTAGATCTGTCGTTTTATGCTCCGCTAGCGAATAAAACGCTCGATGCGTCATTGAACCTTCTCCACATCTCGATCTGCCGTTTGGGGTGGAGCCCTACCGTTCCTCATTTTAGACTTACCTCACATTGCCGGCCGATCATCTGTACGCATCTGGAGTGGAATATCTCCTTACCACCCCGAGGAAAATTTCTTCGTGGCTTCGAGCTTTTGTTCGAATTTGGCTTTCCGGGTCAACTTTTGTTCATTGAATATCTCTTCAAAGCTAAAGACATTCACAACTTGTGGTGCGTGTTGAGTGGCCAGGGCTACTACATGGCTAGTAGTATGCCGGCTCTGAGGTCTCACGACAAACGCTCTCTGAAGCACCTGTCCGCAATTAGTGTTCTACAAGTTGAACAAGAACCTGCAATTAGGCCAAAGGCTGTCTTACAACCTCACCGCTTGATTACAGTGGCAAATGCCATCTCCTCCGACGATTCTGAAGTAAGGTTGGTGAAATCTACTCCGAATGGCGGCAAGTATCTCAATATCGCGAGTGGCTCATCGCCCCCGGCTGCGAATATTGCCCCGCCCGAGATTTTGCTCCAAATATTCTCCATGTTGACACCTCGGGATTTCGACAATGCTCGCCGTACATGTTCGCAATGGATGCGTGTGGGTATGCATCGAAACTTGCTGGAGACTATGCTGAAGCGAGCTGGGTGGTGGGATGCATATCAGCAGGATATTGAGAGTCAACGAACCCGACTCCCGCCATCAATTGAAGAAAGTGACATCTGGAAGATGAGCAGACGATTTGCAACTGAGTGTCTACTGGCTGGACGAAAATCAAACATCGAAGAGTCTGGCTTTATGGCCACACAAGTCATTGATTTCTCTGCGTTGGCGCAGGGCTTACCTTCCGCCAAAACCCGTCGTGTCCTCTCCAATACTCGCGACAAAGCAACGCGACAAACTTCATCTACCTTCAGTGTCAGTACTTGCAGCAACTATGTTCTGGTGACGACTGGCCGCAGGATACATGTCTTTCAACTTCTTGGAAGAAAGTCCAGTCTGTCTCAGTCTATAGACCTGGAAGACTCCAACCTGGTCCCAATCACCACCATCGAATGCGAGTTCGAAGTTCTCTCTGCAGTTCTAGATACCAGTACACCCAGATTCATCATCGCGGCGTTGTTGGAAAACCGCGTGGGAATGGTGTGTGACCTGGAGATATCATCCACTGACTCTGTATTCACTGCTGGCACAGTGAAGCAAAAAACCCACCAGGTATCAAAGAACAATCCCAGCTCGCAACATTACTACTACGATGTCTGCTCGGAAGACCACCCTCCCCGAACGATCGCGCTGTATCCCGGTCGCCGCTGCGTCGCATTTGGCTGTGCAGGCGGCATCGAGATTCATTGGGTGGACGAGACAACACAGCGAGATCAAAGACGACACTTTCCGATGTCCCAACCCTCCGAAACCCTTCACTTTCTCCCCAACACCTCGGGGAGCCCATCAGAAATGCGTCTTATATCCTCTCTGGCCGGACCCGGAATTCACGAGTGCGCATGTCGGCAATCGCCAAACCCAGACCATCCCAAGAAATGCCAGTTCCATATGATGTCAGGTACACAGTCTCTCGGTCGCAGAGCTCCGACCGATACGTTCGCTTTGAGCCTTGTTAGGGCTACACACTGCCACCACTATCGTGCGGTGCCTATCAACGATGGCTACCACATCATCTTCGTCGAGCCTCGCACCGGCTTCCTCTGCATTGGATCAGATGCTCCAATTGGCGGGCCAGCAAGTCTCACTCGAGCCTTCATTTGCGTCCCGCCTTTCGCTCAAGGAACTCCTACTGATTCAAACGACGCTCGCAGCCCCACGGTTTTCACAGTAGGCTCCGACTTGAATTGGGGCTTGCGTGTTGCAGCTGCTTACGGAGACCGCATTGTCCTATATTCAGTGCCCCTGGATGTATTCAATGTGATTCGAAAAGAGCGCGAGCGTCAAAGTGACGGGGTTATGGGCGATAGTGACCTAGCGCACAGTTGGTTTGTCGACCCGGAACGCTGTCGCAAACGCCGCGAGAGCCTGGTACAAAATCAGAATGGAGACTGGGAATTCCTCCTGAGTGTAAGATACCGTCCCACAGCAATGATGTGGCCTTTCAAGATATATGGAAAGGAAATTGGAAGAGTGGAGAACATAGTCGAGCTGGCACTGCAGTCTAGCAACGGAGGCGCACGCGTGTGGGCCTTTGGTGCGAATGGACGGTCCACCGTCTTCGACATTAATACATCTACGCCTGCGACTCATAACACGCAAAATGCTCCTCTGTGCAAATCCATCACAATCGCATCAGACGGGAGTCTTCAATCCGTTACGTCGGGCAACGAGCCTGAACCCCCCTCTCTCCGGTCATCTCGCAAACGCAAATCCACAGAATCCAAGGACGACTTCGTTGGTCGGTATGGCACAAGCCGCTTCGTGCCAAGCGGGGCTCCGGAAGGTGAGACTACCGATGTTGTCGTTCCTCCGGGGAAGCAAGATGGGAGCTCACCTGTCCGTCGTCCATCATTTGCTGCTTGTATTGTGGACTTCAAGATTCCGGAGCTTGGAATGAGAAATGGGCGATGGAGAGATGTCCTTGACTTATCTTGACTGGGGTGCGTTACCAGTACTACTTCAAGTTCTACGAGTTTTGTATAAGCGTGAACTGGCTATAGTAGATTGCATATAAACAACCGATCAAGCGTACTTAGATGAATATACAATATTTTAAATTCGATTCCAGGGCTTCAACTTTACTAGAAACAGGAACGGCATATTCGCCTGAGATCTCGGCTAGCTTCAATAACCGTGGAGCACTCAAGCTAGTACCAGCCTGAGTAGTTCCTAGGTACAGTAGTACTAGGTAGTACTGTTTCTGAGAGGGTACCAGGACTCGGAAACTACCTGCCAGTCGGTAGAAACCTCTTGGTATAGACACCGCAGAGATGTTACTCATGGAAATGATAGAATCATATCTAATGTTCATTGGGTTCAGATCCAAGCAACTAGTGCAAAAATGGGGTATCAACTATCCAGTGTCCGCTCGCCATCTCCAAACACATTCTTGAAAAAATAATCATAACTCTTCCACATAGTCGCAAATACCAAATTCAACAAAGACAGCAGCCACGACGGACTGCGGCCATCAGGACCCGCAAGCTTCTTGCAGAGCGCGAAGAGAGCGAGAATAATGGGGCCGAACAAGAGCAGGATAAGCACTTTCCCGACCTTTTGTCGGAACGTTGTAATCTGATAAGAATGGAACCCGGCAAGATATTCTTGATAAGATACTGGAAGATTATGTTCCCTCGCACCCGTGGTGATTAGATCGAGGTAGCGAGCAGAAGGCTGAGCGTGATTAAGATTGGGACGCATATGTCGGCCGATTGTTAATAGCGAGGGCTTGGAGCACGAGGCTGGTGGCACTAGCGCACTGCCGCTCTCATCCTCCTCGTTTTGGGGCGAGAGGAGAGTATGCGCTTTGAAAGAAGGAGTTTCTGGATGACTAGGTACGGGGTCGGTAGACCTGTAGTCATCGGGGAAAGCGTGACAATCCACCACGATATCCCGGTAACCGCCGCCGCCTCCCTCCGTAGCAATGATTTTTGCGTAGTCGGATAGAGTTACCTCGTAAACCACTCCGACTAGTGGTTTATTCCAGCGATGGGCGTGAGAGCCCGTTGGAAGCTCTCTCGTTTCACGTACAAGCGGTGTCTTTTCTGGCAGGTATTCTCCGTCCACACTGGACACTGAGTCATATTCGGAGTCATCTTCTTGATCTTGCAAAGAGTCGGGATCCCGGAATTGTGTGGCTGCGAAACAGGGTTCAGCGTACGGAACACCCGGGAGATTAAACAATAACCGCAGGCTCGGTACAAGAACGATTATTTGCGAGAGCGGTTTAATGCCACGCTTGCCGAGAAAGGTTTTGGCCGCTAGGTTGGATCCGTAGGCCAGGTAGAAGACCGACTCTTTTGTTCCTTCTGTCCCCGTCCTCAGAGATTGCCCTTTTTGGAGATTTTTGGCGATTTTCTCACACAAGTGTTCATCGCGATCGAGCGATCCATCCAGACTGGAAGCGCGACGACGCTGTTTGGAGGTGGTTGGAGGAATATTGGAATCGATCTCTGCAGATTGAGGAAAGACCACGGGGGGAAGGTTTTGCAACTGGTTCAGAGGCTCCATAGCATTGAACCGGTACTGAACAGGCGAGTCCGTCTCTTCATGGGAAATATGGGGGGTGATATCTCGAACCATTATGACGAAGAACAAACAGAGTCGGTGTGACCAAGAGACAGAGCTGCAGGTTAGTTAGCGAGACAGGTTAGTCATAGGCCAGCTTCTTTATACGTTGACATCAGGCGCCCTGAATTGGACAGATCGGTGCATCTTTCCCACCGCTACCCTAAGGGTAACCAACCAGGGGCATTGATAAGCCAGACGATTGCGATTAATAATCGCGGCAGAGTCGGGACCGGCTTGAAAAGGTTCCGGTTCCCCGCTGAGGGTCAAGGACAGGAAGCTTCCAGAGCTTCATCCGAAGGATTGGCAACAGCTGAATGGCGGCATTAGAAAGGGTGGATCACCGAGTCCGTGGTCAGTGCATCTGACTGATCTGAGAGAGCGATCGCCTGGGCGAAAATTCTAGGCCGCCGTCTGAAGGTTGGGCCTTGGAGTGAACGAGTGTCCGAGGAAGGATTGTGGGGAATGAAGATCAGAAGGGATGGAAGTTGTACATAATGTTATAGCAAAGAGCATCGAAGAATTGAAGAGAAGAAAAGAAAAGAAGAAATGGAAAGCGCGTAGAAGGAATGCGCCTCGAAAGGCAGGTGCGACTGGTGCTCATCATGTGATTCAGGTTCAATCTCGCCAACTCAAACAACTCAGCAAACCATTGGCATTGGGAAACCCCATAAGCAGCACTGATCATTCTATTCATCGCTTCTTTTTCATGCTTGAAGCTGTCAAATGACTATGGTCCCAGTTGAGGCATGTTGAATCGAACGTGTGGAGACCACATTGGCCCGAACGCTGGGTCCACACTCAACTCCATTGAGGTACAATTGAAAGCTCTCAGATACAACCATGAAGCGTCGCCGGGTGTCCGCGGCATTCGTCGAGCTAGACCCCGCAGAGCTGATCCGGGCAAAGGATGAAGAAACAAGCCTATCTGAGCCCAGAGTGCTCGCCTCGTCTCGACATCGGATTCGCCGTTCTCCCAGGATCGCAGGGGCAACGGCCGAAGTAAAGATCACGTCGGGCAAAAAGTCAAGCAAAAGTGGACAATGCAAGACCGACAGTGGTCAGCACCCGAGCTTTAATACTCATCAACCGGATGATTCGTCACACTTGACTGATATCGCGCCTAAGCCTCGTGACATGGAGCACGCCATGTCCACGACGAGCCACACCACTGAGACGTGCGGCGACACATCATTGGCGATTAGCAATCTGGTGGCTAAAGAGGATAAGCGACCCCCAGCTGCAGAATATAAATCGTTATCGGATTTGAAATCACAGCCCCCACGGCGAACGATGGTTACCCGTTCTATCTCAGCAACCAGTAACCCACAGGATGATCCACCACAAACTAACCAATCTGAGGTCGTTTCTACCACGAACTTGACCAGTGCTCCACCTCTGCTTGAAGCTCTAGCTATAGAGCCAGAGTCTACTAGGCCGAGCATGCAAGGACGTTTTTTCCCCTCCCGGCAAAGACGCTCTACTCGCAGGACTCGCACGTTGCGGACAAAAGCAGATGTAGACTGCAATGAGGCTAATGAAGACTATGTGGACAGGAGTGAAAAATCAATTTCTTCAGCCGATTCCGAACATGAAAATCCACCAGTCCGAAAAGGCAAACGCCGACGAAGAGTCTCCAAGCCCCAGACGGCGTCGGCAACTCGCAGGACATATGCCAGCAGCAAAGCCAGGAAATCCAAAGACTCCGGCCATGCAATCAATCAGTTACCACTAACCGCCAACCCTATGGGCATTGGTCTCCAGGCTGAACCTCTGGATCTCGGTACAGCGCGACGCTTAATTGAAGTCGAATCAAACCCTACAGACGTGACTGATGGCACGGATATTCCTGACACCACTCTTCCTTTCATTGAAAAGCAGCAGCCGGGTAGAATCGAAATAATTACTAACCAGCAGACGCTTGTCAATACACCAGGCTGCTCACCACCCGCCCTTGATCAGGTCGTACCCGATGCTGATTCCGAAAGACCCGGCGAGCAACAGTCTTTGACGCGGGATGCTCACGGAAGAGGGATGGCAGTCGGGAAAAAACTGGCCGATGCTTTTAAGGTATCAAAGAGGGTTGCTTGCAATCGCCATTCTCACTCCTCTCGAATGTCTGGAATGGCCCCAAGCAGCCCAAATTCACGCAGTACTACCGCTCCACAAAAGCCCTCCACTCGTATCTCACGCGCTCAGCTTTTACTGGGATCGAAAATAGGAGAAGAGCAAGTGAAAAACACTTCTCCAAATGCATACGGGGGGCTGACGGGATCTAAAACTTCCCGATTGGTTTTAGACGCGGAGATGCGTTCTGAGAAGACGGAGGCCCTTGAAGATATAGCCGACACGGCAAACCTCCGGCCACTCCAAACTCGAGAGCGTTCGAAGGCCATGGAGTCAACAGGACATGAAACCGGACGAGATGGAGCAATCGAATGTGACGAGATACCTGAAGATGACCCGCAATTGTGCCGTCTATCAGATTCTCCGGCTGACAAGCCTGATAAGCCGCTCGAGGATGATCGCAAAGAACCAAATCCCCTGAGCTTTGAAGGTGAGACAGTTGTCTCATCACAGATCTCGGTTGTATCAGAAGATCAACATCTCAAGGCGTCATTTCGCCCGGGCAGTAGAAATGAACAGTCCCCGGACTCCCAGCAGCCATTGCTAGCAGCTCGATCTCGGACATCCGTGCCGCCGTCTACACGACGAGGCTGCGCTGTTGACCACAATGGAAGCCCCAGGCTGAAGCCCCAGGCAGCCACAAGCACCGGTCAGATTCAATCTCATTTGGAAATGGGCCGGATCCGGTCTATGGTTGGAATAAGCGATTCGAGCTCTATCTACTCATACTCGAGTTACGAGAGTCTTGAAGAGTACCTAAATGAATACCTACCCGAGCACCAGCCTGAGCACCAGCCTGTTGCCCGACCAATCTGGAGCAAATTCCAGCGTGACATGTTTAAAGAATATGGCATAGAAGCAGAAGACCTAATCAAACAGAAGTCGAGGCCATCCTTATTTTCTGGAAAAGCCGAAAATGAGGTCAACGCGAAAACTCTCGAGGACAGCCAAAAATTGGAAAGTCGGCCAGTGGAATTCCCGGCTCACATGAACAGGACTAACCCCGGCGAAAATTCACCCGGGAGACCGCGAAGTGGTTCACAGCGAACCATCGATAGCCCTGGTCAATTGTCGGACCAAAGGATAGATGCAACAGCGCAATGTGATACTGAGAATGTGGAATGGATCTCAGCCCTCAAGACTGCACAACAAACTGCACATGACCGGTTACTTGAGACAAATCAGGTAAGTCCGATCTACTGAGATATATGCTAGTACATTATTAAATGTATGACAGCACTTGTCGACTCAATTGGCCACTGAGCAAGAAAGCATTCGGGAGGTGCTACAGATCTATCGGCAAGGGTGCAATCTCATGTTACAGGAACTCTTCCGAGCACAAGAAGTACGAATGGATCTTTACCAGAAGCAGATGGCATCGGTCAAGGAGCAGCACACAGAGATCTGCCAGGATCTAATTCGGGGCTTGCAGGAACTGGACTGTCGGGTGCAGCAGAGATCGGAGAGCCGAGGTGCTTGGCTACCCCGTATTCCCTAGGCTCTAAGGGGCTTGGGCCGGGGTCTAGCGGTTGTACTAGCGCCTGTGAGGCCTGGAGGGCTCCTACAAGCAGCTACCAGGAGCTACCAGCACTCTACTTATTTTTTACTCCGCAGTTGTTAACACGCCCGCGGTGATTGGGGACTGGCGCCGCTCACCGAGGATCACGTGGAATTGACTCATTCCTCCCTTCCTCTTTTTCTTATTTCATAGCTGCTGCTGCATCAATTTTTTTTTGGTTCTTGGATACAATTCCTCAATAACCTTCAATCAATTACTCTTCAATTCATTTTCGTATTCTCCCCCATTCCACACCCCGCCTCAAACCCCCATTCTTTACCAATTGCCTCGCCCCGCCATGTCGGTTAGTTGACCCCCCCATGAAATCATCGATTGCCCCGCCAAACACAACTGACGCTCAATGGCTTAGTTCTTCATTGAAAACCCCAATGTGGGCAACCACAGCCACTTGGAAGACTCTCGCAGTACGTCCGACCTTGTTTCCCCCGATCTATCTGCTCTAACCATCCTCTGCAGTTGTTGGCTACAACCCTCTCACCCCGCCTAACCTCCTTCAACATGAGATCGCCTTGACCGATAAATCTCGGGAAACAGTTCTCAATGGACGTACTGAGGCTGTGGCGATTGTTCATGGCACCGACAAGGAGAGGCAGCGCCTCATGGTAGTCATCGGACCCTGCTCGATCCACGACCCCGATATGGCCCTCGAGTACTGCGATCGTCTGATGAAGCTGAAGGAGAAGTACGCCGATGACCTGTTGATTGTCATGCGCTCGTACCTGGAGAAGCCCCGTACCACTGTCGGCTGGAAGGGTCTGATCAACGATCCCGATATCGACAACAGCTTCAAGATCAACAAGGGTCTGCGCACCTCCCGCCAGCTCTTCGTTGATCTGACCAACAAGGGCATGCCCATCGCCAGTGAGATGCTTGACACCATCTCCCCCCAGTTCTTGGCCGATTGTCTTTCTGTCGGTGCTGTCGGCGCCCGAACCACCGAGTCCCAGGTTCACCGTGAGCTGTCCTCCGGTCTGTCCTTCCCCGTTGGTTTCAAGAACGGCACCGATGGTTCGCTCGATGTTGCTGTTGATGCCATCGGTTCCGTCAAGTCCCCCCCATCACTTCCTATCCGTGACTAAGCCCGGTGTTGTCTCCATTGTCGGCACTGTCGGCAACCCCGACTGCTTCGTCATCCTGCGCGGCGGCAAGAAGGGCCCCAACTACAATGCCGCCAGCATCAGTGAGGCCAAGGCTAAGCTCGAGGCCAAGGGCATGACTCCCCGTCTGATGGTCGACTGCAGCCACGGCAACTCTGAGAAGAACCACAAGAACCAACCCAAGGTTGCTGCTGTTCTTAGCGAGCAAATTTCCGCCGGCGAGTCTGCTATCATGGGTGTTATGATCGAGAGTAACATCAACGAAGGTAAATATCGATGCTCCCCTCAGTTCACTCATTCCTCGTGGTCGTTGTTTACTAACTGTCTCCCTTATAGGCAACCAGAAGGTCCCTGCCGAGGGCAAGGCCGGCCTCAAGTACGGTGTCAGTATCACAGATGCCTGCATTGGCTGGGAAGACACCGAGACCACGCTCGAGACGCTCGCTCAAGCCGTACGCGCGCGGAGACAGAAGTTGAATGGCGCCAACTAAGCCCGTCAATTTGTGATTTCTGTCTTTCGCCTTTTAGCCTTCTAATGACACATGGATGTAATTATGGGGCATTTTCGAGCGTTTCCTGCCGGATTTGGAAAAGTTATGGTTCTATCTTGTCGAAATATCAAAATATTTTTTCTTCACTATCGCGGTCATCCGGTAATTCCTACTACTAGCCAGTACCTACTACTGTTCCCTCAGTAGTCGAAGTCCTCAAACCACACGCTCGGAACTTGGGAATGAGTCCGAGTTATTATATATACTAGTACTAGTATTTCAAATTTTCATCATGCTCAGTTAGGGTTGAGCAACTCAGAACATGCTACTAAAACGAGTATCTGCTTAAATCAAATTTCAAATTTACTTAAATTTTTAGCTACCTGGCCCCTCGGATCTAAACAATAGTACTAAGAAGTAGGTGATGGTCAATCATGCTCGTTCCTCGGAACAACTTGAACCTCCAAGGCTTAGACTCATTGCTCTGCCAAATTTCAATCTGGTCTACACAAGACCCAAAGGCCAGTACATACCGAGTAGTAAACATTCACAAAAGAAATTAGATTCAGTCGACTCCTCGAGCACACAGTTTTTGGAAAGGCAAAGGAAAAGAGAATATATCTCGGATACAGATACAGGTGATTCCGGGGAGTTCTAACAAAACAAGGGCAAGCGACCCTGGAGACAAAAAAACAAATGATGACAGAGATCTTTCCGCGGTGAGAAGACCGACGGGGCAATAGTACAGGGGAATGCCCAATGGGCCGCTCAACCTCGTGGATACCTCCCATTTCCCAAACTCATACAGGCCATTTGGCCATCATGTTTAGCGGCGGGGTCCAATCGGGGGGCTGTACACGATCTTTCTGGACTTGATGGGGGCCCACTTGTAGCGCTTGACCCAGACGCTAATGGCGAACAGACCGGACAGGACAGCGATGGCCTTGACACCCATCTTCTTGCGGTCGTCCATCTCGGGCTCGGCGGCCCAGTTGAGGAACTCAACAACATCCTTGGCCATCTGGGAGGTAGTGGCAGGGGTACCATCCTCGTACTCAACAACACCATCGAACAGGACACGGCCCATGGCGATACCTAGAAATTGGATTAGAAGTGTACATTTTGCAATTGAAGCAAGAGCTATCACATACCGGTACCAGGGAAGTAAGGGTTGAAGTTCATGCCCTCGGCGACGGCAGCACCGGCGGGAGCCTCATCGGGGTAACCGGTCAGAAGGTTGAAGATGTAGTCGCAGCCACCGTGACGGCCCTTGACGATCAAGCTCAGATCAGGGGGCAGAGCACCAGCGTTGGCGGCACGGGCAGCCTCGTCGTTCTTGTAAGGAGCGGGAATATAATCGGAAAGCTTTCCGGGGCGCTTCTCGATGTCACCCTCGTTGTTGGGCTCGGTATCGTACTCGTTCTCCTCGGCCATGGCCTTCATCTCATCGACGGTGTGCATGACACCAACGAACGAACGCCATGGGACACGGGTCAGGGAGTGACAGCTGGCGCAGACCTCACGGTAAACCTGGAAACCACGGCGAAGGCTGAAATGATGAAAATGTTAGTGTTTGTGCCCTGGTGAGATGGCCTAATCGGGTAAGGCTAAAAAAACACTCACGCGGCGTGGTCGAAGGTCTTGTTGAAGCGCTGGTGAACCCAGGGGTACTGGGTAGGGTGAAGGCTAAGAGTAAGAATTACCAGTTAGTTTGACTTTCATTTATGATCCCGATCACACAATTCTCGGCTCGGCATAGCGGAGCCGGGAGACATTGGGATTGAAACCCCCCAATTCCCTGGGAAATCAAGTACTCACCCCTCCTCAGCAGGTGTAGAGGCGAAAGCCTCCTGGCCATAGAGATGGTAGTACCAGGCGGCGGAACCGGCAGCCGCGGCGGTTGCGAGCGAGGCAGTGAGGGTGAGGTGGAAGGGGGAGCTGGCGGATTCGGCGCCGGCGGCGGTGGAAGAGGCACGCTGTCGATTGAGTCAGTTAGTCAAGCCTTTCGGACTCAAACAGAGCATTGCGAATCGATTGCCCTTGTTGACCGAGGTCAATGGGTTGATCAGGTTGGTGAGAGCGTACCGTGGACTTGCCGAGTGACTGGCGTGCGATGGCCCGGTTGGGCACGCGCAGAAGGGAACGTGCCAGCATGACGAATTCGAATCCTCCGATCGACAAGCGATGGAAAGGAATCAAAAAGAAAAGTGAGAGGAGGGGAGGGGAGGGGGGAGGGGCGGGTACGTGGTGCACAAGGAGAAGTCGAGAGATGAGGTCGAAGGTCAAGTTTCTCGCTGGGGGCAGTGGGAGCGTAAAACCCTCACGCTGATTGGCCGAGGAGCTGCCGTCGGTGAAAACCGCGAATTCTTCGGGTGATGCTTTACTTCTTCTTCAACACTTTCCTGCAAATGGTTTCAATTTTGATGCTAATGAAAATACTTGATAAATTCTGCCCATTCCAATTTCCCCCCTCCTTTTTCCCATTGAGCTATCCGTTGACCTTGTCTTCTCATTGTTGGTCGTCTCTTCCCGATCCGTTCCGAAAAGGTCAGGTCACGTGCAACCCGTGACATTTCGTCAACATCAAATACGTAGTAACTCCTCATCACGCTGGTGGTAGCCTCGAGCTGATACAACAGGCACCTGATAATTAATATTTAGCTGAATTCGATGCAGAGACAGCCATCGATCATTTTCTTAGCACACACTATCCTTTCGTTCTTCCCATCTGCTGCCTCTGCCGCCCCCCCCCCGGCTAACAACCGCACCGCAATGCTCTCACTCGTGCCGTCAAATGGAAACTTACGCTTCGCCCAATTTACTTCTGTCCGACGAGCGGACCGACAAGAAGAAATACTACAATTCGCCCCTCACCCAAGCCAAAGAGCCATAAAGTCAATTCCGTTCAATATATCCGCGAAGGAAACTACAAGTCTATCGGTCTTGATGAAGCCGGGCATGTGAATGGCCTTTCTAAAGCTGCCATGTTGATGATGTGCCTCTTGTACGCCTTAGATATTGGACGTCCTTCGAGCTACCAGTGGAAGATACAGCTGGACTGCCTGGAAGAGGGATATGCGGCAGAGACGCCGCATGGCTACACCTGCAGCGCTCTTATGCGGAAAGAAAGCTAACTTACAACTGCGAACCAATCGGAGATCGCTCCTCTGTGACCACTGGCTTTCTAATACTCCGAACTATGTATTCAGCATCACCGGGTGAAACTGAAGAAAGAAATATCCCTGACGATGCTGTAGGCAACAACCCTGACCAAAACGGATCACAATAATATACGACATCTCAAGTAGCTATACTCACAAACATGGACGTCAACCGAATCAAACAGAACGTAATCCATCTTTATTCTCACTCGAAGTGATCTCGGTGGGATCAGCACAGCCACTGAAATGAGTTGTGATAGTATTCATTGTCTGCTTCTACGCCAACGCAAAAGATAGGATGCTGGGGAATGGCAGCAAGGCGCGCTACTCCACTAGAGATGTTTTGTCAAGATGCCGATAATTCGGTCTTTAATTCATTGGTGCTTTCAAATTACTCCACAGTGGGCCATAATGCTGTGGATGAAGAGTGCCTTCCAGTAAATATGGTACCGTCAAGGGCCAGACAAAACATTCAAGTTGTTCAATCTGATCTATCAATTATTTTGAGAAAGCGCACCAAACCAGAATATAGTATCATATCAGTGAGTACTGTCAACTCACTGTGGGGATGTATTTCAGGTTCTCGCAGAGGCAGTGTACTGATCTACAGTACGTAAAGTAGTGCTGTGGTTGCTCAAGTTCTGAAAGCCCGGAGTGGAGAGCTGAGACCAACTATACATAGAAACGGCTCTCCGAGTCCCCGAGGGTCGCTTTTTTTTATGACTACGACTGGGAAACTAAACCTACCGACAATCGATAATTAATTTGCCAATATTCGTAGACCTTTCTATTTTGTCTCCCTTCTCAGAGTATCGTTGCAGTAGTTTGAAAACCTCTTGGAATTCGCTGACTGATACGCAGTACTTCGTATAATTAGCCGAGTGAGGAACACTATATTTAAAAACCTTCAGCTCTGCCCAGATATGGGGGTAGTTGACTCCGAATTTGGTTATATGGGGGATCTACTACTAGTCAGTAGTTTACCAATCTATCCGGTGAAAATATTGACTCTGCGTCTCGCGCTTTCGATTTGCCCGAGGGCCGACATTGAGGCGATTGATGAGTCACTTAAGGCCGGGCTCAACAGCCATAATGAACATGCCTCCTGAGCTATGCATAATTCTTAACTATTTATTAGATGACTCAGAAACCACCATTTGAGTGACGAAAACAATTCTGCTCCTTCTGTCAACCCTTTGTGAGGCAGCATCGTACGTTCAACTTGAAGTTGCTGCCATTGGAACGCAACAGAATGTCCAGAGTCATGCGGCATGCCATATATGGTAGACTTGGTCAATTAAAACCCCCCCAAAACGGCGTACCACTTGAAAAAGCATATCTCGCCAATCTCAACTGCAGCCTTCGTGGATCCCTCGCCAGACCCCAGCATTCTGCCTCGGAGTGAAGATGATTACACCCACCGGAGCTTTCTTCCCAGACAATCTTCAAATCGCAAAAATGCTATTCAGTCAAAACTTGTCGCAGACTCGGATACATCGTGAGTCAAGACTGTTTTATACCAGTGGTATGCAGATTGGTAACTAATCTAGGTTTTGTGCAGATTTACAGGAAAGACCGGGGGCCAAATATTTCATGAAATGATGGTCCGACACGACGTTCGCCATATCTGTATGTATCATACTCTACTTTGAAGGTGGTTAATTTTTGACTAACAATGATACTCTGTACATAGTCGGTTATCCTGGCGGCTGTATACTTCCAGTCTTCGACGCGATTCATGAATCAAAACATTTTGATTTCATCCTCCCCCGACACGAACAAGGTGGCGGCCATATGGCTCAGGGATACGCTCGAGTAACCGGCAAGCCTGGGGTGGTGCTAGTCACATCTGGACCAGGTGCGACAAATCTCATCACACCGATGATGGATGCACTGGCTGATGGTACCCCCATGGTTGTGTTTTGTGGGCAGGTTAGCACCACTGCAATTGGCACGGATGGCTTTCAAGAAGCAGACGTTCTATCAATGTCGCAACCCTGTACAAAATGGAATGTAAGCGTGCGCAAAACGGCAGATCTACCGAAGAGGATTGATGAGGCCTTTGAAATTTCTATGAGTGGTCGACCGGGACCAGTTCTGGTAGAGCTTCCAAAAGATGTTACTGCGGGTGTGCTCTCTACAAACCCCACCACTGTGTTGTCTGGTCGCCCCAAAGACGATTCAATTGCAACAATGGCTATAGGAGATGCTCAGCGCCAGCAGCTTCTTCAGTCAATTGAAACGGCTGCAAAGCTAATCAACACGGCCAAAAGGCCTGTTCTCTATGCTGGGCAAGGCTTACTTGCAACTTCTGAGGGACCTCAACTTTTGAAGGAGCTTGCCGACAAATCGTCAATACCTGTGACAACCAGCCTTCAAGGTCTAGGAGCTTTTGATGAAATGGACCCCAAGGCCTTGCATATGCTAGGTCTTCACGGCTCTGGATATGCAAATATGGCTATCCAAAAATCGGATTTGATTATCGCACTAGGTGCAAGATTTGACGACCGAATGACTGGAAACATTCCAAAATTTGCACCGGAGGCAAGATTAGCCGCTAACCAGGGCCGCGGCGGGATCATTCATTTTGATATCTCCCCAAAGAATATAAACAAAGTGGTGGAGGCTACAGTCCCTGTTATTGGTGATTGTGCAGAGAGTCTCCGGCTCCTTCTACCTAGCGTCCAGCGGGTACAACGCCCTGAGTGGTTATCACAAATCCAGTCTTGGAAAAAACAGTATCCCTTCCAAGCAATCAATCGAAGTGGTCGAGACGATATGATTTTACCACAGCATTTCATCGAACGGCTTAGTAAAGCCGTTGATCCCATCAAAGAGCGCACAATAATTACTACTGGTGTCGGTCAACACCAAATGTGGGCTGCTCAACATTTTCGATGGAGATACCCCAGAACAATGATTACTTCTGGGGGACTTGGAACGATGGGATATGGTCTGCCTGCAGCGATTGGAGCAAAAGTCGCCCGTCCAGAGGCCCTTGTGATTGACATTGATGGAGACGCATCCTTCAATATGACAATTAGCGAATTGCTAACGGCGAGCCAATTTGGAATTGATGTCAAAGTTGTTCTTCTGAACAATGAAGAGCAAGGCATGGTTACGCATTTACAAACGATCTATTACAACAACCGGTTCTGTCACAGTCAAAACCTTAACCCAGAATTTGTGGAAGCTGCTAAAGCTATGGGTGTTCAAGCTCAGAGTTGCTCTAAGAAGGAAGACGTCGACGATAAATTGGATTGGCTGCTGAAAACTCGCGGGCCCGCACTCTTAGAAGTCAAAGTTGCTCAAAAGGCGCTGTCCCTGCCAATGGTGCCAGGGGGGCGTGGCCTTGATGAGTTCCAATACTACAGTTAGGTAGTATTTAGCTCGGTCATAATTAGTGAGAGATTGAAACGCCGACCTTGTCCAAATAATTAAATGAGACCGAGATACCAGCTCGAGTGTTCAAAAAAGCTTCAGCTTAAAACCAGAAAATCAACCATTTTACCTGTTGTCCAATTCAGTTCTTTGTGATCAGTCATGGCGTTTGAATCATTCATAGTGCATTGTAGCAGAAGCCCGACGGGTGGCGGACAGACTCGGCGACCACAAATCGGCGTTCCTCACTGCCGGCCTTTGCAATTTTTTTTTATTTGATTCGGGATCCGTCACCATAAAAGACTTTTTTCTCACTCGGCCGGTAGCCAATTGTTTCTGTTTCTTAAAAGAAAAATGATGCCGCGGAATTTTCTGTGACTATTTTTCACTTTCCATCCCTAGGTCAACGTCAAGACAGAACATCATAAAGTGAACAATGGGACAAGAAACATGCACGAATGGAAGAGCTGGGCCTCCAGAGTCGAAAGATAATACTGGATGGCGCCGAGTCGTTCGCAATTTTACGCCTGCGTGAGTTCTCCTTATTTAGATTACCATGGACCTTGGGCTGATCAGCCATAATAGATGGTTTTCAGTAAATATGGGAACCGGAATCGTTTCTATTTTACTAAATACAATGCCATACAATGGAACATGGCTATACCACTTATCTCTTGTCGTTTTTGCTCTTAACGTGGCGTTGTTCGTCGTGATTCTAGCCATCACTCTCCTACGCTACATCCTATACCCAGAGATCTTCGGAGTCATGGTCACCCATCCGGTGCAGTCACTCTTTCTTGGAACATTCCCCATGGGCCTCGCTACCATCATAAACATGTTTTGTTTGGTGTGTGTACCTGCATGGGGTGATAAAGCTGCCTATTTCATCTGGGCGATCTGGATATTCGATGCAGTTGTGTCTGTGGTCGTGGCCATAGGTATACCCTTTATTCTGTATGGCCCCCCTAACACCTACAACATGTTACTAAGCTAATGATCTCCCTATGACAGGACGACTCGTCAAAACGGCCTTGATCTTTCTTCAATGACTGCTGCTTGGTTACTCCCAATTGTCTCATGTGTCGTCGCAGCAGCCTCGGGAGCCATTGTCGCGGACGTTCTTCCTAAACCAGAACTCGCCCTGGCAACCATCCTTGCAGGTTATATTTTGTGGGGAATAGGAATTCCATTGGCATTGATGGTCATCTGCATATATCTGCAACGCTTAATGTTCTTCAAATTACCTCCAAAGGCAATGCTTGTGAGCGTTTTCCTCCCACTTGGACCACTTGGTCAAGGTGGCTATGGGTGAGTGAAAAACATCATGCGCAATTAATTGAAGCGTTGGCTAATTACTTGATTAACTTTATTCACAAAAAGTATTCAAAAACTCGGCCAAAGTGCACAGAGAATATTTCCGCAGACCGAAACCCTGAGTTCTTCCGCTGGGGAAGTCTTCTATGCCGTTGGTCTCCTATTGGGTCTTCTGTTGTGGGCATTTGGCCTGGTCTGGCTTACATTTGCGGTTGTGACCCTGTTGAAATCGAGGAAATTTCCGTTTAATATGGGCTGGTGGGCTTTAACTTTCCCTCTGGGTGTCTTCACTACTTGCACTTGTACAATCGGCCAGGATCTTACATCGCGCTTCTTTTCGGTGCTTGGAACGGTAAGTTAGACAACTCACATGAATTACACTCTACAGGATAGTAGGAGAAAATTCTGCTGACATGGGATATAAAAGATATTTTCAGTGATCGTCGTGATATTTTGGCTACTGGTAACTTACCACACCGGCCGTGGCATCGTCAAGGGCGACATCTTCGTCGCCCCTTGTCTGAAGGACCTCGGGCGACCGCAGACACCACCTAGCACCTCTGTTTAATTTTACTAGTACAATTGAAATTCAAGGATATTGTCACAATTATGCCGACATGGTCCAGAAATCTCTCTTTCAAGTTACACGTGGCCATCCATTTCGGCCATTTCAATCGCCGAATGACACTACGTAGTGGTTAGGTGGAGCCAAAAACTGTTAAGACGAGAATGAGTCGAAGAAAAGAATAGTCCAAAAAAGTGGGCTCTTAGAATTCAAGTAAGAAACAAATTTATCAAATCGAGTGGTAGAATCGATATTTTCCACTCTAATTGACCTGGGGGTGGGATTCGGCCTTTTTAGTCTGGTACTGAGCGGGTAAAGACACTCTCCGTCTCCATCGCCGTCTTCGCAGTGACCATGACGCCGAGATCAACCAAGCAGAGCGGGCTGGCGTCACTCGCATGCACCGAGTGTCGCAAACAGCACCTGAAATGTGATGCGCTCAAGCCTTCGTGCTCACGGTGCTTGCAGAACGGCGAATACTGCCAATATCTTCCCTCGCGGCGCGGGGGTCGCAGAAAAACCCGCGACGCCAATCGCCGGGCCCCTTCAAACCATCCGGATGAGTTGAATGTCAGTATGCTCCATGCCTCAGTTATGTTGATGAAATCCATACCAATCGGATACCATTACCAGGCCTCCCTTGTCCTACCGATCACTGCCCCCGAACAGCAACCCAATACCCCAGACAGCACGTCACCGCAACGAATCCCCGACAACACAGGCATCCCTGCTGGTCAGGTGTCTTGGTCTTTGATAACTCCAAGAAACCCACCAAGTCAAGAGCATTTACAATCATCTCACGATCCCTGGTTCTACGATGACCGTTTCCTGCGTCTTTTCTACGAGAATTTCCATGTCGCCCATCCTATTCTTGTTCCAAGTGCCGCTTATCATGATCGACAGTATCCGGAATTCCTCCAGCTGGTGGTGAATTTTGCTGGCTCTCACTATGCCTCCTCTAGTCCAACCCAACAGTACAAGGACAAGACCATTGCGGAACTGACCTGCAACCCAACGCGGTCTTCTTGCATGGTCCAGGCATGGTTGATCTATTCGATTACGATTTATGCCCGTGGCGAATGGCAAGAGGCGCAGAATGCATTCTCACACGGCGTTGAGCTTGCACTGGAGCTTGGTATGAACCGTCGCGAATTCGCCAACTCTATACAACCTGAGAATTCCATCGAAGCTGAAAGCATGCGACGCACCTGGTGGGAGCTATATATCACGGACATCCTCTTGGCTGCGCCTTTCAAAGGCAACACGTTTTTATGTAGCACCATGGCACCGGAGGTGGGCCTGCCCTGCGAGGAATTGGCATATACCGGCGCCTGCGAAATTCCGGCACCTCGAAAGATTTTAGACTTCAAGCGGAGGATATTTGCACCCGAAGAGACAGTATTCTCATCTTTCAGCTACCGTATCGAAGCAACAACGATTCTCTGCCGAGCTCTTGTGTTGAACAAGCTCCGCGACCATCATCGCGACCATCTTCAAGCTGTTGAAAATGCGCTTGTAAGCTGGGTCAACCACCTCCCCCCCAAAAAGCTGGATTTTGTCGATTCATATGGCAATATCGATGAGATGATGTTCCAGGCCCACATCACAATTTCATATGCGACTATGCTGTTGCATTTACCCCGAAGCGATCTCCAACCAGTCTTACCGCAGGCAGATGATCGTTTCTGGCCGCTTGCTGCACGCAGCCTGGCCTCGACACTCAATCGGCCTATCCACAGTATCAAAGCGACCGAGGCTTCCCGAAGAATATCAGATGCGATATCTCTTTGCCCGAATATAATCAAGCACACGCCCTTTGTCATCCCTGCGCTGGCGCTCTGCGGGATGACACAACTCGCTACCGCCATCAAACACACTGAAGAATGTTTTGACCATCATTATAATCGGGTCACCTTGGTTCTCGGTTGTCTTAAAAGTACAAAGCGAATCTGGAATCTTGCCGATGCTGCCTACACTCATCTACGCGTGTCCGCGGCGGACGGCTTGTCTGATTCGATGGAGCGATGGAGTACAGAACCACTCAGGAAGTTCTTTCCAATCGATTCAACACCAAGTAACACAGAGCGGAATCACCAACCAGCACGGCCAACATCGGCAATCTCGGAAGGTCAGGATATGCTGTTTCCACCGATTGTCCCTGCTTTCGTCGATCCGACCTGTTATAACGATTCCTTCTTCACATCTATCCCAGATTTTGATATCAGCTAGAGAGTGAAGGGGGTCTTGGTAAGGACACCATGTCCATGAAAATAGTAATTCAGGGCATTCGTATATACATTTTGATCCAGATTTTAGTCTCTCGCCATACTCCAGGAACCTGAAGTCGCGCAGTATAGTATCTAGGTAGTAGTCCTAGTCCTATGCCAGAGCCTTTCAGCAACCCTTTGAAACAGACAAGACAATATCTGCTGAATAGAAGACCCGGTTTTGGTCTAGCAATTCTCCTTTGCATTTGTCTACATAACCTGGTCGAAAATATGCATGAACTACCAAAGGCCCCTGTCGAGTCCTTATCGCTCGGCGATCCAAATGAGAATTGCAGTCCCACCTTGGCGCAGTGGGTCAATCGCCGACCGAAGGCCCAACGTCACAGGGTCATTCCGTCTCGGGGACTGCCACGCAATTGCGGAACCCCAGGGGATTTTTTATAAAGTCGTCTCATTCAACTTCAACCCCTTAATCCTTCGAATCAACCATCCCGAAGCATCTTTCCAAAATTTCGCATAATGCTGTCATCAACTTTGTCTACGACCATCCCGGTCGATAAGGGGTTCTCGCCCTCTTACCTTCATTTCAAGGAGCGATACAACCTCGAAGGGCTCGTGCAGGACGTCAAGAAACACCTGGGGGAGTCTGGTGGTATTTCTTCAGAAGAAGTCGACGAGAGTTATCTGATTTCTTTATTGAAGAAATATGTATCGGACCCCAGCGACTGGATCGACTACTTTTACAACGACACAAGCAAAAACTACACCCGAAATGCCATTGAAAACATAAACCAGAAGGCCAATATCGTAAGTCCTGCCCAGGTGGTCTTGCTATAAAAATTCTCGTGTACCGGAATTATCGCAGGTGCAAATGCTAAACGAACATAGCTTCTTCTCGTATGGAACCCGGGCAAGGGCTCCCCTATCCATGACCATGCCAATGCTCATTGCATCATGAAGGTTTTGGCTGGGCAATTAAACGAAACAGTTTACTATACCCCAGATCAGGAGTCTGGGGAAGAGAAGCCTCTTGAGATCAAATCTTCCAATACGTTCGGAATGAATGAGGTCACCTACATCTCAGACGATATCGGTCTTCATCGAGTCCACAACCCCAGCAGCAGCAACGTTGCTGTTTCTTTACATCGTGAGTACCGTACATCGCCGGGTAATCTATCCATCGCTAACCGCTTCCAAGTTTATACGCCACCAAATGCGGCAGATTATGGCTATAACATCTTCAATGAAGCAACCGGGTCTGCAAGCTTTGTTTCACAGGCTCACTCCATTTCCAAGGCCCAATAGGGCCCAAAATTGACCACCAGTGGTGAATTGCCGTGGCTGGACCGCGCTGTTTGAAGTTTCACACGTCATTTGCTTGAGATTGCCCATTATACCCGGTGTGACCACCTTCTTTGAGTCCCATTAGCTAGTGACGAGATTAGACGCATATCATCAAATACTTCCTTGACCTTCTACATATCAGATGATGCTGGAAATTCAAGCGAGTTAAATGAGGCCAGTGCTGCCCTTAGTAGTATACCCTCAGGAACATAATGACCTATCGTCAATACAGATTGATACGTGAATGGCCGTTGACCTCGACGAATAACTTGTCTTGGTCCATGTAAAGATTTAACATATCGATGAACTTTCGACACCGCTATTTGAAAGCCGTTTCTATGCGTTAGAAGCCGAAATAACGTCACATTTACGGCCGATTTTCCGATCGCCATGAAACAGGTCACGTCTAGGTCATGCAGTCGCCGACCCACTTCAATCGCCGAATCCTCACGTACATCCTGTGATACAATCACGTAGGCCTGTCTGGTAAATATTATTTAAATTATTGAAGTGAAGATCCCTGTTTGTGCACTCCCTACAGATTGAGATTTTTCCTCTCCTCGCCGTCGTAACAGTTGGGGTGATTGAAAACTTCCATCTGGAGAAAGAAACGTCAACTATTTGGCCACTTACTAAGACAAACGATTTGAAAGAACATTTTGCCATCCTATGATACCTCCATGGATCTCCTATCTGGGTCCAAAAGATAGAGAGCCCATGAAAAGCCCCTGACGAGTCTTTCTTTATGCAAGGGCTTGCTTATCAACGAGCTATATCATTCATGTGACATGTTCACTACATGATAACCACATTCTTCCCCATTCCCTGTCCAGATAGATATGACTGTCTCATCTTCTCTGCGTCCTCCATTTTCCATTCTTTGATATCCACATGAAGTTTGTTTTGGTGAAAGATACTCACTAATTCTTGAGCCGCAGCTGTGTCAGCGACCAGAGACCCAACCAGCCTGATATCCTTGTAAATTACACTGTGGTATGACATGGTGATTCCTTTTTCAGGCTGACCCAGTAAAACCATTGTACCATGCTTTCGCGTGAGTGCAGCGGCCAACTCAAAGGCAGATGGATGGTCGGTTGCTAAGACAGTAGCATCCAATCCTCTGTACTTTGATGAGGCCATCTGATCAATTTTGAGAAGGGATTCCTCGACTGTGTCAGTTGCGAGAATCAGAGCATCTGGGCTATGTTCATATGAAGCCACAGCTTCTAGTGCTTTCTGCTTGATGTCGACTGCTGCAACAGTGTAGCCCTATATTATTATTCTACATTAGTCTTCTTCTAATATAACCAGCTCATGTAATCTTACCATGCATTTGGCAATCTGGGTACCAATATGCCCCAATCCTCCGATTCCTATTATTCCGATCGAGCCTCCTTTCTGAACGTCGGCACGCTGGATTCCTCCGTAAATAGAGATTCCAGCGCACATCAAGGGTGCTGCCACCTTGAATTCCATATCATCTGGGAGTTTAACAACAAACCGGGCATCACTATCAAGTCACATCAGCCTCCGTACAGATCTGCCGCTCGGAAAGGCTAGCCTACGCGACCATATACTCTGCCCAAGCACCATCGACCGTGATGCCTTTCATTAAAGGGTCATCACAATATATAGGCAGTCCCGATTGACAGTCGGCGCATTTTCCTATTGTTCCAGCCAGATCAGATGAGACTCGTCACTGGCACTCATGTAGACAACTCACCGCACACGCTGTCGAAATTGATGCATCCTACCCGGTCGCCTCTGTGAAAATCCATCACATTTGATCCCACTTCCTCAATGATACCTGCTGGCTCGTGGGATCCAATGAATGGAAGTTTGGTGTTGAATTCGCCATTTAATGCCATTAAGTCGGTGTGGCAAAAGCCTGCTGCTTTGATACGCACCAAAACCTGGTGGGGTTTGGGGCGAGGAACTGGTACCTCGGAAACATGATAAGGTTGGTTGTATTCCTGAATTTGCACTGCTTTCATAGTCTTTGGTGTCATCTTGGGTGGGTGCAAGTATAAGTGTAGAGTGGATAGAGAGAATGGCAAGGATGAAGTGGCAGCTTCTCCAAATTGGAGGAATTAAGTGAGGGGATGTGGAGAATGCTTACTACATCCAAGGCAACAGATGACTATGTGGGGATCGCAAGAGTCTATGATACTAGTATCGATCCGAAAACACTTGATATTCCAAGTTTGTTAAGCGCTGAGAGCATTGTTGTTGTACAGTTTGCTTTTATCTAAAGTAAACCATCCCACTCGAGCCGTTTCTGATGCTGCAAGGTAGAGATAAAATTGGAAATAAATTTAGTTCCCAGGAAGGAAACCAATCTTATATAAATTCCAGCTTGTCATAGGCATATTTTGCGATGGAAATTACTAGTGTAAATACTGTTCATCGTGCAAGACAATGTGAAGCAGTCAGCGGTGTTGTTGTTGTTCTTGAGCGGGCCGCAAATAAATTCCAAGCTTCTTCGCCATTCCCTGGGCACCTGGCATCCACTCCATCTCCTTTACCAACATCATGCCATCTTATAATACCCATCCATCATCGAGGATCATGTCGCGAGTCTCTTCTTCCGGGCCCTTTGTACCATTGACATCCAAATCTGCCAGCAGACGTCCCACGGCTCGGCCCACAGCAACGGCAACTAGCGTTGCAGGCCAGGACATCATATGTGCTATCAGCGAGTCTCGAGGTGTCTCATCAACGGTGGGCTTGGCTTTCATCAACTTGAATACAGCTGAAGTTGTGCTTTGTCAGATTTGTGACAGTCAGATCTACGAAAAGACTGTCACCAAGATCGGTGCCTTTGAGCCAAATGAAATCCTATTCATGAATACCGCCAAGGAGTCCAAACTTTGCTATATTCTTCAAGAGAACTTGCCAGGTCCCATTTTTACTTTCGCTGATCGTAAATACTGGTCGGACAAAACGGGTCACGAATTTCTTGATCGGTTGGCTTTCCGGGACGAGGTAGATTCTCTCAAGGTGATTCTCAATAGCAACTACTTCGCCGCATGTTGCTTTGCCGCGGTATGTTCTCATTCAATTTTCTTCCAGTCCGGACTATTCTCACCTCTATGCAGGCTCTTAAGTATCTGGAGATGGATCTTGAGAGTGCCTTCGTCTCGCATTCCCTCCGCATCAAGTTTGAACCGTCACAGGGATCTATGACTATTGACCTGGCGACTGTCGTATCCCTCGAGCTGATTCAAAATCTCCACAATTCTAAATCCCGAGACAGTCTATACGGATTGCTGAATCAGTGTCTTACTCCAATGGGCGCCAGAATGTTACGTGCAAGTGTCCTGCAACCATCCACAGAACGAGTCAAGCTCACAGAGCGGTACAATGCAGTCGAGGATTTGACGACGAAGGAAGATATGTTTGTATCTGTTCGACAAGCACTGAAAGGATTCATTGATTCCGATCGAATTCTGACATCGGTTTGTTGACTCTACCGAACGGAAATCCATGTTTAACTAACAAGTCTAGATCATCCTGGTGCCGACCAACTTGAAGCAAACTGTTCAGTACGTGGAAAATTCAGTCAACAACGTGATTATGCTCAAGTCCTACGTTTCTTCGATCAAAAATATACATCAGGCATTGGGGGCAGCACAGAGTGATCTTCTGCTTGAAGTTCGCGAGGTTCAGCACCTATGATCTTTGACCTCGCTCCCAGCTAATGGAATCAGTTATGTTCTCCGTCAAAGCATCGCGCGCTTGAACAGCTTATGGCAGAAACCTTGAACGAGAGCGTGACATACCAAAGCAAGCCGCTAGACCTTCGGAACCAGAGAACATACTGTGTGAAAGTCAGTTCTATCCGGCAGAGGTATTACAATCCATTGCCTAACCAACCCCGTATAGGCAGGCGTCAACAGTCTCCTCGACGTGGCCAGACAAACCTACAAGGAAGCAAATGCAGATGCAACGGAACTGGTGGAAAGATTAGCAGGCAAGCGCTCCACTTACCTGTCGCAGCATGCTATTTCTGACAAATCCCAAGAAACTTATGACATAACGCTTGATCTCAAATACGATACGCCTCGCCAGTATTATATCTGTATCCAAAGTGACCACTTCGAAGCACTGCCCGAGGAATTCATCAACGTCTACCGCAAGAAAAACAGGACCGAATGCCAAACGTTGGATCTTGTGAAGCTCAACCAAAAGATTACAGATGCTCATAATGAAGTCATCATAATGAGTGATCAGATAATTCAGGATCTCCTTCGTGAGGTTTGTACTGTGGTCGCAGAGCTGTTCCGAGTAAGCGAGGCTATTGCCATGTTAGACATGGTGGCAGTGTTTGCCCAGTTGGCAACTAGCAACGACTACATTCGCCCAGAATTGACAGCCACGTTGGCCATTAAAGCTGGACGGCATCCAATCCGAGAACGAATACACTCCAGCAAGTTCATTCCCAATGATGCATATGCAACACCCCAGACACGGTTTCAAATCATCACCGGTTGCAATATGAGCGGCAAATCAACATACATCCGCTCACTAGCACTTATGACTGTGATGGCCCAGATAGGTTGCTTTGTCCCAGCTCAATACGCCTCATTCCCGATTGTCCACCAGCTCTTCGCGCGTGTCGCAACGAGCGACGACCTCGACGCCAATGTTTCGACCTTCGCGGCGGAAATGCGCGAGATGGCTTTCATCCTGCGCAATATCCAACCTCGGGGAATGGTGCTCGTCGACGAATTGGGCCGTGGAACAAGTACCACCGATGGGCTTGCGATTGCTATTGCGCTTGCTGAAGCCCTTCTTGCGAGTCACACTCTAGTATGGTTTGCGACCCATTTCCACGATTTGGCTCGCATTCTTTCTGAGCGCAGCGGAGTCATCAATCTTCATCTCGCGGCGAACATCTCAGAAGATGCATCCAAAATGACAATGCTCTATCAGATAGCGAAAGGACCTGTCCCCGATCGTCGGTATGGCCTGGCCCTCGCAAAGCTAGTCGATCTCCCACCCGCAATCTTGCAAGTGGCAGAAAGTGTCTCTGAGACATTGGATCGGCTCGCCCGTCAACGAAACTGCACCTCACGTACAGTTGCCATTGCTAAAAAGCGAAGGCTATTACTTTCCTTGCGCGAACAGCTTGCGATTGCTCGAAATAGCACAATGGACGACGACTCCCTGCGCCGCTGGATGATCAAGCTGCAAGAGGGCTTTTCCGAAAAAAATGGCTGCTCTCGAACTGGGTAGTGATACCTATAGTGAAGGTGTGGAGCTTGATGATCATCCTGTTATCTCCGAGGAGAACTTGGAGAGCGAATCATTCAAGACTAATACTACAAGTCGCCAGTCTCCAGGCAAGAGATCGTCTACCTTTGGACTGATTATTATTAATTCGGAGTCAGATTCGGTCGACTCGGATAATGAAAGTGTTGTACTGGTTTAATTAAGGGCAAAATTCTGTGCCTGGGCAGCTTCGGAATATTCGGCCATGGGGAACTATCAATATGGTTGGTGGAATCGCTTATCCCCTCCATGACAGTATTTTACAAAATTCGGACTATAGCAATAGATATTATATTGAATTTATTCAGACCAGCAGCTACCATTGCAGAGCAAAAACACCCTCGCTAACATTTGTACGGTGACTTTTTTAGAGTAGATACATGAGCATGAAGAGATGCTCTGTATTAGCCAAAATGTATAAGGGTCTGCTTGCCCTTCTTCTTCTTGCCCTTTTTCCCGTCACCCTGATCGTCTTCAAAGTCAAATTCTGATTGCTCAGCGGGGGTAGCAGCACCAGACGAAGGATTGGAGCCCCATGCAGTAGGAGCTGGGCCACGGTGCTCATCCCAACGACGGTAGCCGCGGGTCTTACCAGCCATCATCACGTTGGGCTTTGCGGCAGCAGGGAGAGAAGGGAAAGCATCTGCTCCACTGGGAGCAGGCTTGCGTACGGAGCTGGAGGGGGTCGACGAGGATGAGCGGCTGGGGGCACTGGGGGCGCTGGGGGCGCTGGGGCGAGCAAGATTCCTTGGAGGGGCGGCTGATGCCCACGGAGTAGACGCGGCAGCACCGTTGCGGCGAGAAGACGAAGGTCCGGCAGCCGCAGAGAGGGGAGGGAAAGCATTCGCGGATGAGGAGGATGATGACATGGTACCACTTCTGCCAACTGCAGAGCGTGAAGACTTGGCAGTGGAATGTTTGAGTCGTAAAACACGCGAGCCACCAGTGTTCACGGTACTGGGGGACATGCCTGGCAACAGTCCCCCCTGGTCCTGGCAAAGCGGGATAGTCCTCGTTTATGGCACGCCAGTCATTCCATGCCTGTAGGAGGCTGCTGCGTTTTGATTGTTCTTCGTAAATTTCGGCCAACTCTTTTATAAGCTTGCCCAGTTCGGAGCTCGAGGTGTCAAACAGCGAGAAGAAAGCATCAATCAACTCTATAGCCGTTATAGAGGATGTACGATAGCTGGAAACTCTGCCGCGGAATTCAGCGAGCTTAGTAGCATCATTGTGCAGCAGATTCGACGCCCGCTCTATCACAGCAGTGTGGCGCAGCCGACGTGCCTGGTCTTGAGAGCTTAGTGGCTCAGCAGTAGCAGCCAGAGTTAGGTTCTCGAGTTCGGCCGCTGGCGGGGCAGCGCGCGAGGCATTCGGGGCCGGGGTAGAGCCCGTTGAGCGAGGTGGGGCTCGCACGGTTTGCGTCTCATTTCGAGTTAGCTGCCCGCCGAAGCTACGTGTTGAGATCGATTGTGCGCTTTGTATCTCCATCTGACGCTGGTAGGCCAGCTGATCTCGGCGCAATGGCTGAGCACTCGTCATGGGTAGAGGCTCGGCATTGGGGTCACGGCCACGACCAGCTCCACGGCGCTGCCGCTGCTGTGCCTGGTAAGGACTGCGGAGGTCAAATTCGCTGAGGTCAACCAAGCGCGCATCGCGGCGAATATCTTTTGAAACTCCATTCGGGTGGGCCTCGAGCTGATGTCCCTTCAGATCCATCTGAGACTCGAAAACCATGAACTTCTTCTCCATGCACTCTGGGTCAAGACATAAGAAATGATCTTTTTCGAAATGGCCCTCGAGAGCATTATAATCAACGTAGTACTGTTGCTGCCGGTGTGAAGAGCGACGGTCACAGATATGGCATCGTTCGTGCTTATCTCTGCAATGGGCATAAAGCTCATCATCGCCATAGAATCGCTGGCGACAGAAGCCACATTCCGGGTGTCCCTTGAAGCCACTCTGGTCGATTGCACCCGGCTTGTCATCTCCCTGCTTCTCATGTTTCCGCAATTCTGCCGGTGTAAAAAGAGTGTGTTCGTGTGTAAAGACCTTTTTATTCCGGGTGCACAGGTCACTGTAGGTTCATGAGTAGCTGAAGCAAGACCAACATTGAAATAAAACTGTACGTACCACATAACCTTACCATGCTTACTCTTAACATGGCGATGCAAATCGGGCCAGCCCAAACAGGCCACATCGCAATCCTCATCAGGGCAGTTGTACCGTAATAAAAGCACGGTGTCTTCGAAAATATCATCTTTCTCGTATTGAATTCCGAGGTTGTCGTCGGTTCGAGCAAAATCGTTCTTGTCAAACTCCTCAAAACGTCGGACGGGATCGTCGGTAAAAATCACGAAGGCAGATTCGGCCTATAGGTAGGATTAAGTTAGCCAATACGATCTATGGACAGTCAAGAGAGCTTGGGGGATCTCAAAGGGTCCTCGTCGCGCCGAAGCAAGGTCCACTTACCCGACAGTGAGCACAACCCCTATTTTTATACAGCGCACGGAGGCGAAGCGCACAGATATGACAAGTGCGATGATTGCAAGGCGAAACCGAAGTATGTTCAACAGCTGAGGCACAAATGAAACAAACTTCTCCATCATCAGCATCATCCGTGGCTGCGGCAACCTGTTTCACTCCCACAGTCGCGGTGGCCGCTGGTTGCGCCTCATTATTCTGCTGCCCCTCGTCACTTTTTTGCTTGCTGCGATCCCCGGAGGTTTTGCCGCCCCGACCACGAGATTTGGATGCCTTTCCAGCTACATCTCCAGAGTTGTGTTGGGCCTCCGAGCGGCCGGGGGAAGCCCCTCCGCGGCCGCGACGGCGACCACTTCCGCGACCGCGGTTTGATGAACCGGGAGCAGTCGGTGGATTGTCAGCCATGGCAGAGGCTAGAATCGGCTTAAGCGCAGGAATGAGGTGACAATGAGCAATATCTGGGATCTGGGGGAATTCGCTGCGCGATGGTGGGTTGGTGGGGGAGGAATGGGGAAAAAGTGAGATCCCGGCGCTGACTGATCTTCCGCGGCGAGAGCAGCTGGGGAGTATAATTAATATACTATAGTTATATTACTAGTGAATAACACTACACAGAAGAGTTTTTTTCAATTGACATTTCTGCATAGTTTCTGTGGCCCCAAAGAGCGCAAAGATTGATATGACCACCCATTCACCATGGAAAATAAAAGAGAAAAAAGACAAAAGGAGACAGAAGTTCATAGATGCAATGTTGAATGATGATCACCACTCGGCGGCGGCACCAACTCCCGCTGGAGCGCAAATAGCAAAATCTTGGATAGCAAATGGTAAACAAAAGCGCCGACAATAGCGACAGAAAAAGCCTTATCGGACAAAAATAAAGACAAGGTTGTCACGCCAGCATCCCCATGCATCGCAAAAACAAATGAGAGAATGTGTAGGAGAATAAACACGAAATTCGTTAGGGTAGATGGAGACCAGACCACACACTGTATGGGTAGCGGTCTTTGTCATGCGATTTGGGGTCGAATATTATTCATCCGGGTTATACAGGTTCTGATTGAGAATCTTGGTCATCGTGAACATATGGACTCGGTCTTGCTTGAAGACAGCGCGCATCGGCTCATCACATCGGATCTGGCGGCGGTCGGCAGGGTCCTGCAGCTCGTTCTCGCGAATGTATTGCCAAACTTTCTTAACTGTCTGAGGGCGAGAAAGCTATTCCAAAAAATCAGCAAAGGAAGAGATGAGAATACGAAGGCACTGACCGTCAACTCTCCGCCTAGTAGGGAAGACAGTGCAGGCGATAGGTTGAGGGGTTTCTACAGAAGCTTGTTAGATATCAAGAAAAAAGGCAAAGTGAGTTGAAGTCCAGCTTACGTGAAATCCGCCAGTCCGGTTGACCTCCTTTTTTGTGTCTGATCCCGATTCGATATCGGAATCATCCTCCGCCTTGACCCTCTTAGAGGTCTTGGCCTTGCTCTTCTTCTTGGTGGGAGCTGCACGTCGATTACTTCCTCCTCTTGTGGGTCTTGCGCGCAGGTTCTCTTCGGCCTGTAGCTTCGCGGCAAACTCAGCATCGGCGTCAACGTCGGCGTCTGGCTTGCGCTTCTTGGGAGGGGGAGAGGCGCCACTTAGATCGGAAGCTTCTTCGCTACCTGCTTGTCGCTTCACGGGAGAAGAGGAAGGGGGTGGGGAAGGTACTGCAGACGTAGAGTTCCCGCGGTGACCATTGCTAGCTGTGGTCTCCTCGGGTGACTCCGCGACGCCATTCTTCGCTGCGAGGATGTCGAATCGTTGCATAATGAGCTCCTTGATCGCCGCCTAAGATACGAGAGTGTTAGCTAAAGCTCCGCGATCAATTGAAACCGGGTTTTACAGCTGAAAGAGAGCAACATGAGCAACGCGAAAAACGGACCTTTTGTGGAGTGAGATCATAGCCGACGACATCCTGGAGCCCTTTGCGAATCCGCTTCTCGGAGATGGTATTCAGATCGCTTTTGCCCAGAATGGAGTCAATGATCTCCGTGTACTGGTCGCGCAGCTCGGAAGATACTATTGCGCCAGGTCAGAGAAGAATGAACAGATTGGAGAAAGCCGGTCGTTGAAGCTGGAAGCAGACCGAGGTAACATACGCGACATGCTGCCGGTCGATCTCGTCTGTAGGATGGAGTAGAATACTGATTGAGATACGAATCGGTCAGGAAACGTAGCTTTGGGGCTCCGATCAGTAGGTTAGGTGTTTGGGAGAGTTTGGATGGCGCAACCAGGTACTTGTCAGGTGGTGGGTATAGTCGCACTGGCGCTTAAGGGCGGCGGGGGAAGGACGGGCCGGCAGAAGCGCAAAGGCAACGGATAAGAGGAGGATCAAAGGGCGAGACACCAGCACAATGGAAGAGATGGTGGAGGAAGCAGACAGCCACAAAGTGTTAGGATTATCAATTGATCAGGGGTGACATTTACAAATCTAAGTATATAAGAATAAATAGAAATTATAAAATATAAAATATAGATACTACTATGTAGTAGTAGTATAGCAAGCGCCAGTTATCTGCTCTATGTACACTAGAGTATACCCGCAGCGCGCATGTCACATGACCATGGTCATGTGACCCACAGCGACGGAGCCCACAGGGCCTGATTTGTTCCCATCAAAATTTTGATCACGGATTAGCACTCTTTAAACGGCCGCCCTATCCCACAACCCAACATGGCGCCTAGTTTCGAGCAACTGTCCGAGCAGGATCTCCACGAAGAGGAGGAGGAGGAGATTGATTTCTCCGGTGCGTGTCCACAAATCTTCAACTGTCCAATCTTTCTCTTTAAATGCCCCTCTTGAAATCTAACTATTGGCGGGCAGATCTCAAAGCGCAATTCGAAGTGAAAGCCGACGAGGGCCTGGACACATTCGTCGTTATCGATGGCCTCCCCGTTGTGCCCGAGGATAGCAAACAGAAGCTCATCAAGTTCTTATTGAGAAAACTCAACACCGTGGGCAACACCTCCGAAGATGCCGTTTTCATGCCCGTCAGCGACAAGGGCATGTCCGAAGGGTGCGTACAGGAAGATACCGCTTCTCGTTTTAACCGACTCAGATGAACAGATCATTGATTTCGTTTTTTTCATCTTTTGCAGATTCGCCTTCGTCGAGTATGAAACCCCCGAACAAGCCGTCGCTGCCGTCAAGCAGCTGCACGGTGTCCCCTCGACAAGAAGCACACTCTCGCCGTGAACAAGTTGATGGATATCGAACGCTATGGTCGGGAAGGTCGTGTCGATGAGGAGTACCAGGCGCCGCCCGTTGAGCCTTTCAAGGAGAAGGAGCACCTGCGCTCGTGGATGGGCGACTCCAGCGCTCGTGATCAGTTCGCCCTCTACCGCAACGACAAGGTAGGCGTGTTCTGGAACAACAAGTCCAACCCCCCAGAGAACGTCGTCGACCGCGCACACTGGACACAACTTTTCGTCCAGTGGTCCCCCAAGGGTACCTTCCTCGCCTCCGTCCACCCCCAGGGTGTTCAACTTTGGGGCGGTGCCTCTTTCTCCAAGCAAAAGCAATTCCCCCACCCATTCGTCCAACTTATTGAATTCTCGCCTCTTGAGGGCTACTTGACGACATGGTCGGCTCGCCCGATCCAGGTCGAGGAGGGTCAGCCCATCCTGACCAACGACGAGGATGGAAAGAACATCATTGTTTGGGATATTGAGTCTGGCAAGCCCCTCCGATCCTTTACTTCCCACGATCTGGCTGCCCCTCCCACCGTTGATGAGGATGTCGCGCCCAAGAAGAAGGTCCAGTGGCCCGCTTTCAAGTGGTCTGCGGATGAGAAGTACGTCGCCCGTATGCTTCAGGGACAGTCTCTCTCAATCTACGAGGTACCCAACATGAACCTCGTGGGCCGTACATCGGTCAAGATTGAAGGTGTCAGCGACTTTGAGTGGTCACCCGCTACCGTCACCCGTGAGGGTGTCAAGCAGTACGAACAGCTCCTCTGCTTCTGGACCCCCGAGATTGGCAGCAACCCTGCTCGTGTTGCTATGATGAGCGTTCCCTCCAAGGAGATCGTCCGTACCCGTAACCTGTTCAATGTCTCCGATGTTAAGTTGCACTGGCAATCCCAGGGTGCCTACGTTTGTGTCAAGGTCGACCGTCACTCCAAGTCCAAGAAGTCCATGGCCACCAACCTCGAAATTTTCCGCGTGAAGGAGAAGGGTGTTCCCGTTGAGGTTGTTGACAGTCTTAAGGACACTGTCATTAACTTCGCCTGGGAGCCCAATGGATCCCGTTTCGTCCTCATCACTACTGGCGAGGCCCCTGCCGGTGCCGCCGTTGGCCCCAGGACTGGTGTTTCCTTCTTTGCTACGGAGAAGAAGGGTAGCACCGCCGGCAACTTCAAGCTTGTGCGAACTGTCGAGAAGAAGACCAGCAACGGTATCTACTGGTCCCCTAAGGGACGTTTCGTCATCGTCGCCACTGTTCACTCCCAGTCCAGCTTCGACCTGGACTTCTACGACATGGACTTCGAGGGTGAGAAGGTCGAGGCCGAAAAGGATCTTGCCGCCAACCTTCAGTTGATGAAGACCGTTGAGCACTACGGTGTGACTGACGTCCAGTGGGACTCTACTGGTCGCTATGTCGTCACCAGTGCTAGTGTGTGGACTCACTCGGTAAGCTTTCCCCTGGAGTTTGATTCAACTTATTCTCCTCCCTATGTTGCTATTCGGCAGTTTTGAGTGCTAACTATATATCTATCAGATGGAAAACGGCTGGAACCTTCACACTTTCTCCGGACAAACTCTTTCCGAAAACCCTACCGAAAAGTTCAAGCAGTTCCTCTGGCGGCCGCGCCCCGCTACCTTCCTCAGCAAGGAGGAGCAGAAGCAGGTGCGCAAGAATCTGCGCGAGTACTCCAAGGAGTTCGACGAGGAAGACAAGTACGCCGTGGATATTGCCAACACAGCAAGTTGTCGAGACACGCAAGCGTGTCCTCAGCGAGTGGGTTGCCTGGATTCGCCGGGAGAAGGAGATTCAAGCAGAGGAGAAGGATGTCTTCGGTCTTCCCGAAGACGCCGACTCGCCCAAGCACGCCCGGGATGCCCCCATCGGCGGCTCGGACGAAGCCGAGGCCGTGGTCGAGGAGATTGTGGAGGAAATCATCGAGGAAACCGAGGAGGTTATCGGTTGAACGACTTCTGCCTTTTTCTTTCGCATATAATGTGTTTCATTTTCTCTTTTTCTTTTTTTCCCGCCGGCGTCCTCTGCGCTCGACCCGGTTGTCTTTCCCCGTTTTCTTTGGTTAGGGGGTTTCACAAAAATCGATAGAGTGAGCCGTGCCCCCGTCGGACTAAGCTCTTGATGTGCAATGTGGATAAGCATGAGAAATGCCTACGAATAAGTCGTTTTCATTCTTTAATTTTGCAAGACAGATAGATCCTCCTCGTAATGAAGAGAGATCATTTCTACCAGTAGCGATCATCCATATTAAACCAGTATTTGCTTTTGCTTTGGTCCGAGGCTCGTAACTTGAAAGTGCTACCTACCTAGGTAGGTAGGTAGTGGGCTGATGGGCTGCGAATTTGTAATTTGAAACCGCAGTGGCTACCTAGGTACTACTACTAGTAGTAGTTACTTCCGTTGTACCTAGGTAGGTTTACGGACTCCGAGTCGTGGGAACTGACCTAGGTATATGCAGTGCCCAGGTGGTATACAGAGTGGAAAGAGAAGTTGAACGGGTATATAATTGATCACACCAACGATGAGATATATAAACTAGAAACCGATATGAAGAGCCGCATGCATAAGTAAACACCGCGCAATGTAAACCAAAAAAACGGAGCCGGAGAACCAATAACTAGTCCAATCCACCGGCCAGCCATTCTCCAACTTCAACACCGATCCCCTTGGCCAACTCGCCGATCCAGTCACCCGATACATTGACGCACCACTTCTCTCCTGCATCCGCGCTCGTATTGCCACTGCCCATAGTGGCCCCGCCATGGTGACCCGAAGCTGGAACCACTAAACGCAGCCGACGCAATGTAGCTAGTTCGGCATAGATCTGGTCCGAGACTGCGGGGGTGTGGATTGGATTAGCTGGTGGGTTCGGATCAACGGCATGGTAGACGGCCAGGAGGCGTTCTAATGGGAATGGCCGGGCTGTTAGGATGGTGGATGGGCCGGTGATTCCTCCGCCGCCACCAATTGCTGAAGTGGTGGCCGAGGACGTTGCAAACGCCGAGGAGAGGGTGGACTTTGTAATTCGGGTCTTCGATCGCCTGCCCTTTTTGTTTGGCGTTGAGGGATCATTGGCTGCTTGTCGCTCCTCTGCCTGGGCTTGTGAAAGAACCTTCAGACGACGCCGGTGGTGAGCGCGTTTATTGCGAGCAGATAGTGACGAGGAAGAGAATTTTGAGAAAAAGATCGTGTCCAGTCGTTGCGGAGTATGAGATGCCAGGTACGCCGAAGTCAAGATCAAGGTAGAGAAATATGGCAAGTGAGGCAGGGCCGAAGAGACTGCTTTGGGTGCATATGGCGTGCGGTTGGTTTTGCTCGAGGCGGCAGATTCCCCTGGGACAATTCGATGCACCAGAGCCGATTCTCCTTGGTGGCGGAAAAGCACTCTGTTCTTCACTACTAGTCGTGCAAAGTCCCAATCCGTGCCTCCGCCAGGTGCTGCCTCGCCCTGGATAATGGGAGCCACAAATTGTGGCCACAGTCGCTGGCAGATGGATCGGAACGTTGGAATGGAGCCAACGGTTGGCCCAATCAGAGTATCATAGACGGTAGAGACAAAATGAGGGTAAATTTGATATGATGATTCATCGGGTAAGCCTTCCACGGTGGGTATTGGGGAGGCCAGAAGGATATCAATGGCCTCTTTGCGTGTGTACGGAGGGAAGCTGATATGCGGAACTGCTGTATTTTGAAGGAACATAGGTCGAGGAGTCGAGCTGAGGACCAGAACAACACAGAGCGAGGGGACCTGTTGAGATTGTCAGTATTGCATTGCTCCAATATTTTTTCGGCCTGGAAACTCACAATTTCTCCAAGTCGCGCCAATGCCGACAGTAGAGTGTGCGGTGCCTCTCTTTGCCTATCAATCTCGTCCAGAACTAGTACAAATTTCCCTCGTTTTTCCGGAGTTCGCGTTGCAAGGCACTCTTCCAGCAACACTGCGAGTGTACTGACATGCTCGCATCGTCCCTTTCCAAATTTCTCCCATTCATCCTTTTGACCCAGAGCCTCGAGGGTGTTCCAGAGAATCTTGGTAAGAAGATGTCGCCCAGTGATACACTCGCTGCTTCGGACAACGGCGTGCGGTACTTCGAGTGTAGATAGAACTCCGCGGATAATTGTGGATTTGCAAGTTGCAGAAATGCCATGGACAACCAAGGTCGGTGGGCTAGGAAGATGAGGCTGTAGGATACAAGTCAACCGTAAGCATATCTCCTTCAACGTTGTTTTGCGGGCGCACCACAAACGACGTATTGCTCGTGGGGATATTAACAGCACATACATTGAACAAGGTAGCAAGCTGTTGCGCCTGAACTTCTCGGCATGGCCATTGAGCTCTCAACGAGCGCGCAACATCGACTGGCTGCATATGTGCCAGTTTGCCACTTCTTTCGAGGTGTCAAGTTGTCAATCGAGAGGACCCAGCTGACCGAAATATGCGGAGTCCTGGATCTGCAACTCCGATCCCTGTTCAGTCACGTGTTCTCGCGTCGCGTCAGGGGAATAGATATGCCTTGCTTAAAATTGACAGGGCGCGGGTATTTGGGCATTTATCTAAACTAGACTACGGTAGATTAGAGTATTTTCTACAACCAGAATGTCGTTAATACAAAACTTGGATAAGAATAGATTTCGTGGACTAAATTACAAACATGCAAAATGTGAAATATAGGGCAGAACTCAAGATCGCGGCCGAAAATCAAGCCAACAGGAAGTAACAATGATACCACGAGAGCTCACCACTCCTAGCATATAAAATCCCAGGTGCAGCAAATCCCAACAGTTTCTGTGTCCTTCCCCACGATGTAAAATTCACAAGAACGCCACAAGCATGCCACTCTTCCCATGCAGGAAAAAGGTGTTATTTGTGGTATTCGATCCCGTATCAGCACACGAGATGCATATGAAAACCAGGACGCAAGTTACAGGGGGAAGGGGGCAAAATGATGAGTGAACACATAGACGGGAATTGAAATGGGCCTTGCAATGCGTATTCGCAGCCGAGTAAGATGGAAGGGATTCGGTTTTTCGAGGGAACACAAGGAACAACCGAAGCGACCTGATTGCCAGTCTTTCTCGGATCTTGCAGGGCAATTGGGAAATAAAAAAGGAGAAACAGGTAGGAAAACCACAACGAAACTGAGAGTGGGAAAAGTACAGAAGTCAGGGAAGAAAGGAATAGGAGTGGTGGAGCTTAAGCTGCTCCAATGCAGACTGCATCGCGCCATAGCGACTTCATGGGGGGTATGCAAATGCAGGCGAAAAAGAGACGAATGGGCTAAAAGATGATGCTGCAACCGAGTAGATCATGCAACTAGGGCCCCATTCTGATGACAGTCGTGTGAGAAAATCCGTGAAATCATCAAAATATCGTATCATTCATTTGTATGGGTACAATTAGGGATGTATGCACAAAGAAATTTGTACAATCCCTATTTAGTAGTAGGCGTAAAGCTGGTTCTGAACACCGATGTTTGGAGCAGATCCAGGGGATCCGAACATGGGTCCCTCAGCTGTTCCGCTGGGAGGGGTGTTCGATGAGCTCTGCGCAGGGGTCGGCAAAGCGTTCTGGCCATTGAAGGCAGTGGTTCCATTAAAGGCAGGAACTGGGCCTTGCTGAAATCCGAATGGTTTCTGCAACATCTGCTTGGGCGTGTTGCTGATCTCATTGGGAGTGACATGGCCGCTGGTAGGACGGCTTGAAGTTTCAGCCGACATGATTTTGCCAGCAATGCGACGACCATGTGGGGTACCGCGAATTGAATGAACCAGAGGCCGGACAGCTTCAATGATGCGGGTGCGAGTCTCGGGGTCGGCAAACTCCATCGCGGTCTGCACAACATAGTTGGCATAGGAGTCACGCAGCATCTTCTCCAGCTCGTTTCCACTCAGCATTTCATCAATCAAGGCACGGCGATTTTCCGAATCAGCAGTGCGTAAGCATTTCTCGATGACATTGGAGCTAAACTTCTGTTTGGACAGAGCCGGGACATTGCCTGCGAAGGTTTGGCAAAGGGGACCAGTGTAGAAAGGATCACCGAGATCCAGGATGTACTGGACAACATAGTTGCCAAAGGGATCTTGAACCAGTTGGTAAGCATTCTTAGTGATTTGACCAATCAGGCGATCCTTCTGGTCACCGGATGCATGGTCGATGCAACGTTGTAGAACACAGCATCCGTGGCGATGGGTGCCAACAGTGACACAACGATCGCCGACAGAATGATAGATAAACTCGGCATCCTTTTTAGATAGACGATTAAGACACTTCTGGATCACATGGTTGCCATTCAAATCTTGAACAAGTTCGACAACATGTCGTTCCAGTGCCTTGATCACAGTGACAGTCTGTTCGGTGGTCGAGATGAACTCGATCATCTTCTGCAGTGCACGAGTTCCATGTTGGTTGAGCGCTATTTTAACAAGCTGAGGAGCAGCATTGTCAATGAGCGCGGTGCGTTGTTCATCATTTGAAAACTCGAGGAGCTTCTGGCAAAGATAGTTACCAAACGGATCTAGAAATTGATTAGTCGGTTTGTCTCGGGCCATCAGTGTGAACACTCACCAGTCATCAGTTCAATCACATGCATGTATGTCTCGCTGAAAATCAGCTGTACATGTTCGGGATTCCGTTCCTCGAGCTTGCGTTGCAGATATCTGCAGCCATGCTGGTCTTTGCAGAGACTATACAGCTCACCCTTGTAGTGCTCGAGAGGGAAATTGGTAAAACGATTAAGCTGGCTAGAGTCGCTTTCAGTCTGGCGACGCTGTCCAACTCCGCCCCGACCATTTGATTCAGTGAATCGGTAACCACCCGTGAAGTTGTTATATGCCAGATAGGGGTTTCCAGCGGTCATGGCTGGGACTTGGTTGTTGACTTGTCCACCTTGGTTGACAAAAGGCTGCGTTGGATATCCTGCATGCATCGGGAACTGCAGTGTATTGGACGCAATATACCCAGACACGCCAGAGTTCGTCGTGGCTGGAGTGATCTGAGGTCCAAAGGGGGGGTGCACTGGCTTGCAGGATTGGCTGAGTAGCTTTGATACTTTCGGACTCGGGAGATCCTTTTGCAGAACGGGAGTTAGAATTGCCGGCAGGTAATCGCCCCATACTGGAATGATGTTGGTGATGAATGTTCTCGGCATAAGTATTGGGCGGAGTTATGGCCGCGTCAAAGCCGTTGCCGTTTCCTTTGACCGTGGGGAGGTCATTTGTCGAATACGACTGGAGGGGAACTGGTCGATTCGAGGGAACCGGAGTCGTGGCGTCGTTGTTACGCTCGCTTGGGAACACGAAGCCTTCCCCGAGCGAATGACGCGCGGCATGGCGAGGCTGAGAGCTGTTCGCTTGCTCGTCATTTGTCGAGTTGCCATTATGCCCGTGGTCCAGGCGGAAGTTGTTCAGTGTCTTTGGCATGCTCTGATGAGCAGAACGGTGACGACTGTGGAACGAGTGAGGATGTTCTGCGCCCGGGTTGCGGGAGCCAGCTAGATCAAGGGCATCTGGATTCGCAGACAACTTCATCGATAGTGAGTTTAAATTCAGTGCAGCCTGACGGTTCTGGGATATTTGAACTTACAATGTTGGAACCACCTCGGCGCGAGAGAGTTGGGAATTTGTCGTCAGGGTCGGTCATCCGAATATAGCCCTTAATATCGGGGGTCGACAAGCGATCTTGATCCATCATGAAATGCTTCTCTTCGTCGCTCGGGAACAGATGCTTTGTTCCAGCAAAGGAGCTGTTCACACCCGAGTTGCTACCAAAACCAGACACGTTCGGTCGGTATTGGCCATTGTAGTTGCTAGAAGGTAGCGACAGACGATGAACTCTGTGATTTTTTGTCAGTTTCATGTACATAACCTCGCCCCCAAACCTCGAGAATGAAGATGGAAGGAACTTCGGGGGATGAATGATGAGTAGCAAACTAGGTGGTTGACTTACGCATTGGTGGATCGATAATTCGACTCCATAACAAACTCCTCTTTCTCGGAGTTGCGGCGAGACCCAGGCACCGAATGGCCTGCGAACCGATCGACAGGTTGTTGCGGGGAGGTGAGCTGAGGAGATGGGGCGAAAGCATTGAAGAATCCAGGAGATGAAGTCACACTGGCATTTGAGAATCTTCCAGGGCGAGAGACCGCAGTCTGAGCAGGAGGAGGCTCCCGATACTCGGGAGGAGTAGTGGGCTCGCTGGCTGCACCACCGAGACCAGCCTTGGCCAAGTCACGAGCGAGCTGATCCATCTCAATCTTTTCTTTCTCGTGCTGCATGTCGAGCAATTTCATATCTTCTTCAAAGCGTCTTTTCTGTTCTCGCATATACTCAATATGCTGTCGCTTCTTCTCGAACTATTGAGAACGTCCAGGTCAGTTAGCACTGTAGGCTTCAATCAACAAAGCAGGGGAGATGCGGACTCAGGAGAAGAGTTTGTTTTGAGTAGGGATGGAGATGGTAGTGAGGCAAGGTTTGGGAAAAGATCAAGATCATGGGATGGAAGAAAGGGAACAAGCACAGCCTAGTCAAGCAGAGTCACGGGTGGGTCACCAGTGGAATGAGACTTGGCCAGGTAGCAGTTGCCTGATTCGGTCAAATGCTTGAGGAACAATATGAAATAAGAGATATGAAATGATGATGGTGCTGGGATAGAAAAGGTTGAAGGTGGGAAGTGAGGTGGTGAAGGTAAAGTTAGGAGGGGTGAGGGATGAAGGATGAGGGATCAAGTGAGAGTTGAGCTTGCCATGCGAACAAAAGCGCTCAATGAGAAGAATCCACAATGTTGCGCAATATTGACAGGTGCTATTAGTCACTTCCCCTGGAAATGAAAATCAAGGGTTCGGGGGAGTCTCTGCTCAGGATTCTGTGGCCATTTGCACCGCATGGAGACTCAACATTTCCATCACTGCAGCTGAACCCCGCCCCATCATTCCCCGCGTTTACATTCGTCATATATGGTTGAAGAACCAAGGAGAGAACCAAGGAGAAGGATACCCTCAAGCAGAAGTGCATGCAGGTATAGAGAGACGTATGAGAGCTCTAGGCTTACCGAAGATAGCAGGTCGAGAGGGTCTGGCATCGGAGTACTCCCCTGGTTCAAATAATTCCATGAGGACGAAAATTTGCTGGAATCGGTTGTGAAGCGGCGCTGCAGATTGGCCCGAACATCACTATTAGGTCGTGAGAAACCGGGGGCCAAGTTCGAATGGCCAGGCGATAAAGACGTATAGCCTGGGAAGGCGGACTCCGATGGGGGGGATCGAGGGGAAGGGAATCGGAGCTCGTCGAGGCGTTCACTCAGCCCATTCTTGAAGGCCATGATGGGCAACGAAACCGGGCAGTTCAACTAAGATCCCAACACCGGTCAGCACGAAGAGGATTCTCCAGAATTGTTGGCACGCGCTGAGGAACTTTTAAGGCGCCCGCAGGACAAGCGAACAAGCGACCAGCCCCCACACGGTTGACAGAATTTCCCGCGCCCGTCGCTAGCGAGGTGGATATTGGAGGTGGTAGGGAATCGTGGGGTGGCGTTGTGTGGTGAAGCTCGTTCGTCCGAGGTTGTTTCTCCAAGTAAGGGGAAGGTTGAGAGGGGCTGAGGGGTGGTGGGCGCGACGATCACTCGCGAAAAGAGGGCACTCACACAATGAACGCCTCGAGAGGACAACTGGTTAAATCACAAGAAATCTCACGGGTCGATGTTCAAAGATGACAACTGCATCTAAGGATTTTTGCGTGTTCCAGGCAGGAAGAAAAAAAAAACTTGGTGTTCCTGGAAAGGGTGCGGAGATCAGCCGCAGGGGAGTTGCAGAGTGGGATGGAGATGCCTACCGCCCAAAAGGCCTCCACTTAGCGAAACCGCGAGGTTCGACGGAGGGGGACCAAACGAATGAGTTGCTGCCGAAAATAGAAAGAGAGAGAGAGAGAAGAGAGAGAGAGGAGAAAGGAGAATGTTGTACACGGAGGAAGTGGAAAGGGAAAGAAAGGCAGAAGAGGCTGGGAGGAAGATGTGTTCCAAAGCAATGAAGAGCGGGGAGACCAGGCCAACCCTATTCGGCAATCGCCGTACGAACGCGCTGTTGGTCACTTTTAGGGCTTCAGCTGGTTCCCCTCCTCCCCCCCCGGTGCTAGACTAGATTATACTATGGTCTTTAAATCATTCTTCAATTTTGGGTGGCGAAGAGAGGGGAAGGCGAAGAGCCGAAACAGCTTGAACCCAGATACCTAAGTACTATATCTTTGTATAATCAACTTCCCATCATATACAACTTAAGGCCATTTTATTACTAGTATCAATCACCCACTACCTGGTATATACTAGTAGTATTCAATTTACTACCACTACACCCGTGCGAAACTTGACGACCACAGCAGATGATCGCCATCGTTACTCGGAAATCGATCGAGACCCGCAGGTGATTGGCGTATCCGCGCCGGCTGTACGACCAGGGTGCAGCTCGGGGCTAGCAGCCCGGGGTAGTCATGGCAGCTTCATGGTTGAATCATGGATATGATTCTTCGCCGGGCTAGGGTTCTACGATCGTGCTCACACGCCGTGCCCGCAAGGGGGAAGAGCGGAGAGAATGAGATGCGCTGGCCACGGCGTGGCAGCTGCAGGAGTACATAATTGCCCACGCCAATTGACAAGCCACTGTATTGTTTCGAGCGAGTGGAGACGCGCCGAGTGGTGCTGTGTCGCCGGTGTGACAGCGGATCGTCCTTTGAACGTAGTGCACGGAGTCGGCGTGCCTGGATCGTGCCCTAGCGAGGAATTCGGCAGAGTCCCCTCACAGAGAAAAAGTTCACAAAGCGAAACATATCTGGGCGCTTACTACTAGTATTATACTCTAGTGACGGAGTACTAGTAGACACCTACCTAGGTAGCTTGAACTCTTTGACTGAGAATTCGCGTGGAATGGTTCGCGCCCCTCGCTTTCCAAGGTTCACTTCGCCGCTGAGCCATCAAAATGATTATCAGTGGGATCCACCATTCAAAGAAAGGGGGTTGTACTGCAACTAGTACTTTTCTCTTTTCAAGGTGTTTTTTGCTTTTTCCCTTTCCCCTCTAACCCTCTGAATTTATATGGAGTATTCATACAAGCATACGGAGTACAATTTTGGATATTGTACTACGGAGTACGGAGTACTTAATACCATTCCCATAGTACCTTAGATCCAATAGCCACGCGATAAGACCCTCGGCCCCCATCTCCCCCCAATGGCCTTCAGTTCTCGATACCACGGACACCACGGGAAATTGGCGAGAGAAGCGGTGAACGTGATACAAGCCATCCGATGCTGATCGCGTTGGTTGGGAGCCCCTGATCCACCGAATGACGAGCATACCAATGATGTGGAGATCCTGCACGAACCCCAGTCGCCTGGATGGAGGCACTTCCTGGCAATCGGAGCGGCGATCGCCAATCATCCCGCTTCTCTTGCTTCCTTTCTTACTTTCTCCAGTCGAATCAACCTGGACAGTGCGGATTCTAGATCTGTCGTCTGTGGTTGTAGGGTCCGTGTGATCCGACGCTTGTCGCGGGAACCCCTCGCTCGGATGATGTGACATGATGATCTCAGTGTGCTGCAAAATGACACATCCATCTCTCCATTTTAACTCCCCGACGAGGGGCAGACTATCGAAGTTCTAAGTGGAGAGCAACCACTCAAGGATTCCCCGTGGGCGCGCGTGGGCGCCTCTCAGCCTTAGGCCCGAAATAAGTGCCAAAGAATGGGGAGGCGCCTTTCATGCCCAACGCAATTTGCGCCTCGACCAATTCGCAATGAGACACTTCGGTACCGATATCGTTCCATCCCTGTTCATTTTCCCAGATTGTTAGTGTATTGGGGCCCGAAAAAAAGAGGGGGCTGACGGATTAATCCCTTTCCAGCAGCCGTCTCCAATGCAGGGAAAAGGATATCAAGTGGACTTGTTACCGAGAGCGTACTCAGCACTCCGTACCCTAGATTCTAAGCTTTAGCCTAGAAAGCTCAGAGCGGCAACCTCCAGGCCAATATCACTCCATAACTCGAACAAAGGATGGGGAATGTCGCCGCAACCCAGGCCCATTCCATCCTCGGCCACGTGTGCTTCTTTTCTTTGTTGGGATTAAAATACTATCAACTAGAATCGTAGTCAATGCTCTCGGTGCGGGGCCTACCTGCGCATGGTTTGTCTGTATTGTACTTATGGCACTCTATCGTGATTGGAGCCTTTGGGATTCGACACTGTACAGGTGTCGGGTAATTCCTGGGTTGTGGCCTCGATCTCGGGGGCTTTTTTTTTGTTTCAAGTACTACGGTTCGCTCCCAACGCCTAGTGTGGCAATTCGAAATTACCAGGAGTTGCGGTCAAGCCATATTTTCGCCACAGGCATCACCGACTAAATCGTCCCAACTCGAGTCGCAAGTCTCCTAGGAATGAGACACGAATGGCGAATGCACGGTGCATCGGACAAATCAGCATAGTACAAAAGCAATGGCCACCGTGCAACCCTGACTCGCTTTTGATACGTATTTCCCGTCCTAGGAGCTGATGGAAATCCATGCTTATGGGGACGTCCTCCTTCAACAGGTCAAGGATAAGTCCCAATTGCCACCCTTGTCTCTGGTAAATCGCCGTGATCGCTGATCTCCACTTCAAGGCAGTCTAGCTAGAATGGGCATCGCGGGAGGTGTAGGTTTGCCTCACATCTCCACTCAGCCATGGCCAGGTAGATCATGCAAGACCGTGCAGACATCAAAAAACGTCTGGAAGGAACGCATGTGCGATGCCTCTCAGGGACCCACTCTGATGCAATTTTTAACTGGAGTTGCACTGGACACAACCCTAATCAAGTTTTTGTTCATAGTGCCCAGGTAGATAGGGTTGGTCGCATTGTGTGGGATGTCAAATCTGTAGCGCGGGGCTATTTTCCCCTGGGGGTGGGGTCTGCACTTAAGACCGTCTCGGGGTTTCAATTTTCAATTAGAAACGTGAAGACAGGCTGCCGGTGGTGCCCTACTTCTAGCATGAATGATATTTGCGGCATATCTCATTGCCTCCGAGTCCATGAAATCCGAGTGGTTGTTGCAAATTCCCCAAAAAATTACAAGATTGAAGCCCGAAGTTCCAAGGTTCTGACAATGATTTTTTTCTTTTGATGGAGCATCAACCTTACTACCTACTATTTAGGATATGCCTAGCACCATTGTACTAATAGTAGCCATGCCCAGGTAAAACCAGCCACCTGGAAACTTGTGTTTTGATAAGTTCTCGTGACGCGAATAACACTACCTACTACTAGTACTAACTGCTGCTACTACTAACATACTTACTAGTATATAGCTTGAGGTAACTAGTTACTTCATTTGTTCGAGTCACAATAGTAGTAGTATCCAATCTTGGAATTTGCTACAGCTACCTACGATACAGAAACGATGGATCGCATTTCGCTTGATTACTACGCGTCAAATTGATATTGATAAGTTTGGCAATCAAATATAATATCAGAATTGTAGGTTGTGTTCTTCTCATCACTGAAATATGTGGCCTCAGGTATCAACGCTAACCCGATATGGATAGCTGGCGATGAGATAAGCCAAATTTTGTGACAAGGCCGCTTCCCCTCCACGCTGCATGACTCTGGCGAATGCGCACCCAAATTTCTTGATATCCTGACACCTGTGTGGCTTGAGATTGCGGAAAACGTCTCTTCCAAACCCAGCTGTTTAGTCACAATGCCGCCTCGCAAGAAATTGCAGGCTTCTGCGACTGCCCAGGGCCGGCGCCTCTCGGAGGTAACAAAACCTTTTACTCAGACATACAACACACAATAGGCATACTAACATTGGTTTTCCGGATAAATTAGGCTACGGCTGCCTCAGCGACCGATCCCTCGAAGAGAAAACGCTCCTCCATCGCCAAAGAATCCCATCACCCGGCCGAGTTCAACGAAGCCGCCGAGCCGCCGGTCAAGTCTGATTACAGGGAAAGAGATCCGTTTGATGCGCTCCTAGAGCCTTTTTACTACAACAAATCGCTTACAGACCCAATCGATACTGCAAAGGACAAATGGAACTTGCTCCCCGCTTTTCTGAAGGTGAAGGGTTTGGTCAAGCAACACATCGACTCATACAACTACTTTGTTGAGGTACAACTGAAGAAGATCGTTGAATCAAGCGCTATAATTCGCAGCGATGTCGACCATCAATTCTATATCAAGTTTACGGACATCTACGTTGGTTCGCCTCGCCGTGCAGACGAGATGCAGGACGCCGGGGTTGAATTTGAGTCAGATGTGACTCCGCAGGAGTGCCGACTTAGAGATACTACCTACGCGGCCCCCATCCTCATCGATTTCGAATATGTGAGAGGCAGGAAGAGGGTTCATCGAAAAGGTGTGTCGATTGGTCGAATGCCCGTGATGCTTCGCAGCTCCAAATGTGTTCTGGCAAACAAGACCCCGGCGCAGATGACGGTCCTTAATGAATGTCCACTGGATCCTGGTGGTTATTTCATTGTGAATGGAACAGAGAAGGTGATTCTTGTTCAGGAGCAACTGAGCAAGAATCGTATCATTGTGGAAACCGATCCAAAGAAAGAGATCGTGCAGGCTTCAGTTACCAGGTTCGTAATCGACTAGCCATCTCGCGTCTTCTTGAATGCTAATACTAAAATGTTGTACAGTTCTTCTAACGAGAGAAAATCAAAGAGTTACATTGTTCTCAAGAAGGACCGACTCGTCGTGAAGCATAACGTGCTCAGCGAGGATATTCCAATTGTTGTTCTGCTCAAAGCCATGGGAATCCACACCGATAAGGAAATGTTGCAGCTTGTAGCTGGCTCTGATAGTCTCTATCAGGATGATTTCGCAATCAACTTCGAAGAGGCTATTAACTTAGGCATTTTTACGCAGCAGCAGGCGCTGGAGTGGATTGGCTCCCGTATCAAAATCAACCGCAAGCAGGGAGCGTATCGCAGGACCCATGTCCAAGAAGCCGTGGAAGCCATCGCATCCGTCATTATCTCCCACATTGAAGTCAAGAACATGGACTTCCGGCCAAAGGCTATCTACGTCGCTCACATGGCCCGTCGTGTTCTGATGGCCAAGAACGATCCGTCGATGGTGGACGACCGTGATTATCTCGGAAACAAGCGGCTGGAATTGGCCGGTCAGCTCTTGGCTTTGTTATTCGAAGATCTGTTCAAAAAATTTTGCTTTGATATCAAAATGAACATCGACAAGGTCTTGAATAAGCGCAATCGCGCCGAACAATTCGATGCGTGGAGTGTGATGAGTATGCATGGTAACCACATCACCCAGGGAATGAATCGTGCCATTTCAACTGGAAACTGGAGCTTGAAGCGTTTCCGCATGGAGCGCGCTGGTGTGACTCACGTGCTGAGCAGACTGAGTTACATTGCTGCACTCGGCATGATGACTCGTATTAGCAGTCAGTTTGAAAAGACTCGAAAGGTCAGTGGCCCGCGTGCACTGCAGCCATCCCAGTTTGGTATGCTGTGTCCGGCGGATACCCCCGAAGGAGAGGCTTGTGGTCTGGTCAAGAACTTGGCCCTCATGACCCACATTACGACCAACGACGAAGAAGGTCCAGTGCGCAACTTGATCTTCATGTTAGGCGCAGAAGACATCTCCACTGTCAGCGGACTCGAGCTTTACGCACCTGGGACCTACACAATTTCAATCAACGGTACACCAACTGCCATGACTAGACGTCCCAAATACTTCCTCAATTCCTTCCGCAGGCTCCGCCGCATGGGTCGTATCTCTGAGTTCGTCAGTATCTACATCAATCACCACCAGCGGTCAGTCCATATCGCCACAGATGATGGCCGTATCTGTCGGCCCCTCATAATCGTGGAAGATGGCAAATCACGGTGTCGCCAGCATCATTTGAAGAAGCTGAGGGATGGTACTATGGCTTTCGACGATTTCCTTGCTCAGGGTCTTGTCGAATATCTTGACGTGAACGAGGAAAATGATTCCTACATCTCAATTTACGAGAAAGACATCAATGATGCCACGACCCATTTGGAGATCGAACCCTTCACTGTGCTAGGTGCTGTTGCCGGCCTCATTCCTTATCCCCACCACAACCAATCGCCTCGTAATACCTACCAATGTGCCATGGGTAAACAAGCTATTGGTGCTATTGCTTCAAATCAGTTCCAGCGAATTGATTCCATTCTTTATCTCATGGTGTATCCGCAGAAGCCAATGGTCAAATCGCGGACAATCGAATTGACCAAATACGACCAGCTTCCCGCCGGACAGAATGCCACTGTTGCTGTTATGAGTTACTCTGGATATGATATTGAGGATGCTCTGGTTTTGAACAAGGGCTCGGTCGACCGCGGATTCGGACGTTGCCAGGTCTTCCGCAAATATGTCACGAACCTAAAGAGTTATCCTAGTGGATTGAAGGATGATCTGGTTGGCCCAGAGTACGAGAACGACGCACCAATTCTCAAACACGCACTGCTTGAGGCTGATGGTTTGGCCGCAGTGGGTGAGCAGGTCAAATCAGGCGAGGTGTACATCAACAAGAGGGTGCCTGATCAAGCTCACACGATGGGCCTTATGGGATCCGACTCGGGCAAACCTGTCTCTTGGAACCCTGCACCAATGGCCTACAAGCTCCCTGACCCCGCATATATCGACAAGGTGATGCTATCTGCTACAGAAGGCGAGACGCGGCTCATCAAGATCTTGACGCGCCAAACCCGTCGCCCTGAGGTTGGAGATAAGTTCTCATCTCGCCACGGACAGAAGGGTGTTACTGGAATCATCGTCGACCAGGCTGATATGCCGTTCACCGACCAAGGCATCAATCCCGATATCATCATGAACCCTCACGGTTTCCCGTCTCGAATGACAGTCGGTAAGATGTTGGAGCTGGTTTCGGGCAAAGCAGGTGTTTTGTCTGGACAGCACGGCTACGGCACTTGCTTCGGTGGTAGCCCCGTTCAAGAAATGTCACAGATTTTGATTGATCATGGCTTCAGCTACGGTGGTAAAGACATGCTCACGTCTGGTATTACTGGCGAGCCACTCCCATTCTATGTGTTCACTGGTCCAATTTATTACCAGAAACTCAAGCACATGGTTCAAGACAAGATGCATTCTCGTGCCCGTGGTCCCACTGCTACTCTGACACGCCAGCCTACCGAAGGTCGTTCGCGTGACGGTGGTCTCCGTCTCGGTGAGATGGAACGTGATTGTTTGATCGCCTACGGAACAAGCCAACTGCTGTTAGAACGTCTCATGATCTCCTCTGACAGACACGAAGTGGACATTTGCGAGAAGTGTGGCTTCATGGGCTATCTGAACTGGTGTCCCGGCTGCAAGTCGTCTCGGTCCGTCGTCAAGATGGTCATGCCTTATGCTGCCAAGCTTCTTATCCAGGAATTGATGAGTATGAATGTCGCTCCTCGACTGAAGCTGGAGGACGAGTTCCCTGAGATGAAAGGCCGCTAGAAAATGAGTTACAAGGTTATGATGGTGTTCTGGAACAAAGAACGGGGTGCATCTGGGTATTTCTGTATGTGTAAATTCTTAACAAAATGGCATAGCGCGGCGATTTCAATACCAGTCTTCCAACCATGTAGGACTGCAAGTAATTAGTATGTGACTAGAATCCTCAAAACCGTGAGTACCTAGGTATCCGCATTTCGCTATGTCTATAAAAAAGCATGCGTGTCTCTACTACTACCTAGGTAGGTATTGATCGGGAATCTGAAATATCTATACCTAGTTAGTTTTTCGTGTCCAATTCAACGCCTGAACAATTGCATTTTGAATATGATAAATAGAAAAGATAAGACAAGACCAGAAGACCAGTAATTCAAAGCATCAACACATTTGACTCAAACGCAACCTGTTGATACCGCGCAAACTCAATCAGTTCATTCAGACAGCCAACCCTTATCTTGAGCGCCTCGTCCAAGCTCAAAGGCATGTCCCCTTTCTTGTCTCTATTATCAAGCGCTAATTTCGCCATAGAATCCGCAAGCTTTTCGTCTTCGGGATCGGGTTTCAGCGTCCAATCTAGTCGCTGAGGCGGAATATTGGCCGTCGAGATAATCCGGATATTCGGGTCGATCAAGTAAAACACCAAACCACGCGACTTGCCCGGCTTTGACTTGTCTTTCAGCTCGAATCTGGTAAATCGGTGCTGCACCGTGCTTGGGAAGATAATAGCACGTCCAAGAGAGCATCTCATTGAACCGGAGCGCTGGATAGCCGGCTCGCCGTTTTCCAGGCCGAATACCTGCTTGAGCCAGATAAAGTCTTTTGGTTCATGGTCCACTTCTTCGAGTGTGGCTGTTTCAACTACGTTGCGAAATTCCATGATGGCTTCCTCCATATTCTCGATCTCGTAGGTAATGAAGGCCGCGGCACAGACATGTTCATTCTATATAAAAAAGCCGTTTAGTTTCAAGACAGGTCTTGCCATCTGAGGTTGTGCTAGGATACTGACCATTTGACCCTCGACATGCCACTCTGTTTGATGATATGGGTCATCAGGAGTAAGATCCACGCCCATGAGCCGAGTAACAACTTGAAGTCCCCTATCCTTATAGTCTCGCTTCAGGTCGACCCCCTGCTCAATGCGAACGGGACTAGGTAAATCTTCCGGGAGCTTTGACATAAGGCAGCGTGGCACAGCCCAAGGAATGAACTTCCCTGCATCAGGCTGAACGGCACTATAGTTCTCCATCCTCCATTGTTCATAACGCTCCTCAAATTCACTATGCGCTTCTCGGGGTTTTATCTGGGGTGCTCGATCCGCAGTCTCTTTCGGTACAGGGTAGTACTCGGCCTTGTGGTATTCGATTCGGGCCCGAGAATGAAGCATGTCTTTGAGCGGGGTTATGGTCATGTTAAATTGGGGAACGAGGCAATTGAATGCCTTCTCAATGATCCCGTATATATTGCGATGCTTGACGGGGTGCAAATTGTTGATGTAAGTGGCAATGTGCCATTGGCCATCATCTCCAAGCTGCCAGTCTGATGGGAGAACTTGAAACATCCGGCTATATGGCCGTACTGAAATGTCTGCTCGAGCTCGTACACGCCAGGCCATGTCCTCTCTCGTGACTCCACTATCACTAGGAACAGGTATAACCTCGCCCTGGCCGGCGAATCGCAATGCCTCATCCAGGCCGATGAGTCTATCCGGGAGAATGCGGCTTTTGCCATATATGAGTGGGTAAAGAGCCATTGCGAGAAGATCTCGCTGCCTGTTGAAACTTCGAGGGTGATAGAATTTCAGCTCCTCATGTTCCATCTCTAGGACCTGAGTTGAAGATCGTATCTCTTGAAGGAGAGATTCTGGCACATTCGTATCAGACTTGGTGGAATCACCGTTGTATAGCCCGACGCAATGGAATCTCTCGTAGATCATTGCCTTGAATGTCAATTCATCCACAATCCAGTTGGCCATATTTTGCGTGATATCTTGACCGCTATTCAGAGCCATTTTTCTCCATTCCGCAGTGACAGTAGAATCTGAGACCTGCCAGAAACAAACGGTTAAAAAGGCTCTGAGACTTTAGCAACGTACAAATTAGCACATACCTTCTTCCACCATTCTGGGATGTCTGTTATCTGCTCCATGATACCCACCATGGCTATTTCGCGAAGAGTCTGGACAGGCAATCTAAGTGGGCTTCAGTATTTGCCTTTTGACCAGAAGGGAAGTCCAACTTACTCAGTATATCCATTCTCAATATCTCGGTCATCGGCAGCTGTCGGGAACATGCTCCGGCTCTCCACGCCATATATGTTCTGCTCGGTCGGGGCATAATCCAACGGACGGCCATATCCAGGAAGGTGAAAGCGATAGTCTTGGTTGTTACTGATGCTGAGGAAACTTTCCTCATTTGCTCGATGCTGGAACATGGCGACAGCAACACCGGGATAGGTAGTCTATAAATTTTCGTTGGCGTCAGATTAGAGTAAATCTCCGAGATATTGATGGGCCTACCAATTCAAACTTCTTTTGAATTGGTGTCAACGTTCAGAGCAGCAGGATGAAATCCAACAAGTTTTCAGATTAGAGCGGGAGCTGGCGCTATGTTGATATGGAGAAGACAGCTGTGTCCACTCAATGACGCACTGCTGTCGTCGTTATAGGTGGAATAGCTGGTGTAATTCGTCCTATCAAAAGGTCCGCCAGGGGAAGAATCGGAATTTAACTCCGGCTCATAGTTTTTGAGCTTCATATAGAGATGTGAATGGAGGCCCGCGGAGATTAAGGTCATAGTGACTGAACTTATAAAGGTTCCCACGGGATTCCGAAAGTCAAACACACAATAACAATGTTGACGAAGGAAATAATGCCAGAATATTTGTACAATAATAGAAGCCCTGGGGTTTTTCAACACCATAAGATATCATTGTCTAGAAAGTAATCATGTTGTGGATGAAGAGAGCTCCAAGTGTTCCTTAACAATGCCCCAGTATCGATCCGGTGCTGCCCGCATATGTCCAACATGAGGCGAGCCTTGGAATCGCTCACATTGCACGAGCCAGCCGGCAGCTTCCGATTCGGATGCATGCATTTCAACATCACGGTAATCAACCAAATCATCGGTCTCGGAATACATATAGCAGCGTACGGGGACACCCTTCTTGTTGACAGCCTGCACAAGCGAGAGATCATTGATCGTCTTTCGTGCGCAGCTGATAACATCTGGGGAGCGTGTGATGCTCTGGATCAATTTCATTGTGACAAGGAAGATATACAGAAGACCTTTGCCGAATAATCGCAGAATCCACATCCGAGGAAGTGCAAAAGAGAAGGCTCGAACCGCGGAGCTGAGTTTTGCGGTTCCGGGTGCACTATCCACTACCATTGCTGAGAAAGGGAGGGGTTGCCCTGTTGCAGCTTTGTATGCCTTGAGCAAGTGGGCGGTTTTGGACAGGCCGCCATTCGAGAAGAGGTGCATGAAAACGGGGTTCTCAGGGGCCACGAAGGAGCGGATTGCTTCTACAGCAGGGGTTATCTGTACTCGCTGCGCATTTTCGGTGGCTTGAAGAAAGAAATCATTCGAGGAGCTTCTCACAAAAATTATGCGAGCAGTGGGTATCAGACGTCTGTACTCGACTGCGTACTTGGCGAGGGCGCGAGGTGGTGCGTTCATCCAAAAAGCGATGAAGACCACCGGCCGATTATCTTTGCCCCCCACGTCTGCTGGGTCCTGCATATAGACAGAAGGACCCAGTTTGTCAAAAGGAGCCAAGGGATCTGAATTTGTAGCCATGGTGGTCGTTTGATTGACAGGAGGGTGGTGCTGGTAATTCTTAGGAGCGAACAAAATAAGCCGCGGCGATCCCCGGTCTGCCAAGTGCCGGCCCGACTGCAAGTCGAGTTTGGATACCAACCTTACGGTCAATGTGATTTATAGATACTCTTAATCTAGTATGTTATGAAATAGTACTTGGGGTTTATCAAGAAGATACAAGTCACCGAGATAATTCACATACAAGGTCCCCAATCAAGAATCAGAGATATTGACCCGGAGGCCCTGGAGATTACTATAAACCGAGAATTGTATTTTGCCATCGCAACGAAATTACCAGAACGCCTATTCCTCGCTATGCCCGCATACCAATAGTGCCCCCTCTTTTGCGCATCATCCAGAGGCATCACATCTAGAGGTTTTAAACGTATCATCATGCAAGGTTTCATGAGAGATTGCGACTAGGTGCCATCTCAGCGCTTCTTGCCTAGGGTCCGGCCGCCGCCATTCCCCTTGCCCTTTTGGCTTTCAGCCTCACTGCCCGAGGTGGGTGTTGCTGAGCCCCCAAGATCCTTCTTCTTCCCCCGTAAGGTTTGGCCGATGCCTTGGAACTTGGGCTGATCCTCTGGAATTACCAGTCCATTCTCATCGCGCGGCTTAGGCGGCTTGATTGTGTAGCCAAAGAATAGCTGGTTAGGAGGGAGCCGGAGAGGCTGAGGGCCATTGAGTTTTCGAACTGGTGGAGGGTGCTGGGGGTTTGTAGCTCCCGGGACTGGGGTGCTGGCTTTGGGAGTAGGAGCTTTGCTGCCCTTTTTGGCATTAAGTCGTTGGCCGCCCGAAAGAAAATTGGACGATACGGCCTTCGCTCCAGCAGCGGCATCAGTTGATTCCGGTGCGATGGCAGAATAGTTGATGGACTGTGCCATCGTACCATGGGGGTGAAGAAGCCCACCGGCAGGTAGCTTGCCACCGCTTACGACACTGCCTGGGGTGCTGGTGCCGCTAGTGCGTTGTGGTTCTTCATATCCTACAGGAGGAGCGAAGTCGACTTCTAGATCGGTCTCTAGCACGGACACCGCGCTTTTGGAACCCGCAGGTTTAGTCTCGAGGACAGCCATCTCATATATCTGATCATTATATGCAAATGTGAAGACGTCGCCTTTAGTTAGGCAAGAGAAGTTGCGGAACGCGTTTTCAAGGACAGCTTTGGGATCACTGATATCGAGAAATGAGGTCGACTGGGCTTGAAGCTTGATGAATTGACCTGGGGGGGAGGTCGGTAGACTTGATCTGAAGGAGGTCGCCGGGTTCTAAGAGGAGTGTTTGCATGAGCTAGAGAGGATGGTTAGGATGTTAGAGGCGAGCTTGATGTTGATAACGTCGTTTGATATCGGAGGCGGTTTTCTTGTCACTAACCCAAAATGGTAGATAGATCTTGCCCTCCTCAGCAATAAATTCAAGAACACCAGCATGGGTCATTCTGTCTTTTGCACCATTATGCAACTCGAAAAGCATAGGATAGGTGATGTGGAGACGAGTGAGCTTGTCCAATGCGCTGGGGGGCATGATGACCTTTCCACCGTGGTTGACATTCTCTCGTTCGGGACCAGGAAGCATCGCAACAGGATAGCAGCGGTAATATTCATCAAATCGGCGAGCAGCGCCGCGCATCATGCCGGCACCTAGAACGCCTTCCATAGGGTCATCGAAACCGTAGTCAGGTCGGAACTGAGAGCTATTAGATCGCAATCTTCGGAGCTCCCTTGACAGGGGGGGGGGGGCAAATGGGAAGAAGAAAGGGACTCACCATGATTTGACGCGATACAGAGAGGGATCACGAATGCTGAATACCGAGATGTTTGAAGCATCGGAATCGGTGCCACGTGAATAAGACCAGAACGAACCGCAGAGGGCGGAGTGACGCAAGACAAGGAATCTGCCGCTCCGCTCCGACTTTACATACACTTGCACCTGCACTTGCATATGCCCGCCACGAGACATTTACACAGCTACACAACAGCTCTCTACCAGTCACAACCTTCCGCGTGAAGTACCATGGAGAGCTCACAAGCTAGCTCAAAGCGGGCTGGGGCGGATTTCACACGCTCCCACCTCGGTCAAGATGAGCCTGGAGCCTCAGATAAAAAGCCACGATTTGATCTCCGCAATCCCTCTGCTCTTGCGCCCGAAGCGCCCGAAGAAGACGCCGTTCTAGATGCCGATGAGATTGGTCGGCGAGGCCAAAGATTACGAAGAAAAGCGATCAACATCGACGGCTACGACTCAGATAGTGACAATGAGGGGTTCTCCGCGCGCAGAGAAGAAAAATCAAAGCGTGAACAGGAGAAGGAAGACGCCGACGATGACGACATGTTCGCTGAGCTGGAAGACGACTTCGGCAAGGGCAAGGGCAATGCCGATGCCGACGAGGGAACTGGCAAAAACAAGAAGAATGTCCGATTCTTACAGAACGACGAGATCGAAGGCCAGGTTGCTTCCTCAACAGGCGGGAAGAAATTATCTGCCGACCTAAGCAAAGGCGCCGCCGATATGATAAATAATGACGACTCGGAGAGTGATAGTGAAGTCGACGAGGAGGAAAGGGCCAAGGTGGACAAAGAACAGGACGACGAGCTTGGCGCTGGCGCCAAGAAAAAGCATGCGCCTTTGCTCGATGCATTCAATATGGCAACAGAGCAGGAAGAGGGTCGGTTCGATGACCAGGGCAACTACGTACGAAGAGCCGTGGACCCGGACGCTGCTTACGATTCCTGGCTGGATGGGGTGTCTAAGAAGGATATCCGCAAGGCAAAAGAAGCCGCCGAGAAGCGCGACGAAGAAAGGAAGCAAAAGAACCGAATGGATGGGGAGGTGTTAACTGCCGATGTTTTGAAAACAATTATCACAAACCTGGAACGTGGCGAAACAATACTAGAAGCACTGGCCCGGCTCGGCAAGGGTCTTCAGCGCAAGCCAAAATGGCAGAACAAGAAGAAAAACACTAAGAAGGGGAAGGAACACGAAGACACCGAGATGGCCGATGAGAACCCGGACGAAGCTAGACGGAGGCAAGCGATCGAAGCTGTTACTGGGGCCGCTGATATCCTAATGGATCGGGATCAGCCTGAAATTTACGACACAGAGCGCGAGCTCCTCACCCGACAGTATAAGAGCGAGACAGGCGAAACCTGGCTTGATCCGCCGTCGTCTAACCCTGCAGAGCTCGAGCAAGGGCCTGCTTTGTGGGAGTATCGCTGGTCTGACGCCCGCGATGGCGGTGATGCCCATGGCCCTTATGAAAGCTCTATGATGCAAGCATGGCAAAGCGCCGGATATTTTGGCGAAGGCGTGGAGTTTCGCAGGGTGGGAGATACAGGACCGTGGAGTGGTACAGTCAATTTTGTGTAGTGTAATACCAGCAAATGCAATAAGGTCTCAAATCAATTCAAAAAGCATAAAGATCTCCTTGAAAAAGCGCCAATCCTATCATACATCATCTGATGTGGCAATCAAAATAAAAGAGTCAAATAGTAGAGTTTTTCTTCCCGCTAAACCGTCTCCCTATGAGCCTTGAACGCGCCAATGAAAAAAGAAAAGCGAACGGTTATTATGAAAGCTCCATGGCATCACCATTGGTAGCCGCCGTGAAGCTGACGGTGCCTTGATCGCCAATGAAGCGTTGTTCATATTGGTTGACAAACTTGACACTGCGAGCCGGATCGTAGAACAGTCGGAAGCTGCGTTGAACGTCATCGATGCTGACTTCCTTGGCCTTGCGTTTCTGGCTCAAGAGATGCGAAGTAGTGATAATGTTGCTCGCGTATCGAAGGTTAGACTCCTCGCCAATCTTTGTCAAGAGGGCGAGAGCATCCGGCGAAACATCGATTTCCTCTTCTTGTGCCCGAATGGCAAGGATTTGCCGGATTTCATCTGCGTTATACGGTTGCGTGCTGACAATTACGACGCGGTCAAGGAAGTCCAGAGGGAGACCGTGTGGTGATGTATAGGTGGTGCCGCGGATCTTAGCTTGACCACGGTTACTGGCCATGATAACAATGGGTGCCAGCTCAGCTTCGAGGGCACGGTTGATGTAAGAAAAGCACTCAATGTCGAGCATGTGAACCTCGTCGATAAAAAGGACACCAGGGATGATTTCGGCTTTGCCTTCTTCCTTCCACTCTGCTACCTTGGTGTTGATCTGATCGCGAACCTCGCTTCGGATCTCCCCAGTGTCGCCTGAAAAAAGTGCCAAAAATCCTTGTGACCGCGAATTGATGACATCAATCTCGTGCAGACTGACAGTATGAACAATCTCCTTGCGGACCTGCAATTCGCCCTCGGGGCATTGGACAAACTTGGTGTCGGCGCCCATGGCGTCGTAGTCCCGCGAGCGAGCGTATGACCGACCAAGCTTGGTAATTTTGCCGGAAGACTTATCAATGGAAATCACGTCACCTGCCATCACACGTTCCTTGGTCATCGAATCGATCATCTTGGTTCCCATATCGTAAATCGTTTCCATGTCGGTGGTCTTGATCGTGAGCTTGCCTTGTTTGTTGCCCTATGGGATACCAGTGGTCAGCTTGGCGTTCATTCTGTCGCGGGAAAGGGCCTAAGAGGCTACATACTCCAGTCACGCTTCGATCAATCTGAATTTCCACCACTTCACCCTCAATGATCTCGCTCTCCTCCTTGATTCGCACACCGATAGATTTTCGGAAGGCCTGGGTCAAGGCCTCGGTCTTGGACATCTCCATGGAGAAGATTTCGGATGAAGCGAGCATCGTGAAGGGAACGTCGGATCCAAGCGATTGGGCCATACCCATAGCGATGGCAGTCTTTCCGGTGCTAGGAGGGCCGGCAATTAACACGGCGCGACCGGCGATCTTGCCGTCCTTCACCATTTGCAAAATCACAGCGGCGGCCTTGCGCGCCTTTTCTTGGCCGACTAGACCTTGAGATGCGCCACGGGGCTGTAGTGTGTCCAAATCAACACCGAGGCCTCTGATATGCGAATGGGCAGCGATGAGATTCAAGCCCCGGAGCTCCTTGCTCTCCGCAACGGTGGAAATGGGCTAAATTTGAGGGTTAGTAGGAGTGAGTCAACAATTAGGAGCTTCACAACTCACGACAGCCATTGTGACCGAATTCCAGAAGGTCGTAATTTGGGGAACAGGAAGTAAAAAGTGATGAGAATGAAAGGCGGAGGTTAGGTGAGAGATTCCTCGCGCCCTCCCGTCCAATCGAGAGTATCACGTGACTAATACCAATTAACACCAAGGTGGAAGGCGCAAACGCGGAGTATCTTTTGATTCTTGATTTTTGACCACAAAAGATCTCCTTGTCTTCTTCTTTCACTTCATGGGATCTGCGAAACTGCCCATCCCCCCTACCCAAGGCATGAGACCCTTTGCTCTCCTGTCGACCTCTGACCTACAACCTCTTTCACTCAACAACTCTCTTCGGTTTGGTTGCACTAGCGCGACGCGCTTCGTGTAAGCTGTCGCTGAACAAAGAATCAATGCTTGTTACATATTACCACACGTGGAGCTGATAGTGATTCAGTTCTCCGTTCCTTCCATCCGCAGAATTGCCCATCATCTTCGAAATGTTTTTATGAACCACCTGTGTGATTTCTCCCCGACCAGTTGCAATCTACATTTACAGCATGGAGGCGAACAGTCCACACGGCCTGCCTGGCCAGGTCAGTTCCCGAGCTCCCTTGCCCCCCTCAAGCGATCCTCGCCTCAAACGATCTCGCCCATCAGTCGCGACATCATCTTTCACTCGTCATTCGCAACATTCACTACCCTCCTCTCCGACCACCGCTCTACTACCTACTCATGAGCAAGCACAGCATTCCCTGTTAAGAGAAGCCTCCGATTTGACGCCTCGCACACATTCCGACCCTGTGCAGAATATCGATGGATCGGACTTGAACGGATTGTTACTTGAGGTTATGGATGCCCGAGCTTCAAGGATGATCCAGATACAAGAAAGAACAAAACTTGAAATAGAGGAGTCTTCCTATCAACGTGACCTGGCAAAGGCAAAACGGACAAAGTCTTTCCCAGCGACCATTGAAAGCTTGGAGGCCGACGCAGCTGCCTGTAAAAATAGGCTGTCCAAGATCAACCATCTGATCACCCGACAACAAGCTCGCTCAACTGAACTTACTGGTGATCTCGCCAAATTGCTTCGGCAGACCACAAATTTGCACATTCCTTCAGTGGCCGCTCCTATACCGGCTGCCTCTGGCACTGGTCGGGACATGATTAGATTGGAAGATGACGTGAGGAAGATCAAACGAACAATTCTCATTAAGAAAGAGGAGGACCTCCCTGACAAGCCCATCGACATCTTTAAAGTCTGTAACACTGTTGAGTCGCAAGCAAAAGCGCACACGACCTTTCGGAAAAGCATCAATGCCATCGAGGAATGGAGATCTGTTGCAGAGCATGAACCAAAGACACAGCAAACGCAGGAACAAACTTCATCAAGACTGGAAATAGAGCAGCTTACGGAGCAGGCACGCAAGACCACCGAAAACCTCTCAACTTTGAAGAACCATGTGCAAGATATTCACCAGATGGTTCAAAGAAATAAAAGCAGTGTCCATACACTGGTAGCCGATCAAAAGAGCATGGAAACTGCATCAAGCACACAGAGAGAAGAACTGGAATCCAAAATTGCAACACTGGGGCAAAATCTTTACCGGGAACAAGGGCAAACCATATCTGGTGTCATTTCCGATTTCACCAAAAAATTCGATCATATTTCCCAGAGAATCGATGCTCTCAAGAACTCTGAACAAGAGCGTGGTCTGTCTTCTGAACCGTCTGCTGGCCTAAGAGAAAAGGTATCGGATCATGATCAAAGGCTCATCAAGATGAAAGAGGGTTGGGACGATCTTCTACGTCGAATCCCAGCTCTATACGAGGCCTCCGAGGAGGTTAAAAAGTGCAGCAAGAGCTATGAGGGACTTGCTACAGCTATTCGATCATTGGAACTTCGGTACAACAATATCAATACCGAGGCCATGGTCACGAAAATGGCCCATGTCATACAAGAGATGTATCCATCAGCCCGCCAGTTGAATGAAGAAGTTGTTGCACTCAGAAATTCTGTCAACCAGGAGCTATCAGGAATCAAGCCAAGTGCAAAGATTGCACAGCTTCAAGACCAACTTGACAAACTTGACAAAGAAATCGTTTCCCAGAAAACCATCTGCCTCCACAATACAGGGATGTTCGGCGAGATGAAAGGAGCCTCAGATGCCAAGTCAAATGAATTGGAAGTGCAGCTTCAAGCCCTGAAAACCCAACTTGGAGCTACGGTGAAGTTGGTGGATGGGCTACGACTACAGCCACCAATGGAAATGCCTCCCCAATCTTCTTCGGCAGATGTTATCAGTGCCACAGAAGTCCAGGAAATCCGCGACCAAATAAGAGCAATGCATGAAACAGCAAAGAGTGAAATGGTGGATTTACTGGCCAACGTGAATTCTATGCTTTCATCCCAGTCGACGGGCCTCGCCAATGTCCAGGAACTAAGTGGTACCAACAAAGCCTCCTGCGGTTCCAAAGGGGTTGAATTGACAGCAAGTAACAAACGCCCAAGAGAAGGATGCTCTGATGATGACAGCCCATCAGCAGCAGCCACCACAACCCATAGTGAGTCCCCTGCACCATCTTCGAATCCTGATAGAAGGATAGACGGCAAATCACAAAAGAAGAAGAAAAAGAAAAAGATCAGACAAAGCAATTTGGGAGCTCCACAGTCTTGAACCCACAATTCTAAAGTTGTTCTACTGGGGAGGGGGAGGGGTTCGGGACTTTAGCAGCGTTCAATTTAGTAGATACCTAGTACGAAGGTATGCATCCTAATAAGTGGGCTGTTGAACGTCATGCAATTATCTTTCTATCCTTCTATTGGTTTTCTAGTAGTAATATATTTGAATGTATTGAGTGGACGATTCACCCACAACTAGGATGATCCCAGAAATTTCACCACCGCTGTCAAAACAAACCTCTAAGTTAGCACTCTATTCGTCTGCAATCTCGGATATCAAGAGCTTACCCTGTCTGAATGCCTCGGGGTTTTCGGAAATAAGCCAGTGGCCAGCCTCAACGTCGGCGACCTGTGCGCTCGGAAAAAATTTCTTGATGGCAGGCAGCGTGTCTTCCGAGACGTATTGAGACTTCGTTCCACGAACGAACAAGGCTGGACCATTGTATTGAATGGAGTCCGACTGGCCGTATGGGAAGTCTGCCATGTTGTCAAGAGATGAGCCCAAGACTGACAAGGGAACACGGAACTTATATGTCCCATCATCTTCAGAACGGATCAGGTTGGTGAGAAGGAATTGACGAATTCCAAGAGACTAAACAGTAGTGCTGTCAGCGCCTGGGTCATGAGTGCATATACACTTTGATCATATGGTTGGCATACCTCTTCATAAGCCTCAAGAATCTTGTTAGCTTCCGACTGCTTCTTCACCTTTTCATTCTCTACATGCTGCATTCCCCGCACATATTTAGGGAAGTCGCTCTTCAGTGATGCGTTGACTGGGGCGTTATCCACGGGAATCAGGCCTGAGACGCGTTCCGGAGCACGGAGGGCCATCGTCATTGCCACTTTGGCACCCCTTTTTCATTATTAGCTTATTTTGAATGAAAGAATTTGTGACTGGATAGTGAAGTTGGGATGAAGCCACAACTCACATGGAATGTCCGATGAGAACACACTTATCCAGCTTTTGCTGCTGAATGAATTCCTGGACATCATCGGCCATCGCACTATAATTGTGCTCCGGGGCATGGAAGGACTGTCCATGGTTTCGCAGATCCTGGTCGGTGAATTAGTTGTAAGATTCCTTCAATGAACTAGGCTCTCCGGATCAACAGGAAATGCGAGGGAGTTTCGATTGTACCAGACAGAAAATTTGACGCTTCAAATCGCGGGCTAAAGCTCTGAAAAGAAATTAGACTCAAATCGACGATGTCTGGACATTGCGATTGCGTACTTGCTGATACTCCGATTATTTTGCTTAGAGCCGAATAGTCCATGCAGGAATAGGATGGGATCTCGGGTAGCCTGCTCTTTCTCTGGGCCGTAGACCTGGTAAGCCAGCTCGGCGCGAAAGACGCGTGCCGTCGAGAAGGCACGAAGCCCAGATACACCTCGAGTAGTAATGGCAGCTGTGCGAACAAACGACATGATGCAATATAGAGGTTCTCCTGGATTTTGGAGAGGGCAACTCGTCGCCGTTGAGAAATCGGGAAACCTCTCCGTGATGACTAAGCCGCTCGACATAACTAGGTGATCAACAATAACCAAGGTGTAGGGACCAACAATCATGATCCCCTGGCCACTAAATAAGCAATCAGAATGGAATATATGATAAAAATATGCATACTTCCAGGTCATAGCCTGTTGAAGTGGAAAAGCCGGGCAGCTGGGTGAAGTTCTACTCCTTTTCGCTTGTTGGAGTATGTTTTATCCTCTCCTTCCTCAACAGCAAACACAAACAAGAATTGACTGGTAATGAATGAGGCTGAAAAGTGGCCATACTCCCTTGCAAAGAGTTCCTACTATTTGTCCTGTTTGTAAAAGATCCTTGATGTGGGCTACATGCAAAGCCAGACCCTCATGGCCTAGCCTACTTGCCCCGCTTGAATTACATCCTATCATTGATATCGCATAGTCTTTAAATTGAACTGTGTATACATAGAACATCACCGCCAAAAGCCACAGGACGCGGGGCGCATGCCGATCTGCAAGGGATGGAGAGGGGTATTTTCAGCCAAGACATCGTGGCTTACAAATACCCCGGGAAAATGAAGAGAACCCTGAATGACCATAGTATGACCCCAGGCCAGTGCTTACTGAAATACAATAGGAAATAACTTGAAATATCAAAACACTGAGGCGAAGTTCTTTACGTGCTCTCTCTCTGCAACCCGTGCCATCATCCTTTGATTCAACTGCAAATCCGGCATTGAACACCACAATGTCTGATCGTCTAGAGACCGCCACCTCAAAGCCGTTCACCATCTCGGTTTCTGACGAGGAACTCAACCAGCTCCAGCAACGTCTTGCCCTGGCTAAATTCCCTTCTCAGCTCGAATCCTCTGACCAAGATCCGTGGGACTTTGGTGTTCCCACAAAAGATGTCCAGCGACTCACAAAGTATTGGAAGGATGGGTTTAACTGGAGAAAGGCAGAGGCTAAGTTGAATGAACTTCCTCAGTATCATACTGATATAGAAATTGAGGGATTTGATACCTTGGATATTCATTGTAAGCTTTTATTTGAATATTATATGATAATTTGCTAACATCATACCAAGTCATTCATCAGAAAAGCACCGCAAAGGGCGCCATTCCTTTGCTTTTCAGTCATGGATGTAAGCGAGTTCAATCCCCAAATAATGATCATCGCGATAAAAGCAAGCAGGTCTGACTAAAGTCTACTTAAGGGCCGGGGTCGTTCATCGAGGTGACAAAACTCTTACCTTTACTGAAAGGTGGCGATGGCCACCCTGCATTTCACGTTGTAGCACCGTCCCTGCCGAACTTTGGATTCTCTTCTGGAGTCACTCGACGTGGGTTCGGGCTTGCACAATATGCCGAAGCCCTACACAAGCTTATGATAAAGTTAGGTTACGAAAAGTATGGTGAGTTGTAGCCGCAAGCTCAGGGTGTAAACTTGAAGAACATGCTGATTTTAAATTCTCTTCTAGTTACCCAGGGTGGAGACTGGGGCTATTGGATAACACGAGCAATTGGTTACCAATACCCTGACCACTGTAAAGCTTCCCACGTCAATATGATCGAGGCAAAACCGCCCAAGTGGAGTACAAGTCCATTTCTTGCCCTTCAGCATGCACTCAAGCCATACTCCGACGCAGAAAAGGCAGGCCGTAAACGGGCTGAATGGTTTGATCGCGAAGGATATGGCTACAACACAATCCAGCGAACGAAGCCTCAAACAATTGGCGTCTCGTTGGCTGATAGCCCGGTAGCCCTGCTGGCTTGGGTATACGAAAAGCTCCATGACTGGACTGACTCGTACCCATGGACTGACGATGAGATTTTGACATGGATATCAATTTACTGGTTCTCCAAGGCGGGGCCCGAGGCCAGTGTTCGTATCTATTATGAAGGGTTTCACTCCGAATCTGTGTCGGGAATTTCATACCCCAAGCTCATGTCCTACATTCCCGGAGTGAAGCTTGGTCTTGCCCACCTGCCATGTGAAATTGCCGCTGCCCCCTCCACTTGGGCTGCAACACTTGGACCTGTGGTCCGACAGAGTCGACATGAAAGTGGTGGTCACTTTGCAGCCTGGGAAGTCCCTAATATCATTGTAAATGATCTTCATGCAATGCTCGGCAAAGAAGGCCCTTGCTATGGGCTGATTCCTGGCCGGGACGGCTATTGAGGGCTTTTGGTTTTGGTCCCATTCATTTTTCATGCCGGCGTTCTATAACAATCTTACATTCTCCGGAATGACGATTAACTCCAAGGGATCAAGTAAAAATCGGTAAGTACAGGGATCAATTATCCGCATAAAAGACTATTAGGCGTTCTGCATGTATAAGTTCAAAAGGTTTGCATGAGGATGCATAAATGCACTAGTATATGCGAAGTCTTATTTGAAATTGATAGAAATTATGTCTAGTTTCAATAAGAATCAAGATCTTGTGATGATCGATATCTATTTTCATATAATTTGGGATATCACTGTGGCGTTGTATGCATTTTCAGGACAGGATTCACCAGAGATATCGTCATCTAGATGCCATCCTGATGACCATACTTCAGAAGCTACTCGAAATCGTACTTGCATTATCCGGTGCAGATCCGGTCATCCGTTCCGGTTTCACCCAGGACACAGAGGCTTGTTTATCTCATAATCGTGGCTACCTCAGCTATTTTCCCCAACACTCTACCGCTCGATCCGCAATCCATCTATTCCAAATACTATCCGATGCTATGATAGCTTGAATGGCCCGCTATGACCCCCAATACTACACTGACGCTCGAAAGTAATTTTTCTGAACTCGTCCAAACCCTGTTTTTCAGTGAAATCTATGAGGGCTCAGCTCTTTTTGGAAGGTGGGATGTAAAACCCGGTGGTTGGTAAGCATTATCACATACGTACAAAAGTCACTGTGTGCTGTGAAGATAATTGAGGCGCAGCAAAAAGACTGTTCTTCAACCCCACTGAGTATCCTTGAGTCGCACTTTCCACCTCTGGTGATCTTGCAGTGGTTTGGGATGCGTTTGTGGGTCTAATCTTAGCAAAAGCCAGGCGGTGATGGGTAGAGACGCTTCTTGGACGAGAAAGCCAATTCGCAAGCCCATCAAACAGGCAAATGGACTGTTCAACCGTACCCACCAAGCTTTGTTGCTTTCGCGCCAAGTGGTACAAAGTTGGCACTAAACAACTTTGACCGTTCTCTGATAGGGCCCAGTGCCCATCTTTACTCTCCTCCACCCCACGAAAACCATAAAATACCCGGAGTCCCTGCAGCTTGGTTGCCGCCATCTTTGCCTCGTCCGACTGCCAGGGCCAATTAACTTTCAATCACATTTGAAGCTCCGTGGTTGGCCAACCTTCGGAAGGTCTGAAACCATGGAACGCCAAGAGATAGATACGCGAATTGATTGATAACGATCCGCTCGCGGGTCAGTGCCCAGGTGAATATTGAGTCTTTGTGGGATAATAAGATGTTTATATACGGGACTTAGTACGATCTGATAGACACGCTTATTCTGTCTAATCTGCTCTTACTCATTTCTCAAATTCATCGCTGAAAATGAGTATCAAAGAAATTCTTCACACCAACAACGTTTGGAGTGACAAGTATTTCGCAATTTCCGTTGGGGCAGTCATGGTCCTTCTAGCAATTAATCACTGGGGAAATGCAACATATCTGAAATACGGTCCTCGAAAGCCAGGCTCAATCCTGCAAGGGGACATACAATATCGTCGGTAAGTACAAGGTCCCGACGCTTGGAGCTAAGATTCATCATGGACAGTACTGATTGAAGCTTGGAACAGTGCGGGAGCACGATATTTGAATAAAGAAGTCTTAGGCATATCTCTAGAAGGATGGTCTTTATATACCATATACTAGGCTATCAATCTGATTCTTGCACTGACTGGTCTTGATTTGGCAAGTCTCAAATATGTATGTCATTCAACTAAAAATTATATGGACGCTCGAGTCCCACTAACATTGACTCCAGGTTGCTAAGCGATTTGGATGGTATGTGTTACCCGCTGGGGATTGTAGCAGTTTTGATTCCAAGCCCTGGAAGTGTATACTAGATAAATTTTTATTCAGGATATCCGTGGCCAACTTCGTTTTGCTCATTTTCCTTGCTCTTAAGAACACTCCCTTAGCCCCTTTATCCGGCCACTCTTATGAGAAGCTGCGGCCGTTACACAAAACCGCTGGTTACACCTGTTTCTTCACAACATTTCTTCACGCTTCTGTATATTTGAGTTCCTATGGAAAATCTAGTAATCTCGAAAACATGCGCAAAACCAAAAACATTGCGGGTGCGGTCGCTGGGTTGGCCATGGCTATCCTTGGCTTTTCAACCATACGCTGGTTGTCCCGAAACTACTATGAATGTGAGTATCTGGCAAATGCAAATCTCTGAAAGTTCATTACTGACGTAACTAGTTTTCTATATTATTCACATTGTCATGTTTCTTCTGATCATTATCCTGGTCGGAATGCATCGACCAGAGTTCAGCAGTTCAACCCTTAGTATTATAATATTTATGGCGTCTATATGGTTTGCTGATCGACTCATCCGCTTTGCGAAGCTATGTTGGAATCTGCCCAGAAATCATGCAACTATTTACCCCATGGCTGATGGAGCAGTTAAAGTGAAGCTCCATCGTCCTATTTCATGCAATCGCGGTTCTCATGTATTTTTGTGGATGCCGTCAATACGCTCCTTCGGAACCCATCCTTTTACGCTCATCAGCGCAGATCCTGCTGAATTCTTGGTTCGGAAGTATGACGAGTACACTAGATCTCTATATGAGGCTGCACAGAATGAACCAGGGAAGGTTCTTTGATGCTTCATAGATGGCGCATACGGCCAAGTCCCTAATTTCATGGACTTTGACCGAGTGGTTTTGATTGCTGGCGGCAATGGCTCTACTTTCACCTTTTCGATTGCTCTGAACATGACCAAAGAAGCGTCTGCTTCCAATGTTTATAAAATGATTGACTTTATTTGGGCAGTTAAACGATCGGGTGGGTAGTATCATTCGAAAGCATCTCATTTACACCTGGGCAGGCTTTATGAACTGACTTACATACTACAGAGTCCTTGCAATGGTTTGAGCAAGAATTACGTCAACTTCAAGAGAGTAACTGTGAATCTATATATTTACGTCACCTCCCATAAAAGATTGGACTCTTTGAGTCTAGCGTCAACTGATCATGGTGCTACTGATGATGGGGAGAAAGGCAAAGAAGGAATGACGGACCAGGCTATTCGATTGCCTAATATCCAACAAGGACGACCAGATGTTTTCGATTTAGTTACCTACTGCATTTCTCAGTGTGGCTTGAAGAGTCGTGTTGGGGTAGGTGCTTGCGGTCCCACGAAAATGATCCAGATGACCCGAAAAGCTGTGTCCCAGGGGACTTATGATACTGGACCTTCGCTTACTTTGCATACTGAAGTAAGTTACTTAATGCGTTATTCGGTCATTTTGTGTTGACTACTTTGATAATAGGAGTCTGAATGGTAAAAAAAGCTCACTCGATTTATACTGAAACTTTGAAGGATTGATGTCTGTATACTTGGTTTGTATCTGGAGAGTGGCTTTCATAACAGACTTGGGGCGCGGGATTCGATTTTTGATCATGTCTATTTCTGAAATTTTCACTTTAAACCTCCAACCTGGACAGGTCCCATGCAACAAACTTTCTCCTGCTAGTACATACTAGTAATGGCGCTATAAATGAAGCCCATCATTATCAAATAAATCCTCAAAAGACTGTGGCCTGAATCTGCAGCTCCCAGGATCAGTTGGAGATGGCTCTGTGGTGAACACTTTAAAAAGTCGCAGAAAACCACATCAACTTTAAATGAAAATTTATCCTTGAGCGATTTTTGACCGTAACTGAAGGTTCTGGGAATTTTAACCCGAAGATCGCGACCAGCGCTTAAATCCGTATTAAATCCGGCTGACCCGTGACATGTCCAATTCATCAGGCCACCTACTGGGGATCGTCAAGAACAATTTTCAACTCGACGGCCGAATCAAAATCACCGAGAGCGCCATATTAACTGTTTCATCTCGTATATCTACCCAGTTTTTCAGATAGACCTTACCACTTGCCCCCGCAAGCAGCACCTCCGGTATCCTAGTTCAAGATCTAGAAGTGGGTATCGGCGATCCAGCTTCAGAGCATATCTGACTCATAAAAGTAGGATATAATATAAGGAACGATTCCGCAGACAACCAACCGCCACAATGCAAAATTTCTGGCTTTTCCCGAACCTGCTCGCTTCCGTCGTTTCTTCGGCGGGGGGAATCATCGCATTTGCCAATCCATCGGCTCTGTCTGGATCGTCTCAGGTTACCAAGGGGGAGCTTTATTATCAACGTATGTACTCGGCACGTGCTCTACCACTAGGAGTTCTTGCGGGAATCCTTCCATTCTACTACGATGGTCCAGCCGTAGCATCGGCAGTTTTGGCATCTGCGGTAGTTCAGGGACTGGATGTGCTTATCGGATATACCAAGGGAGATAGAGGTATGATGTGTGGGGCATCACTGGCAACGGCATTCCATGTACTATGTTTTTTCTCGCTTGAGTGATCCCTCGTCTGTACATTCACAATTCTACCTAGGTATTCGCCTGGACATGCACGTTTGGAGACCAAATTGAAAGTTGAGCCAAGCTCATAAGCAGCTGCTCCGACCGGATATGCCATATGCGATATTTATATAGGGCCCCAGTCGAATAAGCTCCAGCAGAATTTTACTAGTACATATATTTACGGAGTAGATCTTGGTAAATTATCCCGCCGCATTGCTCTGCGGACTTACTATGACCCCGATATCGGTGCGCTATAGTGCGGGGACGGGGACGTTGAACTCTCCCTTATTATTACGAGCCGGAGTTCCCGAAGAGATAATTGGCATTTCAATATGCAGCTTGGTATTTCAGTAAATATATACATCTAGGTATCTTTATAAATAGTCTTCTAAGTTAGCTCTCCAGGAGAGGTGGCACTTTCTCAACGAGGTACTCGACGATGGCATCGGGACCCCGCTCGACCTGGAGGCCGGTGGGAATGGCGTGCAATTTGATGTTGGGGTTGACCGACTTGGCGATTTCGTGGATCTGCTTGGCCTCCTCATCGGTCCACATCGAAGCGCTGAACTATTGGCGGGTTAGTTGTGGTTCTGGATTTTTCTCGGATCAGGTCTCGGATATCCCGAGCAGACACTTACCAGGACCTCGGGCATGTGCTGCTTGACCTTGGTCTCGACCTCGTCGATCTCTGTGCAAATGTATAAGCTGTACTGTCTCATATTGGTCAATTGCGATAGATAAACTTACTCTCGCAATTGTCGACGTGGATGATGGTGTATTGATCCTTCAGCGCCTCAGCAACACGGCCGATGAGACGTTTAGCGCGCTCAGGGGCGGTGTTAACAGTGACGAGGTGGAAGGGACCCTTGGGAGTAGACATTTTGATATAGATGCTGAAACAAAACAGTATCAATCGGCCAGAAATGCGACTTCGCGGGGGCTTTTATGGTGGAATCGGCGCCGATGTCGTCGCCACCGCCGGTCGCTCCCCACATTGCGGATTGTGGGTGGCCGGGGTAGAAATACTCCGCCGATCTTAAGAACGCGCTCTTCCCCTCCATTCCTTTCGATCTCCAAATTCACAATGTCCAAAATCGCATCGACCTTTTCGCGTGAGTCAGAGCAATGAATTTAAGCATTGATTAAAGCTAACACATCCAGGCCTGGTGCGCTTCGTGCCCAAGTCCAACCCCGCTAAGGTTCTGATCGGTGAGCCGGTCGACCCGAAGCTTGATGTTGGACTCGCCATCTATCGGGGCGAGGAGGTTTCCGTGCGACCCTTTTCTGGATCCTCAATTCTTAACCCTGGACAAGTGACTGGTACTACTGAGACCATTGCGCGACTGCTATCCCCTCTGGCGCAGACCGAGGTGGGCTCCATCCGCTGCATCGGATTGAACGTGAGTGCCCAACTATAGGCGTTTTGATAACTTAGTATAATGACACCTTCGATTAGTATGTCTCGCATGCCAAGGAGATGGCTCTCCCAATCCCTGATGTTCCGGTTCTCTTCATGAAGCCGTCGACTGCCCTGGCCGACCCATGGCCCGCGCCTACTGTTCTCCCAAAGATTACCCAACAGGACAACACCGGCGATTACGAGTCTGAAATGGTTATCGTTATTGGCCGCGATGCAAAGGATGTATCCGAGGCCGAGGCTCTGGATTACGTTCTGGGCTACACTGCCGCCAACGATGTGTCCAGCCGGACTTCACAGATGAACCAAAGCCAGTGGAGTTTCTCCAAGGGATTCGATGGCGCTTGCCCTATCGGTATGAATCCATTCAGTATCGAATTCGCAGATTTCCGTCTCATATCGCTGACACGATGAGCAGGCCCCACCCTCGTTTCTGCGGCTTTGATCCCCAATGCTAGCAAACTCCACATCCGTGGTCTTAAGAGCGGCCGTGTTATGCAGGACTGCCCTCTGACGTATGTAAAGCTCGATCTTGAAAAGGAAACCCCATACTAACGAACCATCAACAGTGATTTGATCTTTAGCGTCCCGCAGCTGATCAGCTTCCTCTCCCAGGGTACTACCCTGCCTGCTGGTACCCTCATTTTGACCGGTACTCCTCCCGGTGTTGGTGCGGCCAAGAACCCCAAAGAGTTCATCAAGGCTGGAGATGAGTTCTCTGTGGAGCTCCTCCCTCACGTGGGCACCCTGATCAACAAGATTGAGCACCAGTAGACGAATTAAGCAGTCGGAACGTGATATATCTATATTGACTGAATTGTATATAACGAATGCCTCTTATAGTACTGTAATAAAAGCCTCTTATAAGATAGTAGCTTTCAGACTTCAAGTTGTACCTAGGTAGCTAGTACTGCCTAGGTACCAACTCTACTACTAATATCTTTCCCACCTACGTAATACTATACTAGTACTAGTGTATTAGTACGCACTTGTAGTATGGGGTATTATCAGTACCTTTCAACCTTAGAAGGTTGCATAGCATGCAGTCCGCGAGTACTAATAGCTGTCGTGAGTGTATGGAGTAGATCATGAGAAGATATAAGCGCGTGAAAGTCGCAGTCATTATGATACGCATGCACGTTACATCCGAATTTTCTTGCTGTTGCCGATTTGATGTGTATTTTAGTTTACCAATGCTTAGTTGACTGAAGGATGGTATTCTCGATATCAGTATCTCTACGTACCATGATCATTCCAAGGTTGCCCAATCGAAACATGTTGTGGGATATGATTTTTTCCCGGGCGGAGTAGATTTTTCCCGCCACGCAGACTGCTTCGCCAGAAACCTCACTTTATACGAGGCCAACATTGGCATTGGTGTCAAATAAGCATTACAGCACAATAAAGTATAATAGTATCTACAGAAAGAGAAACATAGGGCCTATGTTGTCATCGTTAGAAAAATCATCATCGAAAAAGGTTGGCGAGTATCGAGCGGGAGAAGCCGAAACTCGGCATGCCGTAAATCACCCCAACACAATCACAAATCCTAATCTCATTTTAAAATAACCCATCATGCTGTGCAAAACCCGTCCTTGAATGCCGGAACAAACACAACAGGCTTATCCGCGGCCCTGGGCCCAACAGTAACACGATGGCATGTTGCTTTGCTCCGGCATTTTATCGGGATCTGGCACCGAGCTGTCCCGGTCGGGCTGGTGGTTCCCCAGCCAGTCCCTTGCGGCTTTTTGTTTAAGCCGGCCGATGTCAGAATTCTTTTCCTCTTGTTCTCTCAATTTCTCTCACTATTCATGTCTCTTTCATTTGTATATTTTTTCTTCTGCAGACTGACATTTCAATCCTTCCAACAATATTTGATTGGGTCGATGTTCGACCAGCAATGTGACGCTGTTCTCGTGGAAGCACTGGCAGACCGGCTTGCCGGTTGACATTTCACGTTACACATTTGAATAACATTCTATTGTGTTGAATAATCAGATGCCAATTGATTATGCATATATACAGGTCCTCCAGGATTTCCACGACATGCCGAGTCTATTCTATATCCTTCTAACCCCTCGATGACCATATTCGGCTTCGTCGTCTATTACTTGAAAGTATAGCTCGAAAAGGTATACACATCTTTGCGGACCACGCCCCCAACCAGTCACCATTACTCTTCACGCTCATTTCGACGCCAGACCTTGGCCCTGGAGTGCAGGAAGATAGTCGGGATCACGCTGACAACAACAATCATGGCGGCAGCGATACCTGCACTGGGAGCGATACCGACATTCTCGAACATGGGTGAAAACCTACAATGAGAGTCAGCGATACGGTTCCAATGGCTAGAACAGATGTCAACAAGCAGGGGTCTTACCAGAATGGGCCAATGAAACCCCAGATCTGGCGCACGAAGGTGACGAAAACACCAATACTAGCGGCCTCCTGGGGATAGCAGTCTACAGCATAGGTGATCATTACAGTTGTGACCAACTGGTTACCGACCGCACCGATTGCAGTGCCAATGATTGGAGACACTGTCCAGTGGCCGGCAGGAGCTTGCTGCGTGCAAACCAGGAAGACAATGGTGCCGACAATGGCCAAAGCAAAACCGAAGTAACTCAACCACAGACGGAACTCAGGGTCGGGCTTACGATTGATGGCGCGGGCACGTCGGTTCATCCAGAAATCAGACAAGACACCACCCATCTGCTCGCCAATTACCGATCCAATGATGACACCCAGAAACTGGAGACCCAGCTGCTCGGCATTCAACTCGAACTTTTCTTGCAACAATTGGGGCACCTCGACGGTCGATAAGACGCTACCGAAGAGGAATACCATGGCGTACGCACAGGCAGGGATAAGGATGGAGGGATGCTTGGCCATAGTCAGGGGTCGCACGAACTCCCACCAGGAGAATGGAGTAGGGTCAATCCGACGCAGTGACAGATACTCTGTCTTCCAGTTTGCGTCTGCACGGTCAACACCGCTACCGACATAACGAGTCTCTGGTCCTAGGAAGAGGTACAGGATGAATTGGCCACCGTTGATCTGTCCCGATCGCAACTAGTCAGCAAGGCACTAATAAGACTCCTCTCTGCCCCCAAGGACAACTTACCATGGCTAAAATCCAGTAAATCCAGTTATATCCCACACGATAAGTGACGAAACCGAAGATGAAGGGACCGATTGGCACACCCAAAGTGATCATTAGGGTCCAGACACCCATATAACGGGCACGATCTTTCTTAAAGGTGGTTTCCATTACGACTGCACTGCCAATGGCCGAGGCAGGAGAGATGAAAAATGCAACCAAAGCACGACAGGCGGCGACAGAGGCATATGTGGTGCTCTTGGCACAACCAATATTGCATACCAGACTGCAGATGAGAGACAGGAGGAAGATGGGGCGACGGCCATAACGGTTGGACAATGGCTTCCAGAACAAGGGTGCACCTCCCAGGATGGCGATTTGCAAGGAAGTCAAATAACTAGCGTTCTGAATACCGACGCCGAGCTCGGCAGCAATCTCTGAATAGGCAGGGATGATGGCTGCGGCAGTGAATGTACCCATACAAGCGTGAAATGCCACCAGGATAAGATTGGTCATTTTCTACCAAGCCGTGCGTCAGTAAATCACCGTTGCTCGTTTTCTCCTCTCATTTTCCCTGTCGATCAATCCGGGGTATATTGTCACTCACCTTCCATTCAGGCCAGTTGTAAGGGTCTGCCGGGCCCATTCCTGGAATGGGATCCAATTCCAATGTGCCATGTCGTTGAAGCAGATAGTCACGATGGGCTTTGGGAAGTCGAGCGGCCATGGACTCGCCATAGGTGGCCACCTGGTCTGCGCCTGTACTCTCGACGAGATCGATGTCGGTCTTGTTACCCAAGTTTTCTTTGTCCTGCTCGACCTGATTTGAAGGTCGAGAGGAAGAGGGTTGCAATTCGAGGGATGTCATATTGGAGACACCCGTTGAGGGTCGACGAGAAGGAGAAGAGACACGAGTGTCTTATATGATCAATCCCTTCTCGGGCCGGAAAAATCGAGTGAAGTGAACAAAAGAGCTACGAGATCGACAACACGGGGGAAGGGGAAAGGGAAGGAGGAGGGGAAAGGTTGTTTCAGGAACAGAGACTGGGGTTGTTCAGTCTGTACGGAGTGTATGGAGGGTACAGTACAAGTTGGTTGGGCGAAGGCGAAAACTATGACAGACGGGCTTGGCGTACCGAAGACCGACGGGAGTGAGGTGAGTGCGCATAAACCATCCACAGAGCAGACATGGGGATGGTCGGCTCCGGCCTGGAGAAAAAATGCGGAGTCTCCACAGGGGTTCCATCGGAGTCGGCGAGTCACAATGAAGGTGTTGTGATTTCCCCATGTCACCCTTAGTTGCGGTCCATTCTGGCACTTGAGCACGGCTAGCCGATGGGGTATCACCACTGACAGCCCGGCTCGCTTGCCTACTCCAAGTACCGAGCGAAGGGTATACGGGTCCCTTGGCACCAGATCCACGGCATTGTTCACTTCTCCAGATTCCGGCGAACCAGCTAAATTGTCCATGATTGGCTCTGAGATTTTTGCTTACTCGCCACCCACTCATCGGCTCACTGGAGGTCGAAATCCTTCGTAGTATACTATCAGAGCAGGGTATATTAACTAGATAGTACATAGTACTAATCAATCAATCAAGCCGACTTGGCGGAAGAAAATAATTCGGCACGACAAGCATTGTGGCACCGAAACCTTGTGAAATTCATGCATGGACGCAAAGTCTTTTTGGTGCCACACACACCTTAGAGCCACGACCGCAGTCCCAACCAGAGTCAGATCCTGATCTAGATCCAAAAGTAGATTGGTCAGCTGAGAGAATAGCGACTTGGCTTTCAATAATTCTAAATTCTTGTATGGTTTTGGATTAGCGTTGTCGTAATGTCATCTAGTCGATCTGTAATTTTACTCCGACTCCGTAAGTCGGGTCTAAGTTCACCGAGACACATCCCCACAATCGCCTTCCCCACATTCTTCTTCTTCCTCCCACATCTTTCTCCCACTCTCCCACTCTCCCCCAATTCCAAACTCCCAACACCAGATACAACGTCTCTGTATCTATGGAGATCATGACTGAATCCCCCTCGGCTGGGGTCAAGAAATTGGCTTGTCGTGTATGTCAGAAGGGATTTACCAAGGCTGAACATCTTCGAGTGAGTATATCCCTATCCTTACTGCATCCCCACCATTTTTGAGGGGCAGCTCCCAACGCCAAGACATCTTTTTAACACCCGATGCTAACTCCTCTCAGAGACATGAGCGATGTCGTAAGTTCTATTGTAATCAGGGAAGAACTTTTATTCATCAAAACACATTCTCTTCCGCTAGCTCGGGTTGATCCCTCCGGCTGACCGGAATACTTTAGATACTGGGGCCAAACCATACGTTTGCAAGGAATGTCGTCGTCCCTTTGCCCGACAAGACGCTCTCACCCGCCATGAGAAACTACATCAGCGGGACTTGAGTGCCAAACATGCTCCGCCGTTAGCTTCAGTGCCTCCGTCTGCATCTCTAGACTCCATGGCCTCGTGGGATACTCGTAGTGCATCGACTGGAGCGCCAGCCTCGACGTCGGCTACTAGCCACTCGTGGGATGAAACACAGTCAGCCCAGGCCTCGAGCTTGCAAAATGTTGCTGCGGATCTGGACTTCGCTCTCATTTGGCCCGATTCCGAGAATCTATTCCAGAGCTTAATGTCCTCCGATACCACGGACCAATGGGAGATGCCTTTGGGAACACTACCATTCCCACCCGTCGTACAGGATATTAATACCATGAACTTCGGCTCACCTAGCTCGTTTGACGATCGGTCTTCCTCTGTGGGGACAATCCCATCCGGTGAAGGTCACCAAGCCGTGCGTGATGTGACGGAGATGATTACGAGCTCAGTAAGTTCATAACAAACCCCCTTATATTGATCAAAAACCACCCAATCAAGGCGGCCCATGTGCTTTACCAGTCCTAATATCTCCTTCGCCAGTCCTCAAGTATCACTGCTGCAGTTAAGGCCACTTCTATAACCTCAGTCTTTCTTGATGAGTGTCTCCACATGTTCTTTGTCCGATTTATTCCAACATTCCCCATCTTGCACCGTGCAACATTTGTATTCCGGGAATGTACCCATGCTTTGCTTCTGAATGCTATTGCTATCGGGTCGTTGTATCTAGGGTCCCAGTGATTCGGTCGCAAAGGGTGAGGCGTTGTGGAGACTAGCACATGCTGCCGTCGCGACTTCCTGGCAATCACTCATCACGCACCATGGCGCATACGATGCTTGCAAGGGGGTACAGCTCATGATCACTGCTTTGTTAGGTCAAATCTACGGGGCCCTGTCTAAAAATCGGGCAATCCGGACTACAAGTCAGGTCTTCCGTCCCCTCGGCTTTTTCTGGGCACGTCACTGTGGTATGTACGACAGCCAGCCATATTCAATGGAAAATCTGCCCTCGGTCGATGCTCCCCCTGCGGAGAAGGAACATCAGTGGCGGGTTTGGTCTGCACGGGAGATCCAACAGCGTGCCCTACTGGCGTACTACGTCCTCGATGGACTCGTTGCCCAGATGTCGGGTGACGGTGCCTCAGCTCACCATGTCTCTAACCCCCCTGGGCCTTCCCAGCAGCGAATCTGCTTTTGATGCCAGCACGCCGGACGAATGGCTATCACACATGCACTCGCAAAAGCTAGATCAATCCTCATTCAAAGTCATATTTCGTTCTCTCTTCCCGCCGGTCGGGAACTTCCGCCCTTTGGACTATCCATTTTCTGCCTTTGGACTTCGAGTTGTTCTCGAGGGCCTTCAGTCTTTGATATCTGACTGCGATGATCATGAGCTGGCTGTCGGTGTGCCTGGGCCCTCTGATGTAAGGAGAGCACTGGCTCAAGTCCATGAAACGATATCAATGAGCATCCATTTTTCAGCTGCTGAGCGACTAGAGCTTTTATTGCGTTGGCACACGGTTTGCCTGGACACCATGATCAATTCGACGGTTCTTTCCCGCTATGTGTGCTCTCGTTATGATATTCATCAGCATGTTTCCGGTGGGAGCCGGGATGTCCGAGCGAACTTTGACCTCATCAAATGGGTTAATAGTGAAGACGCCCGCCGTGCAGTACTTCACGCAATCGCCATTCAAGATATTGTTGAACAATTACCTCGTGGTCGTGCCCATGTGATCCACATGCCTAGCTCGCTGTTTGCAGCTGCAGCAGTGTATGTTGTCTTCTCACTTGCCGGTGCAGCGACCGTCCATCTTCCTCGAACAATTGTGTGGCAAGATGCTTTACTTTCACATTCCGATCTCAATATCGACCACGATGAAATGAGGCCCCCATCAGGCTCAGAAACTCGACGGTTTGTGGAATCGAAACAGGTGATTGCCCCTTCTCCAATCGGTGGGGCTGTTCGAAATCTTCTGTACGAGTTAAACTCGATGCAAAAACTCTTCCGCTGTCTCTCCTCACAGTGGGGAATTGCTCGTGATATGGAAGAAATAATTGCCAAGTGGATTCAGATTTGCCATTGAGGACGCTCTATGCTATATGAATTTATGCATGTATGTACATATCAAGATTGTGAATAGTTAGCGTGCGATTTTGTAAATATAACGACCGCAGGCGTTCAAGTTCAAGGAGATTTGAATTGAAACTTGAAGAATTTCCAATAAATGCTAGATATACCGGCTCGCTCCCTACGCCGGAGGGTGCCTGCCTGCCTGTCTTCTGACTCTTGCCGTCCCCAAGCATCCAACCAGCAATTCTCTTAGTCACACCCTGGTGTTTACCATTTCCCAACCCTTACTCTTTGTTGTCTTCAATCCCTCGAATTACGTACCACTTTTGCCCCAGGCACGTTGACCCGAGGATTATTCGGTCTACGCTTCACTCAACCTCACTTCGCCCAACCTCAATTCGCCCAACCTCACTTCACTCGACCTCTTCCGATTCCTTCTCCCGACCAACCCAACCACCTTCTCTACGCAAACCCTCAACCTTTTCTTGATTGATACCTCGAAGCTCTTCAACATGCGGGTGGATGACAAGCGGCTCATCTCCGCGCTTCTCGCGGCTCATAAAGGCATCAAGGTCAGTGTTCGTCGTGACCCCAGACAGAGAAAGTCAACCAAGACAATACCTGTTCTAATGTGATGTTTAGCTTGACTACAGCATGATCGCCAAGATGTATGGGGAGGGCGCAAACTACAACACAATGGAGCACAAGTTCCGTGTTTATCGCAAGGAGGCCGAGGTCCTCTATGCCGATGCCAGTCAGCGACTTGGTACGGATGCAGGCCCCTCGGCTGAGACCAGCCCTGAGAAAGCTTCTGGCGCTCAACTCACTGCCCAGAAAACTGGCAAATGTGCCAAGGCAGCTAAATCCCCACGTGGAAAAGCAGCCAAGGGATCTACCAAGAAGAAAGCTCTGAGAAGTCCCCAGGACAGCGATGAGGAGTCCCAGCCCCAGCGCAAAAAAGCCAAAGCCAATTCCAAGAAGAACCAGAAGTTGGTGGACGTGGAGAAAGCCGGCGCAAATGATGATTCTGACGCTGAAGCTATGCTGGATGCTCTGATGCAGTCATCTGGTGTCTACTCCGAGCTCGGGTTGGACATGGAGGATGTTTAAGGAGTGCATTCTGCAAATGGGAACACTTGGGGGGGGGGGATTCTGGGATGGGAATATCGGAGGTTCATCTTTTCAAAAGCTATGGCATATTTCCAATTATGGGTTGAATGAAATTTAAAAAATCGGGCACCTGGAGCGTCATTCATGGAGGGAGTGAAGGCGTGATTTTTTTTTCGGTATCTAACGTTTACATAGCCAGGGCCCTTGATTTTCACAACAAACATGATGTCTGTTCTACTGATCTCCTCAGCTGTAGAGCTAATGCTAATGTAGAGAGCGCCACAAATACTAAGAAAAGATTTCCGTGTTTCTTCAAGCCTCATGTCTATTTTTCCAAGTCGTTGTATTTACAAAGTCTCACGCTAACTATGCACATAGTAAAACTCCGCGGTACGATCCGCCGCCATAGCTCCACGCGTTTTTAAAAGAAAAAGAAAAACAGCCCTGGAGGAATCGGGGCATTCGAGATCGGTGTGGCTTGACTCTGTCAGTTGAAAATTGATTTACACACTTTTCCAGATATTTATATGCTTCCAACTCTATTACAAAGGTATACCGGTAGGGCCTGCGGTGTACAAATTTTCTAAACCGATAATGCAAAAATTTGAGCTTGAAGTATCTGTATTTATTTAGATTCGTGAATTCTAGCTACTTGTTCAGTCCGCCGCATTCATCGTTGTCGAGATCCAATTCCCTATTGACTAGCGTTCCAAATTTATCTTCAAGAGCTAGAATATTCTTGTTTGGAAGGTGGTTGAATTCGAATGCTAGAAATATCCCGGTCTCTCGGCACATTGACAACGGCCCCTAATGCGAATTTCATCCTATATCAGGATCACAAGATATCGACTGTCGCAGAATGCGCACATTATACCTGAGCAGTTTAAACTCCATCATCTAGTAAAATGCTCAAATTACGCGGATTTCCTGGCGGGCCATGTCGCCTTTTAATGCCGGTCGGACTAATACCGACGGTCTCGACAACATCATGACGACAATATGATACAAGCAAAGAAAGAAGTCCATTGTTATGTGTCTACTATACATGAAAATCTCATTTGAATATTTTCCCGTATCCCAGAAAGGTTTCTGGGCTTTTCTGTACCATAAAGTTTTTCACTCGAAGAGACAGTAACCGCCGTTGCAACGTCTTCTTCAATGGGTCATCATGGGACTTTCCAAGTTCTCAAGTCGGCGCAGATCCAAAATAAGCCAAGGTGAGTTTCAATTTGTCACTAGTATCGTGCAAACTAACTCTTGCAGTTTGGAAAGCAAAATGGCATCCTCCAGCGAATCTACGAAGCTTGAACATGGAGGCGCCTTTATCGAATATGCGGGCTCAATAAAGCTAAAGGATAAGAAAACTCTGGTCATTGGAGGGAAGTATGTGTAAACCCCATATGTAAAGGCTTCATTGCTGGATTAAAATGAGAGTTTAGTTCGGGTATCGGTCGAATGATTGCAGTTTTGATGGCCCGAGAGGGTGCATATATCAGTATCGTCTATTTACCCAAGGAGCAAGAGGATGCCGAGGCATCCCAAAAGATGATTGGGAAGGAAGGCGGGCAATGTCTCCTCCTACCGGGGGACCTAAGAGATCGCCATTTCTGTCATTCGGCAGTAGAAGGGCATGTTAAACGGTGCGTTTCCATTCTGCCCTTCTCGAGTACGGTAAATTGGTCTGATACTAATTTATCGACATAGGTTCGGCAAGCTCAACATGCTTGTGAATAATGCGTCACAACAGTATATTACCCAGGAGTTTACAGACATCGACTTGGATAGAACAGAGGACACCTAGGTATATTCAAGTGCAACATGATTCAGATGATTGCAATGGCAAAATTTGCTCTTGCTCATATGTCTCGCGGCGATTCGTATGTTGAAAGATTTCCGATTTTGTATCCTTGCTCACTAATCATTCATGGTAACATCAACACGTCTTCCGTTGTGACATTCCGGGGATCGGGTACTATGGTAGACTACTCTGCGACAAAGGGGGCAATAATTGGGTTCACGAAATCTCTAGCAAAATACATTATTCCGAAGGGAATTCGCGTCAATGCTGTGGCGTAAGTTGCGATCTCTAGAGCTCTTGGTGTTTTTTAATGATCAAACTAATTATGACACCTTCGAAAACACTCCAGGCGCTATATATAAGTCTATACAAGCCGATACACGTGATACTAGGTAGATGGAAGGCTGGCGTGGGGTGTTGGACTCGTTCAGCCAGGGGAGCCCAGCGAGGTTGCGACCAGCTTTGTATTTTTGGCCAGTGCCGATGCGTCACTATATTGTAAGTGTCAAACTCCGAGAAGATGTAAGTCGTACTTGAGGCTAATTTTCGTTTCTACGTGGATAGATGGCCAGGTGCTCCATTGCTACCCACTCGGGGACTGAAGTAGCGCGTGGTACACATTCTTAAATACGCGAAACATGCTCTTGGGTGCACGTGTCTCAGCGATCGCGCGTCCAGAGTCTGTGAATATGGAAAAGGTGTCTGTTAACCGGTAAAGAAATAATAGTGCAATTGATTAATATCCTAAAATCAGTACACAAGCCAGGGTTTGGCCCCGTTCAATGCTTTGTCCCATCCTCCGTCGTTCTGCCAGATAGCGATGCTTTCCACCTCGTCCTTTCCCAACTTCAGCCCGTTGTAAAGATGCTATATGAGAATCAGCAAGGGGGTTTTCTCTCTTTTTATCAACTTGCTACGTTTTACTAAAACAGGAGCCACTTACGGGAAACAACCCTCGCCCGGTCGAGGGCCACATACTTTACCGTCGGGAGACTCCCAGCGGATATCCGAGATCACTGTACCATACTCGATGCGTAGGATGTAGACAAGCGGCTCTTCTTTGAAAAACATGTTCAGCGTATTGGCGACTTGGTGTGCCATTGACAGGTGCACAAAGCCATCGTTCTGGTCCAGCTCACTAACGGGAAGCCGCTCAGGGAGGGGCTCCCGTATTGGGGAGGAGGAGGGAACGATCTTGTAGATATAGCGAGGCTGGGTATCTAGAGTAGCCATGACGAAAGTCGATGAGATGGAAGAAAGGTGGAGTAAGAGATGTAGGTGGGAAGTTTGGACAGATTCATGTCATTGTCGCGTTTGTTAGGCGGGGTTAAGCGGTCGGCTGGCACTGGCGCTGCACTCCGGTAGAGCGGGTCACTGACATCGACTCTGGCGTAGCATAGGTGTTTAAAAATATACCTTTCTGAGTAGGAAAACTGCTAGTTCCCAGGTGTTGAAATCATGTTAGTATCTTTATGTGTACTAGAAGTACTGGGCAGGCGGATCATGCAGAATACCCAGACCCAGCCCCAGGTGAGCGTGATATGTATATAGTAATACTACTAATAGTGCACAATCTTGGGCTCGGTGCCCAGGTGGGGAACCAGATCGGACCCATTCAAGTTGTCTCCATTTATTACTACTAGTAGTAAACTGGCAACGATCGGGATTACTACTATAGATCATGATCTCGGTAATGAGCCGACAGTCAAATTTGCGAAGTTATATCAGATATTCGGTGAAGCCCAATAATACTAGCTTAGTCGTGATTCCCTTAGGTGCTGCCAATGTGATGGTTGCACGGGACTACCGCTGCCCAAGATCTGCCGAATCGGATACCAGCAAAGGTTGTTAGAATTATTATAATATTGCACATTGAATCCATTTGGATGACTAGAGATACAAGCTTTGGGCTTCAATAATCAAAATCAAATTTCGGAAAATTGTCTGATTGTAAATTGGTCAGAATTGTTCAGTGAAACAATAAGACAATAAGATAATAAGCCATTCACGTGACCATCATCGAGGATCGCCGTGGCTCCATCACCTGATCGAACTAATCCAAATCGGGAGATTTGTTTTGGACCTGTCCGCTTTGGGCTGGGGAAATCCTGGTCGGACCTTCCCTGTTGCCGTGCCTTTCCCCCCCCACTGTCAACAGAGGAATTCCATCATCGGAGGGTCTCGCGGCTCGGCTTTCCGATTCTCTCTGGTGGACCACACTCAACACTTTCCCCTCCTTCTCCTTCAATCCCCCCTCCAGAGATCTCTTTCACCCATCTCACCTTACCAAAGCGCATTCGCGCTTGATCTCACATTCCGAGCGCCTTCATCCAGGAAAACAGGCTTTTGAAAATAACTGCATCGACAACCTCTTCAAAGCTGCCATTGAAGCAGGCATGCGGTCTTTCGATTCCTACGGTCCTCTTTCAGTTTTCGCATTCTCTTCGCGACGGTACTAGTTATGTCGGCTCAATTTCCATCGTTCAGACGCGCCCAGACGGATAATCCGGCACGACCAGCAAGCCCACTGCGACACACTGGCTCAACCGCGTCCACGAATTCATCTGCCTATTCCGTTGCGTCAAGCTCATTCGCGCCGAGCCGGACAAGCACGGTCTCCTCGACTGCATCAATACCGGGTAGCCTAGGCCATCATCGGGGCAAGAGTGAAGCTGGGCCCGTTACAATGAATTCGTCTGAAAAGGGAAACTTCTCAAATGCCGGGTCTACATATGAAAATATTCGCCGGTCTCTGCGGCCCCTCCAGCAGGCCCCTCAAACCTCCCCCTCTGCGAGCAAACCAATTGCGTATCGACATTCGCGCAGCAATACTCTCGACGAGCCTCAGTTCATGAAGGATCATCGACCAAGCACACCAGAATCCCATCATTTGAATCTCAAGGAAAATGAGTCACCTCGCTACAGAGCAGCAGCATTTGAACCACAAACGCCCCCACCTCGACCTTCATCACGTCATTGGTCGCCCACTCCGACACCGGGCTCATCTCGACCTTCATCGCCCCAAAAGACCTTGCCAAATAGTCCCCATCCACCTCCGCTGACCACCGCATTATCGACACCTGATCTCGAAACATTCCAGAAGTCCTCTACCCGCCACCTCAGAACTCTCTCCAAGATCGCGCAATCCGGCGAAAGCGATGATTTTCAATTCAACTCCGGAACAGCTTCTGTCGTGGGACTATCGGGGAGACGAAGACTAAAGCGTGCTGACTCAGTTGCTGGAAGGAGTGGCGCCATTTCTCCAGAGAAGCCCAAGACTTCTTCATGGGCAGCAGGGAACTGGATGGATGCGCAGCGTCAATTTATACAAGCCTACGAGTATCTCTGCCACATCGGTGAAGCTAAGCAATGGATCGAAGATGTTATTCAAAAGCAAATCCCGCCAATCGTTAATCTCGAGGAAGGATTGCGAGACGGCGTGACGCTCGCTGAGCTGGTGCAGGCCATGTATCCCGACACTAACCTGCGGATCTTCCGAAACCCGAAGCTTCAATACCGCCATTCCGACAACATCGCCCTCTTCTTTCGCTTCCTTGATGATATCGAACTACCCGAGCTGTTCAGATTTGAATTGATCGATTTGTACGAGAAGAAGAACATACCAAAGGTCATTCATTGTATTCACGCTTTGTCGTGGCTGCTGTTCAAGAATGGCATGCTGGACTTCCGCATGGGCAATCTGGTTGGACAGCTTGAGTTTGAGCATCATGAACTTGAAAAAACACAAAAGGGTCTTGATAAGGCAGGTATTAGTATGCCCAGCTTTGCTGGTATGGCCGCAAACTTCGGTGCTGAGCCGGAGCCGGAGCCGGAACCGGAACCAGAGCCCGCGGAGTCAGAGGAAGAGCGGATTGATCGTGAACTTCATGAAAGTGAAGGTGCGATAGTCGAGTTCCAGTCTCAGATAAGAGGCGCAATGGTGCGCTTGAAGCTTGGCAACACGATGAATGATCTTTGGGACTTTGAGCCCCTCTTGATTGAATTACAGTCCCGGCTGCGTGGAGATTGGGCGCGACAGATTAGTCAATATCGACTTGACATGCGTCGGTTTGCAGTTCAGCTTCAATCAATTAGCCGCGGTTTTCTTGTTCGTCACCGCCAGCAAGGGGAGAACCAATGGCGGAAGGCCCAAGAGCAGCAGGTTCTGCAGCTGCAAAGCTTGATTCGCGCGTCCAAAGTGCGGGCTGAAACTAATCTGCTTCAGACTCGTATCCGACGTGAAGAGTCTGGAATCAAGAATTTCCAAGCCGCGATTCGGGCTGCACTACAACGAAAGGCCCTGGCCGACCAGTATGAACAAACTCATCACGCCGAACACGATGTTACGACCCTCCAAGCTGCCATCCGTGGCGCTATGCAGCGAAAACGAAACAATGCACAATCTCAAGAAGTCAAGCAGACCAGTACAGCTGTCAGATCACTGCAGGCAGTGATTCGCGGTCAATTTGCCCGCCAGCACCTGTCACAAATCAAGTCTTCTCTCCAGCATGAGACGGCAAAGATCACAGAGCTTCAAGCGGCTGTAAGAGCCATGAAGACAAGACACCACCAGTCACAGCTTCTGCAGAATCTTTCAAAGACGGCGAGCTGTTGTACAGAGCTTCAGGCTCTGATCCGAGGAGCCGCCGCGAGAAGGAGCCACGAAGCCCTTACTACGAAGCTCATGCAGCATGCTTTGTCAGCCACTGATTTACAGGCCCAGATTAGGGGTAATGCGTTAAGGCAGTCCTTAGAAGACCAGCAAGCCGCTTTAATCAAGGAAGAACCAGTCATCCTAGAGCTCCAGTCTCGAGCACGAGCGGTGATTGAGCGTAGGCGCCTGAAGGCTGAACGCGAAGCTCTTCGGAGACAAGAGCCCCTCCTTGTGAACCTCCAAGCACTTGCTCGCGCGGCTATACTCCGAATTGAAGTTGGCAATATTCTTACACGACTAGAAGAACGCGAAGAAGAAATTGAGGAGCTTCAGGCGCTGGCAAGAGCGATGATGGTTCGTGTTCAAGTCGGAAACATGCTAGCGGACCTTGAGGACCGAGAAGAAATCATCGTCGATTTTCAATCTCGCATTCGGGGAATGATAATTCGGAATCGGTTCCAGGAGAGACGACGCCACTACAATGAGAACATGGAGAAAGTCATCAAGGCTCAGAGTGTTATCAGAGGTCGTATTCAGGGTCAGGCTTACAAGAGCCTGACAAGCGGCAAAAACCCTCCTGTGGGAACAGTCAAAGGTTTCGTGCATCTGCTTAATGACAGTGACTTTGACTTTGATGAGGAGATTGAATTCGAACGACTGAGAAAGGTGGTGGTTCAACAGGTGCGACAGAATGAGATGGCAGAGCAATATATCAGTCAACTGGATATCAAGATTGCACTGCTGGTCAAAAATAAAATCACGCTTGATGAAGTCGTGAAGCACCAGAAACATTTCGGCGGCCACATCGGAAACCTTCTATCCAACACCGAAATTTCCTCCAAAGACCCCTACGACCTCAAGGCTTTGAACAAGACATCCAGGAAAAAATTGGATCAATACCAGGTCTTCTTCTTCCTTCTCCAAACACAGTCGCAGTATTTGGCTCGACTTTTCCGTCGACTTCGTGAGATCAATACATCGGACAAGGAATACGAAAGAGTCCGGCACTTGATGATGGGTCTCTTTGGCTACTCCCAGAAGCGCCGTGAGGAGTATTACCTTCTCAAGTTACTTTCTCGATCGGCCAAGGAAGATATTGAGAAGTTTACCGCCCTTCCAGAATATATGCGCTCGACTCCCTTCTGGAATAAGCTCTTCGGTTCATACGCAAAGTCCCCTCGAGACCGCAAGTTTATGCGCGATGTTCTGGGACCCGTTGTACGGGAATCTGTCATCGAAAATCCAGAGCTCGATCTCGAGAGCGACCCAATCCAGATATATCGCTCATCAATCAACAATGAAGAGCTTCGCACAGGACAGCGTAGCAGACGAGAGCCAAATCTCCCCCCGCGAGGAAGCTATTCGAGATCCCGAGACCCGAGAGACATTCATTCAACATTTGCAGGACCTCCGAGACATCGCCGATCAATTCTTCGCTGCATTCGAAGACTTTCTATACCACATGCCTTTTGGTATCAGATACCTTGCCCAGCAAATGTATGAAAATCTTCTTGCGCGGTTCCCCAATGAGGATCCTGGATTCATTCTTCAAACCGTTGGGCACTGGGTGTGGAAGAACTATTTTCAGCCTGCGGTGCTTGAACCTGAGAAGTACAGTGTGGTTGATCGGGGTCTGACACAAGAGCAAAAGAGGAATTTGAGCGAGATATCCAAGGTGGTTGCCCAGGTTGCCTCGGGAAGACTCTTTGGAGCCGAGAACGTCTATCTACAACCACTCAACTCCTATATTGGCGAGTCAATACAAAGACTTGGTCAGATCTGGGGTCAGAGTAAGTTGCCGCTATTCCCGCTACCCAGGTTTCTTTTTAGCTAACTGAAGACAGTGGTTTCCGTCCAGGATGCCGAGTCATACTTTGACATCGACGAGTTCAACGACCTTTACGCCAAGGCCAAGCCTACCCTGTATATCAAGATGTCTGATATTTTCTCGATCCACCAGCTTGTAGCCTCGGAGATCGACCCCATCTGCCCACATCCTGACGACATCCTCAAACAACTCATTCGCGACCTCGGTAATGTTAAGAGCAACGAAAATGAGCTGATGGGCGTGAGCACCACTGAGATAAATCTCACCCTCAACCCTAAACTAGCCCAGGTTGAAGGTAGGAACACCAACCAGCTGACCTTACCTGCATCACTTTGCTAACTCTCATCGCAGACCCGGAAGCAAATATAAAGGCATTGTTCATGGAGACAAAACGATGTATTTTGTACATTATTCGGGTCCAGACTGGCGCCAACCTGATGGATATCATGCTCAAACAACCAAGCCCGGAGGACGAAGAACGATGGCACGCCCTCGTACGGGACGAAATCAACACGAATAATCCTCGCCGGGGTGCCTATTCCGAGGCAAGTGCATTGATCGACATCGGGTCAATGGGTTATTCCGAGCTCAAGGGCACCGCTCTTGAAAACATCCTTCGCCTCGAGCAGGCTGGCAAGATCAGTCGGCACAATCACTACCAGGACCTTCTCAACGCCATCGCAATCGACATTCGCACAAAACACCGCCGGCGAGTGCAACGAGAGCGTGAGCTAGAAGGGGCGCGCTTAACATCCACGCGTCTTAGTGATCAGGCAGTCTACCTTGATCAGCAGCTCAAAACCTACAACGACTACATTGAACAAGCGATGATCACATTGCAAAACAAAAAAGGAAAGAAGCGATTCTTGATGCCGTTCACCAAACAATGGGATCATCAGCGAGAGTTGCAGAAATCCGGCAAGGTGTTCAAGTTCGGATCATACAAGTATTCAGCTCGCACGCTGGCGGATCGAGGTGTTCTTGTTTTGTGGAAGGGTTACAACGAACGGCAATATGATCGAGTGGACTTGACGATCTCCAGTAACGAAGTAGGAGTGTTCACTATTGACGGGAGCAGTGGAAATATGATGGTACCGGGTGCCAATGCTCAAGTCCCACTGGATGACCTGCTGCAGGCACAGTTCAATAACACCCAGTTCATGGACTTCTTCGACGGACAGATGCGGGTCAATGTCAACCTCTTCTTGCACTTGATCATGAAGAAGTTCTATAATGAATGAAGATCAGGTCCAAGTTATGAAGTATGAACCGGGTGGGTATTTTTAGTAACGTTCTTCTTTTTTTTTCTTTTCACCTTCATGTTTCTTTTCTCTTGTTACAGATACCTAGGTGTCCCATCCCATTTCTCTGGACTTCATAGCGATAGCGTCTCGGTTTTGCGAGCACCCGAATGACATGTATACAATATGAGTAATCTGACTATTTCCTCTGTAATTTTTATTGGAATCCTCTCTGACGACGAGGCGGCCAACAAATGCTGTCCCAAGACGTTGAAGTATACATCAGGGGTTGACCACGTGACCGCTGTTGGATGGCGCGTGGAATCGGCCAGCTGGAGACCGGCTCCGGGGACCATCTCCCCCTCCAACCTCACGACCCCAACACTCAATCTTGGCGGGCGTGGATCGCTTCTGACTTTCTAGATATCAATTCCCCGACAGGCTCCATTGCCTTCACCCAGCGATTCTTCGGTTTTCCCTTGCGCCTGAGCCCCGGCTGGCAAGTCACCCCTCGTCATGGACATGAACAGCATCAAAGACCAGGTCAGCAACCTTACGTTGTATGACCTGAAAGCCGGTGTTCGCAAGGTGCAAAATGGTACGTCAATATACTTTCAACTCCTGCCCAAGCAATTGAAAGCCCCTGTCTGTCTCATATCCCCGATAAATTGCGCTGACCGCTCCGTCATAGCCGTCATGAACTATACCGAGATGGAATCCAAGGTTCGTACGATCACCAACCCCTCTGCGCATCAGCACTTTCGTCCAAAAAACCAATAAATCGATGCCTTCTCTCCATTGAACAGTGACTTATTCATGCCGATCAGGTCCGAGAAGCTACAAACAACGAGCCATGGGGTGCTTCGACAACGTTGATGCAAGATATTGCCAATGGAACTAACAGCTAGTCAGTCGCGCCTATTTCGCCACTATTTCTCATACCATGGTGTATATGCTGATGTTTATCCCTAGTCAATTGCTTAACGAAATCATGCCTCTGATTTACAAACGTTTCACCGATAAAGCCGCTGAGGAATGGCGGCAAATTTACAAGGTTCGAGCACAACCGCGATGTCATGAACATACACTCGAGAACATATAGCTAACTAGTTTGCGACCTCTAGAGTCTCCAGCTTCTCGAATTCCTTATCAAGAATGGATCGGAACGGGTGGTCGACGACGCGAGATCCCACATGTCCCTCCTGCGGATGCTGCGGCAGTTTCACTATATCGATATGAATGGAAAGGACCAGGGAATCAATGTGCGCAACCGCTCTTCCGAGCTGGTCAAGTTGCTGGGCGACGTTGACCAGATCCGGACCGAGCGCAAGAAGGCGCGCAGCAACCGGAACAAGTTCAGCGGATTCGAGGGTGGTATGAATGTCAGTGGAATGAATAGCGCTAGCTCCGGTCGCTATGGTGGATTTGGAAGTGACAGCGGCATGGGATACGGCGGTTACAGCGGAGGCGTCTACGGCGATGGTGGAGGTTTCGGCGGCGCATCCGGTGGTGGTGACTTCCAAGAGCCCAGCAGCGGTAGTGCCCGACGAGGTAATCGATTTGAGGAGTACGATGAATATGATGAAGGGGACGTCAGTCCACCACGCCGTGAAGCCCCGCCTGCAGCGAAGCGGGAGCCCAAGAAGCCCGAGCCGGCACCTGTGGCTGACCTGTTCGACTTCGGTGACGATGAGCCTGTGGCCCCTGCTGCGCCCGCTTCGAATGCGGCTGGCAAGCAGCCTGCTGGCAGCGGGTTGAACATGCTGGACTCGGCGCCTGTCGATGATGATGACTTCGACGACTTCCAGTCCGCAACACCAGCCCCTGTGCAAACCTCGAACCAATTCGGAATCGCGCCCCCTGCTTCCACCGGCAGCACAACCTTCAACACTCAATTCGTCGCACCCAAACCAGTGTCTGCCTCGCAGGGCGCCAACATCAATGGCTTAGTCGGCTTCACAACTCCCACTTCTACCGGTGGCTCTTTCGCCTCCCCTCCCCCGCAGGCCATGGCTGGCCAGCAAAAGGCCATGGCCGCGAAGCCAACAGGTTTCCAAGCTGCTACCCCCAACTACTTCACTTCTGTTGCGACGGGTTCTTCGCAGTCATTTGCCTCGCAGGTAACTCCATCCATCTCCTCAGGTGTGACTCCCTCGGCTGCCAGCAACAAGCCCGCAGCCAGCACCGCCTCCAAACCCTCCGGTGACGCCTTCGGTTCTCTTTGGTCCACCGCCAGCGCCAGCGCTGGTATCGCCAAGTCCAACGCCGGTGCCAACAAGGGGCCCAACCTGGCCAGTATGGCCAAAGAGAAGGCTAGTGCTGGCATTTGGGGAGCTCCGGCCTCCAACTCCGCCTCCCCTGCACCTTCGCAGCCCCAGAAAAAGCAGGGCGGCTCTGCATTCGATGATCTGCTTGGTTGATTTTACTCGGCCATCTTGGCATTTCTCATACTCCCCATTTGTCTCTTAACGGAGTATATCGATTTCATAATTTTGAATTCCATTGTCTCTACGTTGCCCCCTCTTTGTATTGCGGCTTCGCATTCCTCCATCTGTGCTTAGGTTCATCTCTGCCGTTGCTTTATCGGGCTATCTTCCGCCCTCGCAGAGCACCTTAGTTCTGAAAACCTCCTCCGTATCTTTCCCGCAAAAAGAGAATGTTGATTTGTTAGTAAATGGTACCTAGCTTACGTATAGTGCAGCCTTCCCGACGTCCTGAAGTGAAATATCGGTTCTTACGTTCCCTCTCATAGCTAGTTGGTGTCTAAAAAGACTGGCTATGTAACAAATAGAAACTACCTGTTTAATGTAACTTTGTGCTTCGAGCCTACCTGTTGCAGGGCAAGGCAAGCCTGCTAATTTGAAACCCGCATTGACGCTTGGGGACGCTTGTCAAGGCAGGCCACGGGAAATTGAAGGAATGTGAATGTCCGCTTAGTCTAAAAGAGGATGAAAAGATCTGGAAATAGTTAAATAGGAATTACGCTGATGCTAATTGATGCGAAACAACGCCTATGCTGAAGAAAGCTAGATACAAGAAGGGGGTGTCGAAGAGGGAGTAGGCAGTTGTAAACAAAACACGACAGTTGGGGGAGGGAATGGGGTGGAGAACTAAAAGACAAAGATAGTAGGTATTGATCCTTTTTCTCTTTGGGCCTTGTTCTCGGTCAGGGTTATATTGGATATAATGGCAATTCGTGGATGGGATATCAAGCGTATCAATGTGAGGTTCATTCATTCAGCGATGAATTGGAAGGTTTTGTGGAGGAGAGGGAGGAGGAGAATTGGACCGAAAAAGTGACCAGTTACGGTATTGAGAGCGAAAGGGTTCAAGACTCATTTCTCCCACGCGGTCATGGGTGCATGGAGTGAACGCTATGCCTTCTTATGGCTTGCGTTTTCATCAATAAGATGTAATGCGGGATGGTGACAAGGCAATGGATCTTCTTGCAAGGTGCCTTGGTCCAACATGTCGATGAGAGTGAGAATCCTAGCAAAGACTCATACTCAATCCGAATGTAGCTCCTATAAGACCATGATGAAAATGGCCATGTAGATGTTCGATGGCCCAAGCTCCTGGCTAAGTGGAGACATAGGTGAGAACTGACCAGGAGTTTTCAGGTCTTTGCCAGCATGCTGGAACGGTTGCCCCCACTCGATGTCTTAGATCCTGGAACAGCAACAGAATCGGGTTTATCGACGGAAATCGTCACATGGGAGTTGCCATTTGTACCGGAGTTATCATTCTGTGTAGGAGTAGAGTGGCCAGTGTTGACAGGGGTGGAATCATGACTGTCTTCACTTGTATCCATGCTGAGAGTTGCACTAGTGTCCGAAATATCTGGACCAGGCTCCCCATTCAAAGAAGTCAAGCCCCCTTCGATGTCACGAAGCAGACGTACAAATTCTTCTGGTACAAGTCCATTCTCTCCGGTCTTTGGGTCTTCTGCAACGAGCCAGCCTTGGCCGTGTCGGTATGAAACGTAGATCACCTGGCCCTCCGTGAGGGGAAGCTCATTCTCATGCTCGCGCGTGAAATCGAAAAGCGCAACCGCTTTGCCGTGCATTTCTTCATCTGGGCAGCCAACGGCAAATTGGTAATCATTCGAATACCGGTTAACGCCAGTATTGCCATCCTCGTGTGTGAATCCGGTTTCAGGTAAATATCCTTGCTGACCACCGGAATGGTACGAATGCCGTCCTTGACTAGCAGGGTATGTAATATATTCTCCGCCAGGTCCGTTTTCCATTGCATCACTGTTGTTCACATAAAACGTTTCACTGCCATCGGCATTTCTACCAACGTAGGTGCCGCGATCTAGTTCATTCGCAGTGATTTGTTCGTCGCCCTTTGAGTCGATACTGGTGGACTTTTGACGCTGACGCGAGGTGGTCACGACCGGACTGTGAAGGTCTTCATCCTCGCTGTATGGGGGCCCATCGCCGAATGACATGGCCGGAAGTTGCTGTTGTTGGCCCTGACCCTGACCTTGACCCTGGTTGTTCTCTGTGCTCCACGGGCCCGAAGACCATGGACCTCTTGACGTGTCCCATGAAGTTGGGGGGTCTGACAAGCGACGGTATTCGCTGGCAGGCGTCGAGACACCCGAAGCGTGAGGAGGAGGTCCATAATGTAGCGGGTGGATAGGCGGGTAGGCAAAGTCTCGCACCAGGGCGTATGGAAGACTGGTATGGAAGATGGGGAACACGTGGGAGCCTGGGCGTGAGCGGTTCTGGGATGTGAAGGAGAGATTCGAGTAAGTCGACAACCGATCCTTCGCACTTGGCGACGGTTTTACTGCTTCATTGGTGAGAATGGGTGGGAGGACTTGGAGGTTGCTCCCAGAGGAGTTGGCAGGCGCCGGGGATGACATCGCGCGACAGCCAATGTCCAAGGAGGACGAGGTGGATATATGAGGAGAGATCGGTTCAAGGCTAACAAGGGATGCGTGGGGTGTTCATCGGTCGCGCTTGAACTCTATTTTTGCATTGCGATTGAAGGCGCACCAACCTTGTCTCACTTTGCGATTGTAGATGTAGCGATGGTAAGCGAAGGGTCGATTCAACCGCGGATGGATATCGTAGCAGAGTGAAATCGAGATGATTTCTCTATTAATATCGGATCGCGGTTTCGGCAGGTTTCGAGTTGTCTGTATCAGGGGATCCAATGGGATGTGGGTGAGATCCCCCAGTGTGGGAGAGGGTTTCGGGAATCGGCAAACTCGCGAGGAGGGGAAAGATCGAGGAGGGGGAGATAGAGGTCGGACGAGAGGGCCGAGTCTCGGGGCCGGGGATGTGACAAGTATTGAGCTTTTTGGCAGTGAAGAAAGATCCGATCAGAGATCCAGCCTCAAGCGCGAAGGGGAGTGAAGGAGCTGTTGTTGCAGTTCCAGACGTTGTCCCGCAGTTGGTCGAAGGTACTGCTAAATATAGCAGAAACTGCACGGCAAGTGTCAGATATAGAATGCAACCTGGGCACGGCGCTTATGCGGCAAACAAGCAGACCCAGGGGAAATCGGAGGGGTTGGTCGCAACAAGCAGAGAGTATCAGGAGAGAAGGGGGGGGGGGGCTCTCTCCTCGTTTTTTTGCCCACTAGAAGGAAGATGCGCCTAGGGTCGGAATCGGGGGCCATACCTCACAAGATCCCCTCAGGGTAAATGATAAGCGCGGGCAGAAGTGGCCGGGGGGGGAGGAGGGAAGGGATTGTGGCGTTTCTTGCAGCAAATGAATATCGGAATATAAAGGGACCGAGTAGGAAACAATGGAAGATATCTGGACTCTCTGTCTCTTCCGACTCTCTCATGTCCTCATTTGACGGACTCGAGAGACTCGGGGCTCCTGTAGTGGAATTGCGATCACGTGTGTTTCATAATGTAAGCGGTTTCTGAGGCAGCCATGCCGTTTAAGATCATCCCCGATGTAGGAGCTATCCATTCCATTCCATTCTACATTTACATTTTCAGGTATTCACAGTATCACAGATCACATCACATTCAACTTGGCAGATAATAGATATTCTATTCGTAAATCCGGGGTATCTTTTTCACACTTGCACTTCCTCTTCCACTTCCACTTCTGCTCAGACTATTCTATCCACTACCCTTGGTAAGAGTTTCACTCGATTGGTCGGCGTCAACAGTCACAGTGGTATCCTGAGACACTGTCACCGTCTTGCCAACGGTATGCCATGCGGTCACGGTGGCCTTCTTGGCATCCGTACTGGATGTGACGGCGGACGACGCGCCTGTCGCGGCCGGAGCCTCCGTGGATTGCTGATCTGAAAGATTATCGAATTCTGACGGAATGGCCGCGTCGTTCAGATCCTGACCTTCGATATAGTCACCTGTCACCTGCTGCTTGTTTGCCGATGTGCCTTGCACTTCCACGTCCATACAGGTGGTGTAGATCTCCGTCTTTCCCTGTGGGTATGTTGGATCGGCACCTGGGGCGGTGGGCCAGTTCCACACCCAGTAGAGTGTGTACAGTTTGCCAGATGGGGCAGTCGTGGGGAGTTGGATATCTTGCTGACACCAAAGGTCGGCTCCTGTCAGCTGGCTGGCTTCATGTGTGTACTCCTTTTGGCGGGTCTCCGATATGTCACCGCCGTTGACTTGATAACAACGACCGTCGTCGAAATTCTGGGTAGACAAGAGCACACCTCGACCATCTCCCCCAGTGCCATCTGAAGTCCAAACCCCATACACATCTAATAACTTCTCGCCAACCTTTGGCTGTGTTGTGCCATAAACGTAAACTGTGCCACGGTTCTTTGGCTTTCCTGGTTGATTGGCGGGCAAAGTGACATGTCCATTCTCTTGGTATCGAAGTGCGATTGCTGCCCCAGCGCTGGCCTGCAGCCGGGGGCTGCCATCGGACTGGGACTGGTCTTGTTGAGTACCTTTGCAAAGCTTGTCGCTAGGTAAAAGTTGAGTCACGTTGGCTCGGGTGCTAGGAGGTATCAAGTAGGTCATGGTGGGGTCGCTGAAGCCAGATGCCGTGCGAGGATAATTTCCTCGGGCATAGCCTGGAGTGCCGATGAACGTCCCATTTGATGCAATGACAGTAAGCTGTTCCACCCAAGAATGTGCTTCGGCGTTTGTTACGAGGGCAAGAAGCGTTGCCAATGCTGGAAGGAGCATTCTGTCGAGTTTGAAGCGATCTTTGCTGGGGGGAGGTAAAGATTGTTGTAGTATCCAATGTCTTCCAAGGTTTGTATAGCTCCGTCCAGCGGTGCTGTCTTCAATTCGGCTTTTGTGGTATCTTGTTTTGGTATTTTGGGTCGATGCAAAATCTTGAAGAAGGGAAAAAATGAGGTCGTAAATATTGGAAGAGGCAAAGGAGGTTGCCTTGGCTGGGGGAGTCACTGCTACTAGTAGTAGGCCTGGAGTATTTGTACTAGGACAGTGAATGACGAGACAAAATGAAGGAGGTGACCAGTAGTAATTCACACGATATCATGCTGATACTTGGGCAACAAAGCGGGCAACAGAGTAAAGACCAAACAAATTGTTTCAGAGTGCTATTGTCCCAAGATAGCACAGGGCCTCGAAATGAGAACAAAGAGACCTCACAGTGAAGACAAATGAGATAGCCGGCTTTCATTCTTTCGTCCTCCCGTCCACGGGACCCTGTTCCAAATATATGGACGGCTGCCATTGCAAGGGAGGCTGGGCGATGCCTAATTGGCGACAAAAGCAAAGAATAATAGACCGTAGGACTATTTCGACGTCACTGCTGAAACGATGAAGCTCCACTACTATTCATACCCCATTGTACTAAGTGCCGAAGGACCAGAGGCTTAGGGGGCAATGGTTGGACGAGACGGTTGGAAAAACAACGGAGCTTGCTTCAGGTGAAGAAAATGGAGATAAATCTGGCCCTGAGACCTTCCCGTTTCTCCTGGCGCTTAGAAAGATTGACCGAAGTACCTGTGTAGCACCAGAGCCTCCTCTTCCGGGCGCGTCCATTGGCGCTCGGGGGATTAGTTAGCGCCTCGTGAATCTGCATGTTCTGCATTTAGAACATGGGGGAATCTGCAACAGCTTAACATCTTGGCATTCTAACCTTTTGAAGCTATCTTCAAGAGCGAGCCGCCCGCTCACGTGAAGAGTTGAGTGCCCAGCACCTGGGCATAGAACCTTTACTACCTAGGTACTATACTAGTAGTTACTATATACTCTGTACTTCTTCCGATCTCACTCCATAGTACTACTACTAATAGTACTTTCTTAGCCTTAGAACTTGAACGAGATTACTAGTAGAGTTGACATTGAATTTGAATGCGCAGATACTACTATGTGTACCACTACTCCTAGTGGTAGTAGTACTAGGAAGGGGCTGGTCAGTTAAAGTACTACCAGCACCCGTGGACGTCACTACGGTTTCCCTTTTGTTATTCTTTGAAGCTCACAAGACCGAAATTAATTACATAATAATAATCGACTCTAAGCTACCTGGGTAGCTAGGTAGGTGCATACAGCTGCAAAGTTTTTATGAGCTATATATGTACTCTACATAAACATGATGCCCCGGCATGTACCCGTACTAGTACGGGCCGATCCCAGCAGAACTCAGAGTAAGGGCTAGTACTACCTACCTAGGCAGTACTATGTGAGGCATGCACCTCTCAGATCCATCGTGCATTGTACTGGACTGCAGGTCGTCATCCGTCGATATTCCAGAAAATGATGCATCGGCTTTTCCTCTTCTCGAAATATTCTAGGACTCCACCGAGAGCCAACCAGCAAGTGGCTTCCTCCGAGTACGGACTTTGCATCTTATCTTGATGGAAATTTCCCCATCGTACCCTTGGCAGTCTCGGTAACCGAGTCCTATTGTGGATAGAAGCCGCGGGGCCAGCCAAAATATGCGGCGGTGATTTGGCTCGAGTTATCTGATTTTTATCTGATTTCTCCGTGCGCTCCACCGGGTGGATTCCGACCGGTCTACGAGAAACAAGGTCGAAATGGAGTCAACTAGCGGAGTCTTTCGGAAAGGACGCATCATGGCTGTGAACATGCCGCCCGAACCGAGCCATTGGCATGAGGTGAAGCTGACATGGCGGGCGAAGCGACAGTATTGATTGCAGGATCAGCAGCTGGGGACGCCCTGTATGGCGTATGGCACTGCACCCAAGCAACCCTGGAAGAGCGCAGATAAGTGGAGTCGGATCGACTGTCGGCACCCGAGTTGAACCCACACAAGTGAGTCGCGTATTTCCGAGACTTTTTCTTCACGTCAAGAAAGGCGGATGTGCTCCGAGGAGGGAAGAAAGAGAGGGGGAGGGAGAAAGAAAACATAAAGCACCATTGCGTCGATACTGGCTGATAGGGTGTGTCACTCACTACCTATACTTGTAGAGCGAGCTGCATGCATATAGTAGTGTAATACACCATGACTATTGTTTCTTCACATACTCCGTATGTACATATGTAGGTCACCTTCAAGTTGGGTAGGGAGGGGCGCTCTTTATTTTTTTTTTATTTTTACAGTAATTTTTTATCTGCTGAGTTTGCGCGTTACGCGGGCCAACGCCACCGCTTGTTCACGAAAGGAGTATTCCGAGGGCTTTCGACCGTATCAAAAAAAAAGAGAATATCCTGCTTGCATTGTAAAAGGTCACGAGGGCAGAGAACCCCTGGGTTGGGAAAGTGATTGTTATATATTGTTCGATAGTCTTTGTCGGTTATCAGTAATAGTAGTACTAACTCACGGAGTAACTATTCCTATATAACCTCACGTTGAAGACCTGGAGCAATTCCTACGACCGAAACAGCGACCCGTCAGCACAAGCCAAGCCAAACTTGCTTTGCTCGATCTCAACTTCGACGCTAAAGTAGTGGTCCCTCTCTCTCTCCACTCCTGGCTAGTGGACAGGGCTCTCTCTCTTTGACTGGTGTGGCTTGGCGACCCCCCCCGTTGTCGGCGATACTTAATTCCTTGACCCGCGGAGCTCTTGAGTATTTTGCAGCCTTCAGGGGGTCCTCGTTCTTGTTCTCCGTACTCCGAATCGGCTTGTTCCTATTCCTCTCTTCCTTTTTTGTTTTCCTTTTCTTCCCCTTTCTTTTTGGATTTCTTTGGTATGTATTACACCCCCTTTACTCATGCACCTATGTCTCCACCAATGCTGATCAATTAAAAAAAAAAGTCACCCCGAGGGAAACCGTCCCTAAAAGAACACCGCCTCGCGCCAGCCACATGCGGCCCTCGATCTAGGGACTTTTGCAATTGAAGATTCATTCCACCTCCAACCTCGAGTTTTGACCGATCGAACCACATCACGGCGGTGATTCTCGCCGGCCCTGGTCCCTGCGGACCGTTATAGCCCCCCCCCCAAACGCCTTCAACAGACGTCCACACCGCTCCCCTCATCGACTCGTCACCATGGCTTCCTCCCTCATTTCCAAGAGACTACGCTCAACCGAAGCCGACAAGGATGCTGAGCCGAGCTGGCTTCGTCGCCAAGTCACCGGTGGCCTCCAATTCATCTCTCGTCGCGCTTGCATTCACCCAATCCACACCATTGTGGTCATTGCCCTGCTCGCCAGCACCACCTATGTCGGCCTTCTCGAAGGCAGTCTGTTAGACACACGCAACTCGCGAAATGTCGCGGGCCAAGTAGATACTGAGACTCTCCTTCAAGGAAGTCGGAATTTGCGACTCGGAGAGTCCACCTCCTGGAAGTGGCAAGTCGAGGATTCTTGGGCCGACCAAAGCGTGAGCAATTTTAACCCGTGCTACAAACTTGAACCCCAAGCAAGAACTAACCCAATTTTCCACCCTGATAGCAGATTGAGACCAACGCTGCCCGCCACCTGGCTTTGACCACTTTCATTTTCCCGGATTCCACCTCCAAGTCGGCCTCGACCGCTCCTGCGGCAGACAATGTCCCTGTTCCTGGCAACGTCTCTGCTCGTTCGGTTCCCTACACGCCTAACCTGTTCTCGCCCTTCTCTCACGACTCCGCCCTCGCATACACCGTGCCCTTTGACCAGGTCTCGGAATTCCTGAGAGCCGTTCAGGAGATCCCGGACTCGTCTGCCGACGAAAAGGAGGAAGAATCCAAGAAATGGATCATGAGGGCCGCACGCGGAGCCACTGGCTCGCGTACCGCTCTCAAGATCTGGCTGACCGATGCCTGGAGCTCTTTTGTCGATATCATCAAGCACGCCGAGACAATTGACATTGTCATTATGGTCCTCGGTTACATCTCGATGCACTTAAGCTTCGTCTCGCTATTCTTCTCAATGAGACGCCTGGGCTCTAACTTCTGGCTCGCTGCCACTGTTCTCTTCTCCGGTTCCTTTGCATTCCTGTTTGGTCTCCTTGTGACTACCAAGCTCGGTGTGCCGATCAACCTGCTTCTGCTGTCTGAGGGTCTTCCTTTCCTGGTTGTCACTATTGGTTTCGAGAAGCCCATCATGTTCACTCGTGCGGTTCTCAATGCCTCCGTGGACAACCGTCGCCCCCACCCCGGTGCGGCTCCCCGGCCCCTCGCTTCCAGCACCCCCGCCTCCATTCAGGACTCTATTGCGACTGCGATCAAGCAGCAGGGCTTTGAGATTATCCAGCACTACTGCATTGAGATCGGTCTCTTGGCCATCGGTGCTGCCTCTGGCGTCCAGGGCGGTCTTCAGCAGTTCTGCTTCCTAGCGGGCTGGATCCTGTTCTTTGACTGTGTCCTCCTCTTCACCTTCTACACCACCATTCTATGCATCAAGCTCGAGATCACCCGCATCAAGCGCCATGTCGCACTGCGCAAGGCCCTAGAGGAGGATGGAATTACCCACAGCGTTGCTGAGAGCGTTGCCTCCAGTAACGATTGGCCCAACATTGGCTCTGACGGTGGTGAAGGCGATACTAGCATTTTCGGACGCAAGATCAAGTCCAGCAACGTACGCCGCTTCAAGATCCTCATGGTTGGTGGTCTTATCCTGGTCAATGTTGTCAATCTCTCGGCCATTCCCTTCCGCAACACCGGTAACGGCGCTCTGATCTCGCGACTCTCTAACGTTATGGCCCCTGCTCCTATTGACCCCTTCAAGGTCGCTGAGAATGGTCTTGACGCCATTTACGTGACTGCGAAGAGCCAGAAGCTGGAAACCATGGTCACGATCATCCCACCCATCAAGTACAAGCTTGAGTACCCGTCTGTTCACTACGCCCCGGGCGAGTCTTCTTCATTCGAAATTGAGTACACTGATCAGTTCCTCGATGCTGTTGGTGGCAAGGTCCTCGAGAGTCTCCTGAAGAGCGTCGAGGACCCCATCATTAGCAAATGGATCATCGCCGCGCTTACGCTCAGTATCATTCTCAATGGCTACCTCTTCAATGCTGCTCGCTGGAGCATCAAGGAACCCGAGACTACCCCTGCTCCTCCTCAGGAGCCGGCCGCTCCCAAGGTCTACCCTAAGTTTGAGCCCAACGAGCAAGAGTCAAACCGAACTTTCGATGAGTGCGCACTGATCCTGAAGGAGAAGCGTGCGCCTACTCTGAATGATGAGGAATTGATCACTCTTTCACTTAAGGGTAAACTCCCTGGGTATGCCCTTGAGAAGACCATGGAAGATGAGAACCTGATGAGCCGCGTCGACGCTTTCACTCGCGCCGTCAAGATCCGTCGTTCCGTCATTGCCCGCACTCCTGCTACCGCTGCAATCACTGGCTCCCTGGAGTCATCTAAGCTGCCGTTCGAAAACTACAACTATGGCCTCGTACACGGCGCTTGCTGTGAGAATGTTATTGGATATCTGCCCCTGCCTCTTGGTGTCGCTGGCCCGTTGAAGATTGACGGACAGGACTTCTTTATCCCCATGGCTACCACTGAGGGCGTTCTTGTCGCCAGTACCAGCCGTGGCTCCAAGGCCATCAACGCTGGTGGCGGTGCCACTACTGTTCTCACTGGTGATGGTATGACTCGTGGACCTTGCGTTACCTTCCCTACCTTGGCCCGGGCTGCCGCCGCCAAGGTCTGGATTGATTCCGAAGAAGGGCGTAGCATTATCACTGCTGCTTTCAACTCAACAAGTCGCTTCGCCCGTCTCCAAAGCTTGAAGACTGCGCTTGCCGGTACCTACCTCTACATTCGCTTCAAGACCACCACTGGTGACGCCATGGGTATGAACATGATCTCCAAGGGTTGTGAGAAGGCTCTCGACGTCATGTCCAAGGAATGTGGATTCGATGATATGTCCATTATCTCTCTATCTGGTAACTTCTGTACCGACAAGAAGTCCGCGGCTATCAACTGGACCGATGGTCGTGGTAAGTCCGTCGTGGCTGAGGCGATTATCCCCGGTGATGTCGTGAAGAGCGTCCTGAAGAGTGATGTCGATGCCCTTGTCGAGCTCAACGTCAGCAAGAACTTGATTGGAAGTGCCATGGCGGGTAGCTTGGGTGGTTTCAACGCTCACGCGTCGAACATTGTCTCCGCTATCTTCCTGGCTACCGGTCAGGACCCTGCTCAGAACGTGGAGAGCAGCAGTTGTATTACAACGATGAAGAAGTGAGTTTCACCCAATCAAATAACCCAACGCTATTTGTCAAGCTCCTGATACTAATGACTTCGCAACAGCAACAATGGCAACCTTCAGATTGCCGTCTCGATGCCTTCCATTGAGGTCGGCACCATCGGTGGCGGTACCATCCTTGAGGCACAATCCGCTATGCTGGATCTGCTCGGTGTTCGCGGAGCCCACCCCACCTCCCCCGGTGAGAACGCCCGCCAATTGTCCCGCATCATCGCCGCTTCCGTCCTGGCCGGAGAGCTCAGCCTGTGCGCCGCCCTCGCTGCTGGCCACCTGGTCAAGGCACACATGGCTCACAACCGCAGCGCCGCCCCTACCCGGTCTTCAACACCCGTATCTTCCGCTGTGGGCGCTGCTCGTGGCCTTTCTATGACCTCTAAATAATCGCTCGCGCGACCAGCCCTTGCTGGCCCGCGGCCAAGGGTCCCTGTATATCCCCCTCGAGACCTTTCAAATCCACTCGATACCATCTGCGGTGAAGGGGCTAGACACAGCGGACTAAACGCTTCCGTCTTCCCTGCCTCTCTCTCGTTGCATCCTGCGTCTTGATTCTCTTTCTCTCGCCACTAGGCTCTTCGGATCTTGTCATGCGAGGATCACCGGGACAACGCTGCAATGGATCATTCATGCCTGGGGGGTTATCATATATGAACCCCCCCTCGGCTTACGTCGCTAGGAGGCCCCATGTCATTGGGGTCGCCTCAAAACCGCCTCGGGCGGATATGAGCTACGCTCCTGTTCTACATTTTGTACTTAGTCTTTCGTCTCGGATAGATATGTCGGTCGATCATGACCTATGAAGCTTGTATTGTTCTTTCAGTTGATCAAGGTGTAAGCTGCTGGTAGTGCCGAAGTGACTATGGACCTTAGTGAGACTACCTAATGTAATCTAGATATGGCTTAGAAGTATTTGCCTATAACGTAGATAGGAAATCGCCCTTTATAAATTATAGGAAACTGCTATATATATGAGGATTCGAACATTTTTCATACTACTTTCAAGTTGATTATAATTCTAGAGATCAGCAACAACCACAGTAGGCTGGTTGGGTCCGACACCCAATCAGGAATAGTCTGTAACCTAATCGGGTATAGCATGTAGCCTAATCAGGCATAGTCTGCCGCGAGACTATCTACTACATACAGTCCTCTTTACTTTCTTAACTCACCCATCTAGCGATTCCTCTATCCATCTCTAAAATAAATGGAGCCCGCTCTGGAACAACTCGCCCGACCTCTGCCGACTTTAAGTCAGAATGCCGGAACACGAAATCCCTCGATCAGCGGAGAGATTCTCTCTCTCGCCTACATGCATCCGTGGACTACCTTTGCAACAGACTTGAGCCAGGTGTTCGAAGTGGCGGCGCCCCGCATTACCCATCAAGTTCGGCTTCTGGATGAAAGTGAAGTCTATACAGTCGGAAATAAATTTGGTCTCACTGGCAGATTTGTTCGAAATGTCTGCGATCCCGTCATGAAATCCTTGCAGCCACTTGAAGAGATGGAATCAATTCGATTCGGGGATTTCCAGGCCATTTCAGACTATGAGAACACTATCCCAGATGTCTGTTTTGGCCTTGTTCATAAATATCCTGAAACTACAAATGCCTATCTCGTCGGCGAGTTCAAGACCCCCCTGGAAAATTTCCCGGCGTGCACTTCTACTCGATCAACCCAACCCATCTCCTCGTCTGGAGCCCCTCATAGGTTTGCTTGCCCAAACTTCGCTCACTTTTCGCTCACATTTAAAACTTTTTCCTACAGGGCAGCTCGTATCACAAATGCGCACATGTCAAATCCGGTTCGGATTCTTGTCTACTTATGACTGGACGGTTTTCGTTCGACGTGAAGCGGATAACTCTTTCCTTCTATCACCTCCCATTGGTTACGAGGCTAGGCAGCCCTCTGTCAGGGAGTTACTGACTGCCTTCTCTCTTATGGCATTGAAAGAGCCCAAGTACGAGGAAAACCCAGAATTCCAACCAAGAAATGTAAGTATTTATTTGGGTAACTGCGAGAGATCGTAAAGTTGCTAATCAATTGGCAAGCTACGCGGCCCTCTTCCTACCCACTTTTCCTCTCGAGTCGCTGGAAATGCCGAGCGTCAAGCCCTACCGGAGCAAACTGAAGAGAACATTCCTACATCGCAGAGTATTCTCGTCGACACGGGCCGACCGAGGCCCACTGTCGTTAACTGCGTCCGACGCCTAACGGACCCGAAAAACCAGCATAGAGCCACATGGCAAGCGAATATGGATGGTTCCCCGGTCATTATCAAGTGCTGGGCACTTGACGAAGCTGAGCCGTGAGTTAGATCACTTGTATGGATTGTCATTGGACTTATTAACTAGTTATGTTTAGATGGGAACTGGAATGTGAGGTATACAATCGTATTTGTGTTGGCGGGCAGCTTAGCCGCAGGTGTTTCGCGAACTGGGTATCTAGAGGTCAAATTGTGTGTTCAAGTATATTCCCATCAGGGTATGCTCTTGTTCTTCAGGAGAGACCAGGGATCCGGCTCGATCTACTGTGGCGCCGTCTGGACGACAGAGAACGCACCCACATACAGGCTGAAATCTTTCATGGCATTCATGTTCTCCGACAGACAGGCCTCTATCTGAATGATCCCGGCCAGCACAACATCCTCTACGACCGGGGGAGTTGGGAGGTAACTATGCTTGACTTCGAAAATGTGTCGCAGCTAGAGAACTTTGGAGAATTTATATCTGATTATTTCGAGATGGAGATCATCTTTGGGGCCGATCTTAGCTTAGGACGTCCAGCTGGAGGATAGTCTGAAAATTTTAGTCTTTTATGGTTACGGAGAAGGTCAGCGCTTTCAGGTATTCTTAATTCACGGAGTCGGTTATGGGTTCAGAGACGGATATGGCGGCTAAGGGGGCGGTTATCCCTTTCAGATATCCTTAATATAACCAAATTCTCGCTTGATACTGTCTTCATGTTCTTGTCCTGCTTCTGGAATGCCGGGGTATGTGAGCGGGTATTGGTAGTGCAGTTTGACATGTTATTGTCTCAGGTCTCTGCGGGGATAGCCCGGTAGATCAATCTTGTCTGTCTCAGATGGACAGTTGAATTTCCGCGATCTGAGGCCAGGAAGAGGAAATAATACCCACAATTGATGCAGGCGGTGATCCATACTGCCGATGGGGTGGATGCATAAACGGTCATTGGCTGGGATCAGGTACGAGGACTAGCCAATACGCGATACTAGACGGTACGTACAGAGACCCGTTCGTCTGGGGGCCAGAGGGTCTAGATTTCTTAACTCCTAACCGGTTGTCGCTAGCAGTCGCTTACTAGTCGCTTGAGGGAGGGGAGGGGTTTTCCGTACAAGATCGGGGAGCCGGGAGTAACATAGGAAACTCGTGATGGTGAGCAAAGAAAGTATTAAACAAGATCAAGGAATAGAGCTAGGAAGCACAGGGGAATAAATCATCATTTCTGCAGGGATGCTGCAATGGGATGTGAGTTCAGCCCCTTGTGGCTTGTGGCTTGTGGCCTCCGGGGGGGGCTTGGCAGGGGAGTGAAACACAATACACAATACCCAATACCCAATACAGGAAATACAAGTATTGTTGATTCCATTTTGGACAGATCAGACAAAGGATTGCGCACGAGTTGCATGGTAAGATCTGGGTTCGATAGATAATTCCTTGATAAGTGCAGAGTATCATGATACACAAACAAAAAAGAAACGAAAGAAAAGTCAACATAATCCCTACGATAATAATTACTTGAAAGTGAAGGTTCCCCTTGTACGGAGTACTCATGTACCAATGAGCGGGTCTCCTGGAGCACTGGGAGAGACTTGAAGGAACTCCGGAGTCAGCGGCGAACTAGCACACTTTCTCTCCCTGCGAATAATTTCACTGTCCAGTCCATCACTCCTTAGGACGAACTCCCCTTTTTCTCTCCCTCCACTTTCGTGACTCTTTCATCCCCCGTTTATTCCTCCCACACCTGAAGTCCCTAACCGCCGCCCTCTCGTTTCAGATCCTCCCCCGGAGATAGGGACTTGTGCGGTGACTAGGGACGTGGATGCGTTCCAACCGCCTTGGCTTGGTTTGCCCTTGATTGAAAACAAAAACGAGAACGAGACTATCATTACTATCACTACCGAGATCCCCGGTCCCGACCAGCCGGAAGCTGGCCAACTATCAAAATTTCCCTTCTCGGGTCGGATATGAATGTGCCATCGGGAGCCATGTCGCCTGTCTCCGTCGATGGCAGCGACTGGTCCGGCATCAATCAGTATCAGAAGTCGGACCCGCCCTTTTCGCCAACTTTCAACTCGCGAAGCAATCTAGCCACTCCCCCTACCTCGGGCGTTCCCAGCGCACCTCTAAGTCCCAACGGCACCAGCCCAGGCAATCCTCCATCTGGGCCCTCACCCACCGGCAGCGGCAATCCGTCCCCTCCTAACTCTGTGGCTGCGAGATCCAGCGTTGGAACCCTCGGCGGAGATGGACCACGCCCTGGAGGTCGAAGACACAGACAAATGGAAGAGATTCTACACCAGCATTTTGTGACCCTACGACGATTCCTGCAGATTGCCAACCGCAATGATGCGAATAACGCCCGGTCAAATAAGGCTCGCGATAAACTCTTGCGCTTGTCTCCGACGCAGTTCCATGAACTCAGTACAGATGTCTACGATGAGTTGATACGCCGCCAGCAGGCCACGCCTCCTCCCGGACAGCCCCCCCCGACCCGATATCCCGACCTCCCTCCCTCCGCGCAAGGACTTCCACGAGAAACGCAACTCCGCGCGCCACAAGCTTGCCTCCCTCCCACCCCCGCGCTTTCGAGACTTGGCAACTGATGTCTATTACGAACTGGAGCGCCGTTTCCCTCAATTCACCGGCCGCCGCCCACCTCCAAACTTCCCACCTGATGCCCGTCGCTCTCAGTCTCGTGGTCCTCCGAGTCGCATGGGCCGGGGGTATCCATCCGGTGGCCCGCCCGGTACACCAGGTAGCCCGTTTCCTCCGCGTCAGGGTTCTTTGGGCGGCCCGCCATCTATGAACGGGGACGGCCCCTTCCCTCGATCTTTCCAAAGTAATACCATGGTTCCGAACAAAAGCACGATGGTGGAAGACAGTGATGATATGGGAGGCGAGGACGATGATGATGCTCGGAGTGACGCTTTTGCGCTGGACGCAGTCTTGAGCAGGCGAGGAACGACAACCACCTTGGGCGATAGTGAGCGACGACTATTGGTAGAAAGCCAATCACACGTCTCAGCGCTGCAGGAGAAGGTGGATAAATTGGAAGAGTTGATCCGCACAAAGGACGAGGAGCTCGCCCGATCATCAGATGCAGGACAATCTAGTGTATGTTTTCCCCTCTCCCCTCCAAGCTGATGCTGGAAAATGAACTATTCTAACACTCAAACCAGGTCTCTCATCACGAACGCGAGGAATGGGAGGATCTCCGTAATGATCTGGAAAACAAGGTTTCCCAGGCCGAAAATCTAAATAGTTCGCTCCAACTTGAACTTAGTCGAGTTCGGGAAGAGCAGGAGAGCGTGGAACGCGAACTCCGTACTCAACTGGAAGAGGCCAGTCTCAATGCAGGCGACTCTGACGTACAAGCTCGCTATGACGAATTAGAAAGTCAACACCAGAGCCTCCAGGTGAAACTGCAGCAACAACAGCAAGTGACGCAAGAGGTACGACGTGAAGCGTCTGAGTTCCTCATGGAGATGAAGACTCTTACGGCCCAAAGTCATTCCAACTACGAACGCGAGGAGCAACTATCCAATGACGTACACCGATTGGAGACAGAGATCAACGATTGGAAACACCGCTATGCAAAAGCAAAATCACAACTCCGTCATCTTCGTACTTCTTCTGGTGGCATTGATGATATTCGACCTGACGCGAGCGTCCTTGCGAAGGAGCACGAACTGGTGCAGGTTGATGGTGTGGTTAAAGATATCCATGTGACCAAGTTCCAGATGTCCATCGATGAGCTCCTCCGGATGGCCCGTGTCGAAGACTCGCAGAGTGTTTCTCGGCAAACTAAATTTGTTATTACCGCAGTCCGTCATATGATCCAGGACGTGGATCAGGCCCCTCCCCCAGTCGATGGAACGGCCACTCTGCGGCTCAAGACCAAGTCTCGAGTGGCAACCACCGCAAATAATATGATTATCGCTGCCCGCAACTTTGCCAACTCTAGCGGTCTGTCGCCAGTATCTTTGCTAGACGCTGCCGCCTCGCATCTCTGCACAGCTGTTGTGGAATTGATTCGGGTTGTGAAGATTCAAGCATCGCCTGCCGACTGGGCGGACGAGGACGACATCGATGAATCTACCGAGAAGTTCCCAGACTACTTCAGCACGAGTGCCAGCCAGCGGCCCCTCAGCAACCACTCCGAATACAGCATTTTGAGCCCTCCGGACCACGATCATCCTGCTATGCAAAACGGACTCGCCAACGGCACGGACTTTAATTATGGAGCGCCGCAGGGGGATCACGAGCTTCAAGAATTGAGATTCTACGTGGAGGATCAGACCGATAGCATGGTCCAGTCCATCCAGGCCTTGGTGGCTAGCATTCGGGCAGAACACGACATGCACACTGTTCAGACCTATGTGTCTGCCATCTCCGATATTGTCTCCCACGTCGTGTCCTCCACAGAGCATCTGGCCCGCGAACGAAGTGGCGATGTCGCCCTGCGGGAGCGGACCGAGCCAATTATCAATTCCTTGTACGAGGGTCGCGATCGACTGACGAACACGGCGGCTGCAGGCAACGACGCTACTAGCCCTGAGCACCTCCGTGAAGTGACAAACCAGCTACCTCCGATCGCCTTCGAGATCGCTCGCCAGACCAAGGAGCTTGTGCAGCGCCTTGAGTCCTTGGCAAACACTGATGACGACGAGTTTGCGTGATGACTTAGATTTCCTTTGATTCGAATCCCTTGTATAGTCGGCGGTACTCATTCTCACCGCTTGTGAATTTTACTTCCCCTACCCCTCCTCATATTTCACCATCTACCCTGGCCTCCTTTTTATCTCTCTGGCTTTTGAGCGATTCTCATCTGTGGCAACGAGCCGACAATGTCGAAATGATGTCCTGATACGCGTGGCATTCATGCTTTCCTGGTTTCTCTTTTTCTCCCCCTTCTTCTCTTCACTTCTTCAACCCTTTTCAATCATCCTATTCGTTGTATTTCTATTTCGATTTGATATCTTCTTCTATGCCCCTTTTCTGTCGTAGATCACTTTTTTTTTGAAAGTCTTCTCGACCTTACTTTTTACCTGCGTACTATACAACCCCGTGCAAATGAATTGGAAGCTAGTTCAACTCTTTATCTATCCGATCTTAGTTTATGGAGGGAGTAGAAACTGAGATGACATTGTAGCGATTTGTCCCATGCAAATAAACAAACATCTCCTACCGGCAGGGGTAAATAAAAGCGGGCTTCCCCGGAAGCTCCAGCCGATAAGACGCTGACTAAGCCTCAGAGCTCTTGAAGCTTTTCCGACGTCCAGCATTATTTTCCTCCTTGAAGCTTCTCTTAACCGTGATCATCATCATCAATTACTAAAATCTGTACGTATATCGCATCCAGGATAATCTTCTCCATGGATTGCCCTCTGTCTTCACCCACTACTGCACCGTCAATCGAAGGAACTCGCTCTGCTGGCAGATGCTGGCTCCCCTGATGGCTCGCGGAGACAAGAACGGCACACCTGGTCGCTACCCGCCCCCGAAACGGCATCCCGCTAATCCGTATCCAGACCATCCGCCTACCCCTCGCCATGTTTTCCAGCCTCAAGTCCACCCCACTCTCCGTCTTCGCTTCTCCCTGCGCTTTCCACCCTGCTGCTAGACGTACTTTCGCATCATCCGCAGCCATGGCCAACAACACCAAGGCCTTCTTCGACATCCAGTACACCGCTGTGGGCTCCAGTGCCCGTAAGTAGACCCATCCCAATACGCCATCTTCCGGGGGCTTTTCTTTCCCATTATCTCCCATATCTCCCCTTCACATTGCTCTCATTGGCCTCATATCTATGATCAATTGATCTTTCGCTTTGTTTTCACTTGTATCAGCATTGATGCTGACTTCCCACTTTAGCCAAGACCGGTCGTATCAACTTCAACCTCTACGAGAAGGACGTCCCCAAGACCGCCAAGAACTTCCGTGAGCTCTGCAAGCTCCCCCAGGGCGAGGGCTACAAGGGCTCCGTTTTCCACCGTGTCATTCCCCAGTTCATGCTCCAGGGTGGTGACTTCACCCGCCACAACGTGAGTGCTCCCGAAGGAATTTGGGCCTACGAGCGCCGCGACTAATCGAATTATTTTTTTGGCTTATAGGGTACCGGTGGTCGCTCCATCTACGGCGAGAAGTTCGCCGATGAGAACTTCATCCACAAGCACACCCGCCCCGGTCTGCTCTCCATGGCCAACGCCGGTCCTAACACGTTAGTCCCTCTTTTCGCGCCCGGCTTCTGCGCTGCTCTAGCGATACTGACCATTTTTCTCCAGCAACGGCTCCCAGTTCTTCATTACCACTGTCGTCACCTCTTGGCTCGATGGCCGCCACGTCGTCTTCGGCGAGGTCGCTGACGAGGAGTCCATGAAGGTTGTCAAGGAGATTGAGGCTCTCGGCTCTTCCTCCGGCTCCATTCGCTCTAACACCAAGCCCACCATCGTGGACTGTGGCGAGAACTAAACCGCGACACCGCGCGTGATCTACCCCCGGCCTGGCGATGAAGCTTTAGTCAGAGCGTGTATTTTTGTAACGAAAAACCTCTCTCCCTCTCTCTCCCCTTTTCTCCCGGTCGATGAAAAGAAAAGTGCGTCTGGCCGACTTCGTGTTTGGTTGTCTTCGCTACTTTTCACTTTGTAATATAGGCAGTCTACTCAGCTATTGATACATCTTCCTTGCGGCAGGGCTCTGCTTGTCCAGTTTAAAATTGTGGTGATCTCTTCGTGTGTAGTATTTAGTAGGCTGTATCAGATATGCGAATTAGAACAGTCTATCCTAAGATGGCATCTCGTAGCGCATGATAAATGTGGAAACGATGCCAAGCTTTATGTGAGTGGTTCGGGTAGACCTGACAGATGGAGCCAGCCAATCAGAGCGGACACGAGTGACTCGGTAAATAAGCAATGAGTTCGGTTCAAAAGACAAGCTTCTCCAGGATTAATGTGCGGTAACTAAGATGCTATCCAAGCTCTGACTCAAAGATACACCTTGTATGTCCTGGCCTACTTCGAGTCTCTATAGGTGGCTAACCAGAGCCAAGAAAAGGAAACAAAGAGTAGCTTGCTATCAAACAAAGGGAAAAAAGATAGGAAGGGAAAACAAAAAGAAAGAAAAAAAGAATAGATAGCACATCTTGGTTTCGATCCAAGGACCTGTGAAGGTTAGTGAATGTTAGTGAGGTTGTTGTTGGGGGAAGGTACACACCTCCGGGTTATGAGCCTCTGTTTCTTTGTTAGCGTTGGTTTCAACTGAGAGGGTCAGGTGACTTACGGCGCGCTTTCACTGCACCAACATGCTGTTGTTGAAGCAAATCTATCTGGTTGGCAATCATAGCCGAGGAATGTCTCTATAAGTGGTGAAAGATACGCAAAGGATATTTCATGAATTTGAATACGTAGATCATATGGACCCATATAGTGCATCTTAATTGGTCAAAACAACATCAAGCTCGTTTTACTGTGGACCATCCTCTGTTTATCCCCACGGTTGTATGTGCGTGCTCTTGACTATGGCACTTTCAATCAACCCAGTATTTCGATTTTATTGGCAATGATAAATTTCAAGTTCTTAATTTCTATTCCGAATCCATGGAAACCCGCTCTGAAAGTTAACTCCAACCTAAAAACTCAAGCCTTTCCACCGAACAATTTAGTAATGCGCAAATTGTTATAGTCCCAAGCCGTAATATCCTCGTACTGACACGGTGTCGCAGGCGTAATAAACTTCTTAAATGGAAATAGCGAAGCTGTGCGGTTGGGCTTAGCGAAATAAGCAATTGAGAATCGCTCAGGGATGATCTCTTCTGAGCCAACCTTGACCGTCGGAGGATACGTGACCCGATGCACCGCAGCCCGGAAAGTGTCGTTTGTCAACCGCTGCAACGAATCCCCGATGTTCAGAATAATCTCCGACTTATCCGCAGACTCTACTCCTCGGAAGGTACCCAGATTCTGTTGGTCCTCTACCTGTAGTCCACCGACCGAGTCTTGGAAGAGCATTGTGATGGTGCCAAAATCCGTGTGATCAGCAATGCGTGTTGCAGTGCCATCAGCTAATTCAGATGCAGGAATTGCTGGATAGTGAAGTAGGCGAAACTCGTTCTCGCCTTTGCCGTGTAGCATTTTCATCTCGTCCTCGGGAATTCCAAGGGCTATGGCGAGCGCGGCTAGGATTTCGAGCTCAACTTTGAAGGCACTTTCGTAGAAGCCTTCCATGAATTTTCGGAATCCGGGGAGCTTCTCCTCTGGAACCCAAATGTTGTCGACGAGGTCGTCATGTGCTGAGCCGAGATCAATGGTCTCCTGTTTGGTGCCATTAGCATACTTGGCTGGGATGGCTTTTGCTGGACAACATACTTTGATATCTCGCACTTGCTTTCCCTCGGATACACCTTTCTCATATCCGCTAATACTTCCAATTGACTCCTGTCCGACGTAGCTGTAACCGCGGTTTGGAGTCGACTCGGGAGGGTGCTTGGCGATCATCTTATCCTCCAGGGGAAGGGCAAAGAACTTTTTGGTCTAAGGAACTTTGATTAGCTTGAATTTTTTCTCGCAGATCGAAATTTACTCACATAGTCAAACATCTCCGCAATGAGTTCAGCAGGAAGACCGTGATTCTTCAACTTGGCAACGCCTCGGGTCTTCAAGGTGGCAAGCAACGCCGCCGAGACGGCTTTACTCTCCTCGGGGCTTCCCTTCAACAGAGAAAAATCGATCGCCTCGGACATTTCGTAGTTTATAGAATGAAAAAAGGTCTACCAATTGTGTTGTTGATATATTTTGTTCCCTGAAGACGTGTTCTCTCATAGATAATGAATCTTTTCTGAAGAGATGGAACGCCTATTTTATAGACCGGTCGAGCAAGAACTCCACAGATGTGAATTGTGGGGTAGCACATCATTGTAGAAAGTAATGATTAGATATGACATCCCCAGGAATCATCACTTTCCCATCTTTTAGATCATATCAAGAATTAAGGGCTTAATTACTTTCTCGAATAAGCGGCGGGATCCACTATTCCTGCCCCGATCGCTTTCCTCAACCGCGCATCTGCCAATGGAGATCCCTGGTGGACTTAATGTGGGTCCCCATCAATGGACGCCTCAATGGGAAGGTGATGATAACGAAGAACACGCCCAGATGATTAGGGTGTTTTACATCCCCTGGTTCAAGTTATGTTTGCGAAAGACTTGCGAGCAAATCCCCTCCATTTCAAGTTGCATCCTCGTCAGAGATACTACCTTGGTAGGTATTCTACACAAACAAGTGGCTCAAACAGCGGAGCCAATCCGCGAAGGAGATCCGGCTGAAATCCATTTCCAAAGCCAAAGCCTATCGTCTATCATTGGAGTTGATTAAATTTCAGATGCCAGATGGGATTTCATTGAAAGACACCAGGCCAGTATGCCTTGCGAGTCTGGTCACTGGGGCAGTACTGCATGTTCACAGATTCTGCCCCTGGATGTACGAATAATTCACCTCAGCATTGGGAACTTCATATTTTTATCCCCCTGTCCTGCAAAAAGACTGGGACAATCAATATAATGGAGAGGGGTCGATATCAGTGGGAAGCGGGGTTCTTGACTAGTTCATTTCCCAATTACCACACTATCCCGGGCGTCCGACGGCAATTTTCCAGGCTAGTCTTGCGCCGGCGTTCCTTTGCGAAATAATGGCTGCACGCACATTTCAGCTAAGCAAACAGAATGAAGGAAAAAAATATGAACGAAATACAGCGATCGCTAGGCCCTTATCTGAGACTCTTGCGAGTCGTCTCCGTGATTCTAACTGATTGGCCGCGCAGAGACTCGGCTTTGTTCAACAAGATTTCCCTAAGCACACAAATTTTAGAGCTACGTCGAATGTCCCGGGTGTTTAGCCAGTGATAATCACAGATTCCCACTCTGCTGAGTCTCCTGGCCCGCCCATTATCATTTCTTTGCTCTTCTGAGACTAGCCCATCTTGATTTGTGCACGATAGAATGGAACCGCAACCTCAGTGCATTAGCGTCGCAGCGCTGTAGTTCCGGATATAATATAATAGCAATGGGACATAAAAGGGGCCTCATGGCGTGCCAGAGTCAGCGTGCGCGGTATTTCTTTCGATCTCCCATCACCTCCTGTTCGCCATGCATTTTCTTCTGTCTATAGCGTCCTCCATACTCTACGCGTCCGTTGTACATGGAGCCATACCCCCGAAGCCCGTCCCTCCTCCATCTTCGGCAGAATTGATTGCTTTCACTGGTAATTCCACATTCGAGCAGCTAATCGATCACGAAAACCCACATCTTGGAACGTTTTCTCAGCGTTACTGGTGGAACTCGGAATGGTGGTCAGGGGAAGGTTCACCGGTAGTTCAAGCTTTCCGCCCCTTTTCTTGGACAAAGAACTTATACGAAGAGGAATAGGTTGTGCTTTTTACTCCTGGAGAGAGTGCAGCTGATGGTTATGGCGGTTACTTGACAAACAAAACCCTTACGGGTCGTCTTGCAAAGGAACTAAAAGGAGCAGTGCTAATTATCGAACGTAAGACCTGAAATATACCGAGGGCGGAATAATTGCCGAGATTAACCTATTCAGATCGTTACTGGGGTCAATCCTCACCATACGCTGATCTAACGACGGAGAATTTAAGATACCTTACATTGGCGAATTCTATTGCCGACCTCACATATTTTGCGAAAATGTGAAGCTCTCTTTCGACACTAACAGCAGTAGCAATGCTCAAAATGCGGTGGGCCTCTCAATTTGACAAAACATCGCAATTCCAAGCTAATACGGTCTCGACAGCCATGGGTCTTCAGTGGAGGATCCTATAGTGGTGCACTAGCGGCCTGGACCGAATCGACTTCCCCGGGCACTTTCTGGGCCTACCATGCATCAAGTGCGCCAGTGCAGGCTATTTATGACTTTGTACGTTCTATAATAGACCTGAAGATACGCATTGGCTAACTGGGGCAACCAGTGGGAATACTTTACTCCTGTCCAAGAAGGAATGCCACAAAATTGCAGCAAAGATATCACGAGAGTAATTGAATATGTCGACAGCATCGGAAAAACAGGGTCGAAGCATCAAGTTCAGAAGCTGAAAGATTTGTTTGGCCTTGGCGATGTTGAGCACTTTGACGATTTTGCAAGGTAAAGTTAACCCCGTTTGAACAAGAGGGATATACTGGTCACTACTGACATTTACTACCAAGTGCGCTCGAAAATGGGCCCTGGTTATGGCAATCAAATACTTTCTATACCGGCTACTCGGAATTTTATCAATTTTGCGACTATGTTGAAGTCGGTCATTGAATTGCAAACTTGACCTCATTTGGTGCTAATTTCGCTGCAGAATGTCCAAAAGGGATCCAAACGCCTCCCAGGCCCGAGTGGCGTCGGCCTGAACAAAGCCCTACATGGCTATGCCAAGTGGTTCAAAGACATTTACTTACCCGGATGTAAGTCAATTCAAGATTTGAGAGGAATGTCCAAGTATTTACGCATGGAATAAAGCATGTGACAAATATGGCTATTGGACCGATAATAGCACGACGGCATGCTACGACACCTACAATGCATCTAGTCCCATGTTCACAGATCGATCCGTCAACAACACTATCGATAGGCAATGGCAGTGGTTTCTTTGTAACGAGCCTCTTTTCTATTGGCAAGAGTAAGTTCCCTTGCGACTTCGGATACTTTTTCTTTTATCTGTAACCGAGTCTAACTATTTCCTTTCTAGTGCTGCGCCATCTGGTGCTTCAAGTCTCGTCTCTCGTACAGTCAACGCAGAGTACTGGCAAAGACAATGTCCATTGTTCTTCCCCGAGGTTAATGGCCATACTTATGGCAGCGCAAATGGAAAAACAGCATCGGATGTCAATTCATGGACCAAAGGTTGGGATTTGACCAATACCACCCGACTCATCTGGGCAAACGGGTACGTGTCCTCTCTAATCCGTAAACAAGGACCACATATCCTGATGTTATGAACAGACAATTTGATCCTTGGAGAGATTCTGGTGTATCCTCAAACTCTCGCCCGGGTGGTCCACTTCAATCAACGGCCTCCGCCCCTCTTCATGTTATTCCGGGGGGGGTTCCATTGCTCCGATCTCCTTCTCAAGAATGGTGCCGCAAACAAGGGTGTTCAAGATATTATTGACGCAGAGGTCTCTCAGATTAAAACCTGGGTGAAGGAGTACTACCATTGAAGCATATGATGTAGTAGGAGGTAGATTTACTCGAGGGGGTGTGTTTCTGGGTGGAGGGAGCCTGGTTTCGCCTAGATGGCAAGTCTCTCCGAGACCATCAACAAGTTCCGAGTATTTAACGGCCAAGTCTCCCTCCCGGAAAGCAAAGCAAAGCTCTAAATTTTTAGTTATGTTGTCTTCAATTGATTTTCTTGAATACATGTCTCACACCTTGCCCCTCCCAGAGGCAAACCCCTTCTGGACGATACCTATGATTGAACAATGACAAAAATAGAAATATTCATAATCCTACTCAACCTGGCATACCTGATGCAGAACACAAACCGCAAATGTAATATCGATGAAAGGTCATTTGACTAAATCTATCATCAAACTTCTGAAATATGGTCGGGCGTGATAACCCCGCATGTTCTCGGAATCACATCCCTTTCTTGAACAACCAGACCAGATAGCTGCGGGGCTCAGTAATTAGAGGAAAGCCAAGTAAATCACTGACATTAGAAACATCACCTTCTCTATCTGAATACAACAGTTTCAGTCGCTCGCCCGTTTTGACTTGCACTATTGACCTGCAATCCCCCAATCTTTGCGTGTTATGCAGAATCGCAGGGAACCCCAGCGGCGATCTCCAGTTACTGCCACGAGCCCCACTTTACCTCGAACGAAAGGCAAATCGCGAGCCAGACCCTTAGCTCATCGCTTGACATTCATTGATAGCCATCAAGGTGTTCGCAGGCTGAGCGCTGAAAATGCAGCGAAGCATCGCCATGCAATCTTTACAGGTTTGTTCTTGCTAGAGCATTCGGGACTTTTTTTTTTTTCAAATCCGACTGACTGCAATTAAATGAACAGAAGCCGAGCGTCGTCAGATGAGCGAGGAACTGATTGATTCTGTATATGGACGAGATACTGACCAGGTCTTATTAGACTTGGAAAGATTCGAGTTTAGCACAAATAACCTTGCGTCGTTCTCTCTGTTCCGCGGACCTTTCGGGGTTTCAAAACTCACTCATTCGCCGGAGACAGAAACCATAAGTCCTGAGGATGAAGAAGAAGAAGAAGAAGAAGAAGAAGAAGAAGAAGAAGAAGAAGAAGAAGCAATACTTCCGATTGAAGACTGGCTCATAGAGTCAAATTCCTTATCCACCCCGACAATAGAGACAGGCTACCCCGGGGTTCTCCATGATTTCGATGATCTCCTAGACAACGACTCAATATCATGGGGTCTGATACCATCAGAAATCAAAGAGAGTGAACAGTCTTTCCGGTCGCCCCAGCCGCCACTAGAAATCCTACCCATAAGTCTCAATGGAAACACAGAAGCATGGCCGCTTCTATCACACTACAGAGACAGGGTTGTTCCTTTGATATCGCCATTCGAGCATGGCCAAGAGGTCCCGTGGAAAAACCTAGTTGTTCCTTGCGCGGTCAGCACCTTTGGAGAGACGATCATTGGCGGCACTACCTCTCATGCACGCCTCGCGCTATTAAATGCTCTTCTGAGCGCTAGCTCATTTCATTTGGGTCAACATTCAGCAACGTGTATTGATCATTGGACCGAAACAGGGGATTCCTACTTGAAGCTTGCTCAGCATCATTTGATTCAATGTGTCGAGGAAGCGAATATGTCTCCACCAAGACAGAGCAAGTACAAGGAAGTCTTGATGGCATTATTAAGCCTTTCTACGGCTTACGTATGTATCGGGAGCAGATGTGATTTTAGAACCGTACGTGGAACTAATATTCAATATAGATGATAAAGGGCGACTCGGAGAAGCGCTTGTCATGCTTGATTCAAGCAGAAAGATTCATCAGTGTCAATGGATTCACACAGACTACCGTCTCCTCTAAACGGAGAGCCCTGCACCACTGTTATGCATATATGCGCATAATGGCTGAAACAACAAGTATTGACAGTTTATGTGCAAACATGGCCAGCACTAACATATCAGACGAAGACTCATCCCAAGCAGCGTTTCGAATCTACCCTGGCGTCACGTTCTCAGGCGACATCATGGCGATGGAAAAGGACCCCAATGTGGCACAGCGTGATTTGCATCTAGCAATCCCAGGTAGCTGGAGCTTGACTCTTTTTCCTGAGATGTATGGGGTTACCGAGAGCTTTTTGATGCTTCTCTCACAGGTGATACGTCTTGCCAATGAAAGAGATCTATCTATGACCGAGGATAGAACAGGGGGATTGGATCTGAAAGAATTTTGGATTCGAGCAAAAGTGTTGGAGAAGGGCATACATCTTCTTGTCTCGTCATGTCCAACAGGCAAGGTACTAGTCGACAGTTTGAGGGGCGAGAGTCAATTTGAAAGCGCGCGGGCACAGGCAATGTACACTGCCCTGCTTGTCTACTTCCATCGCCGCATATATGATCTCGATGCCGCTCTTTTACAAAGAGAAGTCGATGCGGTAGAGGATTCCTTGATAAGAGCTCAAGAGGCAGCGGATCGCCATTATGGAAGCACAGCTACTTTGATATGGCCTGCGTTTATTGCCGCTTGTGAAGCTGTTCGCCCAGAGTCAGAGTTGTTCTTTTCCTCGTGGTTTGATTCCTGTTACGCAGCAACTGGGCTCAGGGATGTGTCGCTCGCAAAGCAAGTTTTTGAAATTATATGGACTAAGAGAAGAGAGAATGGTCCTGACGGGTGCAGCTGGCCAGAAATTTTGCGAACCAACAAGATACGGCTGATGTTTATATGAAAGCCTATTTGGATAAATGATACTGTGTATTTTTTTAAAATCCGCTGGAAAAGAATAGAGATTAAGAATATTGTAGAATAAACCATTGGACTGATTGTGAAGAAAGCGTGGTCAATTGGCTTGAACGCACACATTGTAATATCGTTATTGAAACCTCAAAGGAAAACTTCCCTTAACGTGGAATAGATTAACCACAACACTTTGTTACTTGACAGGCATCATTTCTGAAAATTTGGATATTTAAATCAGCAGTTACATTTCGTACATGCATCACAAGACTGCTTCCCCGGGGACTGACTTACTGCTTGTCCGAGGACACATATTCCCATGAAAATATCAAAGACCCCAGAAATGCGCCTAGAAAGATGCAAATGATGATGTATCCGTTGTAGTACATTGCCAGCAGCATGATAATGTAGGCCACACCAAACTGAAAGGTGTGAAGCAAGGCACGTACCACTTGCTCGACGGGCGACGGACGATGGCGGACATTCTGCGAAGGTAAAGCGGGTGGTATGCGTGAGGACATAGGGATACTGTTTCCCCACTGCTGCTGGTCCACTGCTACCGGTTTGGGAGAGACAGAGAACCAGGGACTTTTATGGCTCGGGTCGAGTGGTTGGTCTGCTTGATTGGCAACGGCAGTAGCAGTGGTCTGGGGTTCACCAGAGGTATTCTCGTTTGCTGGTTCAGGAGACGGAAGAATACGATCTTGCTGGTCAACTGCGGTTCTTGATTCTTCCGCTGCTGCTTGGTGAAGGCCGTTCTCCCCTGTCTTTGGAAGCGGGCCTGCCCCAAAAGCACCGTTTTCGTGGAATTTCTTGGCCTCAGGATCCTTAGAATGTCCTTCGAGAGTAGTCTCATCCAGATACATGCGGCGTTGGCGTGCTCGGCGTATGATAAAAGAATCATATTCCCTACCCAAGCGACGGAGAGCTTCCAGGCAAAGAACGAGGCAGATGACTCCGATGCAAGAGCCAGCGAACATACCACGCGATTTGATCCGCCATGAATGCGAGAGAAAGCCTAAAGAGGAAGTATCAGGATGTATGAAGCAGTGTTACACAAGTTTATAGGGGATGACACGTACAGGCATCGATTGTGTACCAATTCCATAACATCTAAACAACGTACTGTGTCAGCAATATGTTGAGATGGTGTTCCTAAGAAAATGAATCCTGGTCAACTCACATCAATCTTGCAGGACGAGCCCCTCATGCCAGGCATTGATGGCATACCCGTCATCGCAGGCATCCCGGGAATTGACACTGTAGCATTCGAAGGATTCATACCCATGGTTGCCGGGAATGCCATTGGGAGAATTCCCGTCGGCATGGTTCCTGTTGTCTCCATGCTGAACACCGGTTGCTGATTTCAAGAACGAGCGGAGAAAGGCGAAGAAGAAACGATCGACGGTATTCCTGGTACTGCTTGACGAGCCGCGAGACTCTGGAGTGCGGACTGGAAATGGCAGAGCGTGAAAAAGAGAGAAGAGAGAAGAGAGAAGAGAGGAGGATGAGGAGGGGGAAAGGGAAGGTGGAAAGGTTACAGTGTTTGCCTCGGGGTATTGAAAGGTAACATGAGGGGAATTGAGCAGATTTCAAATAGATTTGATTTTGGCAGATAAGTAACAATGGCACGCCCATTAACGCCAACAGATGCACTGGGTATCAGTTTCACTCCCACGGTTCATCCCCGGTTCGAACCTTTGATCACGCCCTCCAACAGCTCGCGAATTTGGTTACATCCGTCCATGCCAACTGCCAGCATCGTCTCGATATACGTACAGTGAAGCTTAGAGTCCATGTTGAGCACGGCTACTTTAGTTTCTTCCTCCTCATCATCCATGTGATTCTCTCCGACGGGTACGCATGTAGTAGTACCGACGGTCAGGAATGGCAGCTCTTGCTCCTCTGGGAGTGACAGATCCAGTAACGGGTCAAGTTCGTCGTTTCGGGGATCGCGAGGTGTAGATGCGCTGCCACTCATTCCCGATGTACATCCAGTGAGTAATCCCGGCATGGGGATACCTGCATCGACCAGAGCCAGCGTGCAAGCGTTGATCGCAGCCGCCAGCAAAGATCCGTCGGCAGAGAGGACTGAAACGTGGATGCTGATTGTACTGTGCGGGTAAAGGTAGGTGTGTAGATGCGATTGGAAGGCCGCGCGCAAAGTTGTCGCAATTCGCGAGGATTGCCTGTAGAGATGTTAGCATGCGCCGGTAAAGAGTGGCGCCAGGTCCCCACGGATATGGCAACCGGCTGTGATGTTTCGAGGCGGGCAAAGGGTGTAATCACTTGTCACTGCCTCCTGCTTTCCTCCTGCGATCCACGCTAGCAAATCCAGCAACATTGACGTCCACCTCGACGATGGCACCTGCGCTGCCAGCCGCACCACTAGCCTCACCCCGACGGCCCTCGGCAGGGCCATGGACAGAGCACATAATCGCCGTGTTTCCCATTGAGAGATAGGACGAGCCAGAACTGGCCGGGTTGGTGGAGATTTGCGCTTGCAGCAAGCGGAGCTCGTTCCATCGGCGACCATCCAGGCGCAGCCGGGTCAGAGGATACGTGGTTGAGGTATCGAGAGGCATTTTGGCTAAAGCGCTCTTATATCGGAGTCGTAAAGGAATCGCAAGGCAAGCTTGTCAAGCTTTATCGGGACTTGGTGAAGTGGGATGTCAGTTGAGTCTATCGCAGTCACCTTGAGGAACTTGAAACTCACAAGGGACTGCTTTGATGATGTGCAAGTAATAACCTAGAAAATTAAGGTTAAATTACCCAATGCTGGACAGAAAGGTCGTGTGGTTGCCTTGTAGAAGACCTGAAGTTTGGTTGGAGACACAGCTTTTTTTCTCCCGCCGATCGGGAATGACGCCCTTTCCAAACCGAACTTCTCCGCCTTTGCCCTCTCCGAAAAGCCCCCCCCCAAACACCATTCGTCTTGTGCTCATGCGGAGAAGTCATTATGAATAGTCTCGCTGATACAGAGGCTATTACTATCGACTCATCCGATGACGATGATTTGGAAGTGACGCGGTATTCGCGCGCCGCTATCACAAGTATGTATGCATGGCTCCCTCGCATTCTCCACTTCACCTAGAGCTCACACCTCCAAGGCAAAAATCGCGAAGATATTAAAACCAAAGAAGATCCTCAATCTGAACCCGTAAAGGTGCAATTCGATGACAGCGATGAAGGTTTCAATGATGGCGAGGCTGCATACAAAAAGTTCAAAGACCGCAAATCTACAAAACGAAGACGGAACGCGGCTGCAACTCGCAATGCGAAGCAAAAAATCCCAAAGATGGAAGCATCTGGAGATGACGTGGTACCGAATCCATCAAAACAAGGTTCTCTATCTAGTGTAACCAAGAGATACCTACGAGAACAACACGATGTACCCTCTGAAGACGAGATGGCAGAGCCGCTTCCTGAATATCTTCGGAAACGGCGATCACAGTTCAATCGGAAAAGAGAACACCTCCAGGTGTACGGACTGAAGATTCCGCCTTCGTACGACGACGTTGAATTCTCTGATGACGAGAATCTTGAGTATCTGCAGGAGCGGCCGTTCTTCCCGGGTAGCATTCCACCCCGACCATATGAGGACATCGAGCTCCCGTGTTCCCTTGGCCTGGTTCCCGCGGCTATCGGACAGTGGCTGCGACCATACCAGGTAGATGGAGTGGCTTTCCTACATGAGATGTTTGTCTATCAAACGGGGGGTATCCTTGGTGACGACATGGGTCTGGGGAAGACGATTCAGGTCATTGCGTTCTTAACCGCGGCTTACGGCAAGACTGGCGATGAACGGGATTCCAAACGGATGCGCAAAATGCGGAGGATGGATAGTGACCCCTGGTATCCTCGCACTCTGGTTGTTTGTCCTGGGTCTTTGAAATCGAATTGGCGGGCCGAATTTAACCGATGGGGATGGTGGCATGTCGATGAGTACCACGGTCCAAACAAGGAGCTTGCCCTTGATGCTGCAAAGTCTGGGCGGGTGGAAGTTTTGATCATGACTTACGAAACCTACTCAGGAAACAAGGATTCTATCAATATGGTGGAATGGGACTGCGTGATTGCGGACGAGTGTCATAAAATCAAGGAACAAAAGGCCGGAGTGACGAAGGCCATGAACGAAATCAACGCGCTTTGCCGCATCGGACTCACCGGTACAGCCATCCAGAACCGATACGAGGAGCTTTGGACACTTCTAAACTGGGCAAATCCTGGCAAGCTTGGCCCGATGTTTGAATGGAACACATTCATCGCGGGACCTTTGAAGATTGGCCAATCGCACACAGCAACCTGGAGTCAACTCCGCAGGGCTCGAAGAACTGCGCGGATGCTTGTGAAAAATCTCTTGCCGCGATTCTTCCTACGTAGGATGAAGTCGTTGATCGCTGATCAGCTACCCAAAAAGAGCGACCGAGTGGTATTCTGCCCTCTGACAACGACACAGGCAGATGCTTATGAGAGCTTCCTGGAGAGCACCATTGTGGAGTACATTATGTACTCGACAGAACACTGCGATTGCGGCTCGGGCAAGAAATCTGGCTGGTGCTGTCGAAGAATCATTCCTGGAACAGAAAGCACCTGGCAGTCATTTGTATTTCCCGCCATAATGCTGCTGCAGAAACTCAGCAATCACCTAGCAATCCTCATGCCTCGGCAGAACGACGCTTCAGAAAAGCAAGAAAAGGAACTTGAGATGCTACAAATAGCCTTACCAGACCACTGGGAGGATCTGTATAAGTCTCGAGAATCCATTGTTAACTTTGCGAATCCCGAGTTCTGTGGCAAGTGGAAAGTCCTTCGAAAGCTGCTCAAGTTTTGGCATGCGAATGGGGATAAGGTACTGGTTTTCTCACACAGTGTCCGACTGCTGAAAATGCTACACATGCTGTTCGTTAATACAAGCTATAACGTGAAGTATTTTGACGGATCCTTATCGTACGATGAGCGCGCTAGAGTCGTGGATGAGTTCAACTCCGACCCGAAACAATTTGTCTTCCTGATTTCGACTAAGGCAGGTGGCGTCGGGCTCAACATAACATCGGCGAACAAGGTCGTTGTTGTTGACCCGAACTGGAATCCAGCGTACGACCTTCAGGCGCAAGATCGAGCCTATCGAATTGGTCAACAGCGTGATGTCGAAGTGTTCCGGCTGGTCTCTGCTGGTACAATCGAGGAAATTGTTTATGCACGACAGATCTACAAACAACAGCAGGGGGAGATCGGATATACCGCAAGCTCTGAGCGCCGCTACTTCAAGGGAATCCAGGCAAAATCCGACCAAAAAGGCGAGATATTCGGCTTGAAGAATCTGTTCAAGTATGAACATGAAATGCTTTTTCTCCGCGATATCATTAATAAGACCAAGGTAGCCGAAAGCCTTGCTGGTGTGAATGTCATGGATTTCAAATTCGAGGAGGATTTCGGTGCCGATGGTGTGCCTATAAAGGACGAAGATGACGGGATGAGCCAGCTTGCTGCTGAGATCCGTGGCGAGAAACATGATTATGATGACAATGACACCAAAGAAAAACCTACTAAAATTGACCCGATCCAGGCAATACTTGCGAACGCAGGTGTGGAATACACCCATTTGAACAACGAGGTGATAGGCCCCTCTCGAGTAGAAGAGCAACTCAGCCGTCGTGCCCAGCGTGGTCCTGACGACCCGGCAGCGGATATCCAAGTTTTTGGACACCTCGACACTCCTTTTATTGACTCGGAATGAATGGACTCGCTTGTGTTTCACGACCTCTATGACCCAAACCTTCAGCGCATCAGTATACCCTTTGCTACCCTTTTCATAGCTCCAATAACGATATTAGATTATCTACGGATAGTCTTTTCTACTTATTCATTTCTGTGTTTAGCATAGTAGAGTGAATGGATCGGTGAATTCAATGCAAGTACCAGTCCCCTTAGCTCTACCTAGGTAGTGTTGATAGAGCATGGAAATATTCTCTCTCATTTATACCTCCGCCAGCCTCATGATGACCGCGTCGTTGGCGTGGATCACATTCACTCCAGCAGCAGAAAGCTCTTCCTTTGTCTTGGACCAGTCAGCAGGGACGACGCATTTAGTCCCCTCTTCAATGAGCCAGCTTCGGAAGCCAGCCTTGACGGCATCTAGTGCCGTAGATTTCACACAGTAGTCCCCAGCCAACCCCACTACGAAGACGTCTGTTACGGCTTTAGTCCGGAGTACAGATGCGAGATCAACATCGACAGATCCCCCCGCTCCGGTTAGTCCATGGTTACCAAAGGCATCTGCAAAGGCAGAGTACATCTCGACCTGCGAGTTTTGGCCTTTGTGGACGAGCAAGTCCACGCGATTGCTCTCAACCTCTGGTATCAAAGCTGCACCATGGCTGTCTGCCGTACAGTGGATAGGCCAGAGGCGCTGTGGCTTCGTCTCAGTAAATTTTCCCGGGGCTGGGTTTTTCATCTCGATCAAGGACACAAAGGGCTTGTTATTCGGTGCAGGGTGGTTGCTGGCGAAGGAGATATGGTCTGCTGGGTGCCAGTCGAGTGTTGCAACACGCGCCACGAAGCCAGGCTTGGCGAGGAGGTCATTGATTAAAGGGGCAATGGTTCGACCATCTTGCACGGCTAGTGATCCGTTCTAATTCCCGGGTCGTAGTGGGTTTCACATCAGTAAGATCGAGCTTGGAGCTATGGCCAGTTCACTTACGGGTGGGCAGAAGTCCTCCTGCATGTCAACCACTAGGAGAGCCGGCACAAATGACATGTCTTCATCTCGTGCAAAGTCACCTGCAGCTCCAGCTCCAGCTGCAAGATCAGAGTCAGACGTCATGGCGTTATTTGTCTGGAGAGTATGAATATGAAGTACTAGGATCATAGGGTGAGCCGAGAGCCAAGACCTGGGGTGCCACAGCTTAGTCATGCCGGCGCTAAACTAAAACACGCAGAAGAACTTGCGGCCCTGCCAATTCTTCCTTCTTCCTCTCTCCTCTGCTTCTCCCAAGGGCTACGGCCCCAATTGAACTTTCACCGATTCTACAGAACATGAGCAGTAATTTCACGGTATGTTAATCTCCTCGTATCTTCCTTAAGCCCTCACCCTACCCCTTTACATGATGAACTATATTTATTGGAGCTGTCTGAGCTTCGGCACTGCGGACAAACTCTTTATACGCTTTTTTATCTGAACTTCATTCCACTACCCTCGCTTCTCTTACTGTATGCAACTCATTTTGGAACTCATGCTAATTCCAAAAAAAAAAGTCAATAACAGGAGATTGTAAACCCATACTTGAGCCTCCTTGATCCAGAGCCTGGAGCTCAAGGCAGAATCGTTCCTCTCTTTAGTCCTCTTGCTCTTTCAATTCCATAGTCTACTACTACTCTATTCCACCCACCCACCACAACCATGGCGTATGATCCTCGTCTTGTCAAGAGTGGGAGTACAACCCCCCCAAACTCCTCCCCCTCCTCCCCCACCGCCCGACTCGGCTCCCACAATGAGTGAAACCACGGACACCATCCAAAATGAGGCTCCAAAGGACTCGTGGAAGCTGAAATTCTGCACGGTCTGCGCTTCGAATAACAATCGATCGATGGAAGCCCACCTCCGCCTGTCCGGTGCTGCCGCTGCCTTCCCAGTCATCTCCTTCGGCACCGGTTCGCTTGTCCGACTCCCAGGCCCGACAATCACCCAGCCCAACGTGTACAGCTTCAATACCACCTCTTACAACCAAATGTACGAGGAGCTGCACGACAAAGATGAGCGCCTGTACCGTACCAACGGCATCCTAAACATGCTCGACCGCAACCGCAACCTGAAATGGGGCCCCGAGCGCTTCCAGGACTGGATCCCTGGCCTCCCGCGCGTCGAACACGTCTCCAAGGGTGACAAGGGCTCCCTAGGCACAGAAGCAGGCGTCGTGGACGTGATCATCACCTGTGAAGAACGCTGCTGGGACGCCGTCGTCGACGACCTCATGAACAAAGGCAACACGCTCAACCGGCCGGTGCACGTCTTCAACGTCGATATTAGGGATAATCACGAAGAAGCGTTAGTGGGCGGCAATGCCATACTGGATCTGGCCAATCGTCTCAATGAATCGGCCATTGCGCAGCGAGACCTCCATGGGCCTGGCGGATGGGAGAACGGGACTGGTGCGGCCCGTCTGAGCTTTGATGAAAGCGTTCCGGAGATCTTGGCGGATTGGCAGGAGAAGTATCCCAATCTGCCGGCGTTGTGGACTTTGGCGTGGCTATAGCGTTGTTTTGTCTGTGTCTGATACCCCCCCGGTTCTGTTTGTGGATGATGTGATTCCGAATAACCATACATCGAATGATATTACTTTTACTCTTCTACTTTCTACCTTGTAACACATACCAGGCCTCATGGATGTGACCCAGACTAGGTCTAAGCGATTAAGTCGAATAGTGATAAACCTCGACAGCATATCAGGTGACGCATAGTCAGGAGCAAAAGCGGCGCTCACCACACTACCTATAGAACTGCTCCGAGGCTTTCCGGAGTATTTAGTTATCCACGTGGAACCCTGTCAGTAATTTACAGGTACCTACTATGTATGTACCTACAAAGCTGCAGCGGGTGTGGGCGCAGGCTCGGGCTCAACCGACGTCAATCGCGGCCATGTGGATTCCGGTGATCGACAATTATTCGACATGCTGGATTGCCAACCTTTAGGGAACGTCTTCGTCCCTACGCTTCTCCCTTCTCAACCCCTCACAAGACCTCCAGTGCAGTGATTTGTTCTAAGCTTGTTCCTGTCGAGTATATCTACTCTTGTCTCCAACTACCGCAACAAAGGACCTTGAACTCCTGAGCTCCTGAACTGCAAAGTATGCCGCACGGTACGGGCGCGTCGACGCCTGCGGCGACGATCACATCGCTTGAGGGAAAGCTAATGGATACCGATATAACGGGGCCGGTGCAGTTCCTGGACAAGGACAATCACAATCACAAGTACAAGTACAATTACAATTACAACACTGCCAAGACTCTTCCCTTCTGGCTGGTCAATGTGCACCGGTCGCAATGGCCGGCCGAATGTCCCAGCTATCTACGTGATCAACCGGACAAGAACATTCGATGTCTATCAACACCTGACAAGGAGTATCGGCGACAGGACTGGGAGTTGGTGCAGGAGATAATTAGTTGAGTGAAGCTTGTTTCTTAGCTTATGCAGTCCCTGGTTAGGGCCGATTATGCTGACCAGGGCGCCTTTCCTCCCGCAGAGACGAACCGGATCGATCGATTCCAGCGTGTGCCCAGCGACCTACGAAAATATCTCGAATACACGGCTCAAATCAAGGTGGAATATGGATCGGTGATGCGGTTTGTCGTCAAGGAGCGACTTGGCTGGGGAGATGGCAATACTCAGGACCTTCAACCCAAGGGAGGTCCATTCGAATTCGAGGGTATGTTGCTTGCTGCTCTGGAGTAGTACTACTAGAATCGGAGAGGTCCGACTAGAGCTGACGAGGTGGTCAGAGGACATTAGGATTCTCTACAATGACTGGCCCTATGGGATTGACAAAGACATCATCCACCTAGTGGTATGGACCAAGTTCGAACTCGCAGATGACCCAGTCACGGGCGAATTGACGAGCCATGCGCGAGCGGCGATCGAACAATATGTTCGGACAAGATTCTACTCACGTGTGGCGGCAAAGCAAGTGGTCTGGTTCAAGAACTGGAAGTCACTCAAGTCGGTCCATGCGGTTGAACACTTCCACGTCATGCTCCATCGCCCAGATATGGCATTTGTGCGGGAGATCACCAGAGGCGATGTGCCGTTGATCGAGCGGGTGTGAGAAAGAGTTGAACGAGTGGATCAGAGTGCGCCTGCATTTGCATTTGCATTGATATCCCCCGGTCAGCCCCGCGCCAAGCCGCCCCTCATGACGATCTGAGGGGAGGAGAGGAGGCGATTGAGATGGAGGAGATGGAGGTTGAAGAGATGTGAATCATTCGAGGAGATACCCTAGGCTATAGCTAGCCTAGGGTAGGCTCCTCTATGGGTACCCTATGTATAATCCGAACTAGCCCGGAGTTTACTCTGCAAGAGACCCTGACTCTTACCCTGAACCATTCGACCCTCACTAAATAATTAAATTCCCCTCTGAACCAATGAATTGGTTCCTTTCATTCCCAACAAGTCAGAGACACCGTTCGACGTCACCAGGCTAAGCCTTTTATAATTGTACCGTATCCGTATAAGCCCCAGAATCTGCCAATTTTGACACAAAAAAACGAGGGAAATTTTTAGGGTGAGAAGGTCACATCTCTCTCGTCCTCAGCCTTCTCTTGTCCACTTGCCTTTTCTGTCATCTTTTCTTTCTTTTTCTTTTTCTTTTCTTTCTCACCTGGTTCCTATTTTCTTTTCACCTTTTATTCTTTTTACCCCAGATGCGGTGCGGTAACTCTTAAAAAGTGCCAGTCTTTTTCCCCCACACAAACAGACTACGCTTTCTGGCTTCCGAACGCAGCAATGCCGGTCCCGGGCCTCCGCCGTGCTTCTTGGGCCAGTGAGTGTTCTTGACCTCCACTCTTTTTCTTTCCTCCTTTAAACCCACCACCATGTCTGACTCCCATCAACCAGGTCGATCCTCTCATGATGATTCACCCGTCAGTGGTGAAGATGAAATCGTCGAACCTGATCAGGGAAATGGTAACCACTTCCCCCTCCTCTCCGGCCGCATCTCCGTCCCACGCCGTCATGACTCCCCCCCGCTGACAAGTTGCAGTGCTCTCCCACATTATTTCCCAACTGCGACCGGGCGCCGACTTGAGTCGAGTCGTGCTACCGACTTTTATTCTCGAGCCCCGGTCCATGCTGGAGCGCATCACCAAGTACGTCCCCGCCACTGCCACTATCGTGCCTGACGCCTCCCCCCCAAGTTGGGCATGCGCGCTGACCTTGGAATAGTTTCATGGCCCATCCCGAAACCCTCCTCCCCATGACGACGATTGAAGATCCCACCGAACGATTTATCTCGGTAGTCAAGTTCTATCTCAGTGGCTGGCACATCAAACCTCCGTACGTCCTCATTCCCCTCCCCGCTCCCCGCTTCCCACCTTTTTTTTTTTCCTTTGCTTTTTTGGAGAGGCTTTGGCCCCCCCCCCCTGTGTACAGTCGCAGACTAACAACCAGATAGAGGAGTGAAGAAACCTTTGAATCCCATTCTCGGAGAGACATTTACTAGCTACTGGGACTACCCTGATGGAACGCGCGGATACTATATCTCGGAGCAGACCTCCCACCACCCGCCCAAGTCGAGCTACTTTTTCATGGCCCCGGAGCATAACATTCGCATCGATGGCACACTGAAGCCCCGCAGCAAGTTCCTGGGTAACTCGGCTGCCAGTATGATGGAAGGAATCGCCATTCTGCGCCTGCTGAACCACGGTGAAGACAAAGAAAAAGGCGAGCGATAGTGGGTTTCCCCGCGCGGCATAGTTTCCCTTCGGCGGAAGTGCTAACCGACGTCATAGTATTTTGACGCAACCCAACATGTACGCCCGCGGTATCCTTTTTGGAAAGATGAAGTATGAGCTTGGCGATCACAGCTACGTGCGATGCCCGGAGCACGGCCTCGTGGCCGATATCGAGTTTAAGACCAAGGGCTATTTCTCCGGCACATATAATGCTATTGGAGGCACAATCAAGAACGAGAAGACAGGGGAGGTTCTATATGAGTTGTCCGGTCTATGGAATGGCGAGATGCATTTGAAGGATGTCAAAGTACGTTCTCTTCTCTTCCATCGGCTTTCTATCGGTCCTATGTACTGACAACCAGAGTAGACCCACCACAAAGAACTTCTATTCGATGCGACACACGCGAAGCACTCGAGCCCAACGGCGCGCCCTATCGAGGAACAAGGAGAACGTGAATCGCAACGTCTGTGGTTGGAAACAGTCAAGGCGATCAATTCTCGCAATCACGAAGCGGCAACGGATGAGAAGACCAAGATTGAAGACCGGCAACGAGAAGAGGCTGCCAAGCGCGCGGATGAAGGCGTCGAATGGCGGCCCCGACTATTCCGTGCCGTGGAGGGTGGACCTGGCGGTCGGGACGAGGGAGAAGAGGACCTCGACTGGATTATCAACGCCGAAGTGTAAGTTCCCGAGTGAAACCTTTTGACTGGTGGGGTTTCTTGGCTGACGTATAGCTGCAAGTGACGCGCATGATCCCGAGACCGCCAAGCAACAAATCCTCGCCATCGCGCCCATCGTCAAAGGTCAGAAACAATCAACTCAATTTCAAATCCCGCCGCATCAGCCCAAGGTTTCCCTGGCGCATCCGGTGCCCCAAAATATAGGACTCGGCAGCTAATCCCGTCACCGCAGGCTCATCGACAGGGACCCATGCTGATGGAGATCTGAACAACGTGCAGCAGAAGAGCACTCAGCTCGAGGACGTGCAAGAGGTAGTGGATGCGGAGAAGCAATGATCCAACAAGTGGCCGCGAATTTGGCTCTCTGAAAGACGCCACGGTCTTGGTCTTCAAGTTGCCTCTCCTTGATGTCAAGTTCGCCACCTGGCACTCCAACCAAACGATGTAGTCAACCTGCGCAGACTACTACCACTACCCAGCACGAGTACTCCGACGTCCGGAAGACGACGATCCATCGTCTCTCTTCTCCGTCCTCCTTCTTGATGTTCAACACAGGCGTTTCCGCGTTTTCTGGCCTACGACGCCACGTCACGCCACTGCTGGATACCCGATTTGATTTGACAAAATAAAAAGATGCAGCCAACCGACAGAAAATGAAGAAATCGAATATCTATTGACTCATATGATGCCTGGCGGAGACCTTAGGGGAGAGGTACGTAGTAATGTTCAACAGGGGGAGGGGCGTGCACTATATCGTAAAGCATGGTTTGTTTCATGGCAGAATATCCAAAGAACTCGAAAGGAAGAGTGAAGGGGGGCAAAGAACACAAACAAAATACGAATTGCATGGTTGGGAAGTGGGCAGGCATTACTCATAGATCAAAGCCAGTTCTATATACAGGGCTACTATCCAAGCGCATTTGGGCTTTTATTTCAATAAATCTCATTTCATTTCATGAATGCTTTCTTTGTATTTGTGTGGTCTTCGGTTTGTCTTTCTACAGTACAAGTACAAAGTTCGCCGCGCCCGGGATATCATGATATTAGATGGCAGACGAAACCGTGGCCATCCAAAACAACCCACCAACTCCTAACCCAAAATATTTTGTTGCAAATCCAACGCCCTGAGACCCGTACCGGAGCCAGCCCGGTAGAAGCACAATCAATGACCCACTCAGTTTGATTGATATGATCCCATCAATCCAATCCAACCTCAGTGTCATGAGTATAGCTCGCCTTTATAACCGGCTCCCCGTTCCAAGTCTCGGCGCCGGTTTGGGCGTGGAATGCCGCCCGCGGAACCAGGTACATCGTTGATAAGGTTAGCTGCAGCCAAGGCGGCCGAGCCATTGCCCTCTTGTTCTTCCATCTCCTCTTCCATCATGGCCATTTGCTCCTCGATTTCTTTCTCGGTTTCCTCTCGCAGGCCGAGGATATCTGGCGGGATGAAACTCATCTGAACGCTCGGTGCACCCTTAATGTAGCGGAGCTGTTCGTGGACAGCCTCGACCAGACCTTCGAGGTAGGGACGTGAGTTCTTGTTCTCGAGGCGCCTGATTTCGGACAGAGGGGGGAAGAGTGAGTAGTCAGGACCGAAGTGATTGCGGAACGCCACGCTCTCTGGGATCGTCGAGTCGATCACCTGGTCTGCGTCAATGAGGATGGAGGTTTCGTGTGCCCAGGCGCGAGAAACGTTGCGGGGTGTATAGCCACCGCCTCCGACAACGAGGAGGGGTAAGCCGAATGTCTTGGTGAAAGCGACGCAAGCACCGTGGGCGCGGACGTTGAGATTGAAGCAGCCGAGACGATCACATCCTAGACTGTCGGCGCCGCACTGGAGGACGATGGCGCCGGGCCGGTAGTTCTCCACGCAGGCTCCAATAACTTGGTGATATAGATCGATATAAGAGTCATCATCAATACCGTCGTTCAGCGGGACGTTGATGGAATGGTGAGCGCCCGGGTTAAGAGGATGACTCGGTCCCGTGTCCTCGAGGGCACCGGTCCCCGGGAAGAAGTTATCCTTGTCGTATTTATGAAACGAGACCGTCAGCACGCGGTCTGTGGACCAGAAGGCCTGCTCAACCCCATCACCGTGGTGAACGTCGATATCGATGTACATCACGCGCGGGTGGTGGCGCAGTAGCTGCAGGACACCCAGGACGATATCATTGACGTAGCAGAAGCCACTGGCCTCGGCTTTCTTGGCGTGGTGCAGACCACCGGACCAGTTGATCGCGATATCCGATTGATTGTTGCAGAGCTTACGCGCCGCGTCCACGGTCCCGCCCGCGTATAATGAGCAGTAGTTGTACAGCCCGTCGAAGATGGGGCAGTCGTCGCCGAAGTTGAACCGCACCACGTTCTCGCTCTGCTCGGCGCGGTCAATGTCGCCCGGCATGACCTGTCGCAGGAAATCCAGATAATCCGACTCGTGGAAATCGGCGAGCTCTTCATATGTTGCCGCGCGCGCCAGGTACAGGTCCATCGCGTGGTGCATGCCGTAGGCCATGACGAGTTGCTTAGTGAGGGTCAACCGCCATGGCTTCATGGGGTGTGACTGGCCGAAGTGATGCGACTCCACGGCAGGATTGGCGTGCCATGAAACCTGGTAGCCCTGGGGCCGCTGTACTTTGTAAAGCTGGCGTTGGTCGGTGACCTTCTGGTCGAGGCTCAGGGTCGTTGAGGGCGCGGCATACTCTTGAACGACAGAGGGGCGAGCCATCTGTGGAGAAAAGGGTGAAGGGAATCGGAGATGGACACGCTAGCCGAGGGGTGGTCGCATTTCACCGCGAAAGGTCAATTCGAGATGGTGGAGAAGTGAAATGGAATCGTCTGGGAGAGTCCCAAGGTTCCAGAAGGATGACTAAGGCGCGATCTGCGTTTTCCACCCCGCTGGCGCTGGCACTGGCACTTCCGAAGACGGCCTCATCTACTACCATACGCCATTAGCTCGCCTCGGTGTAAATACTGAGGCAATTCGCCACCTACTAGGCTACTATACACAAAAACTATTTACACCGGCCCCTGGGACGGCTGAAAAATCCCCATATGACCCTTGCAGCACAATACCAAAATAAAGGCACCCGGCGGCTGGTATTCAACTCCTTCCGCGTTTCTTGAGATGCTACCAGAAAGAAATCGGGTCACACGGCCTCGATTGGCATTTAGTTGTCTCGAGTGTAGTCGCCAGAAAAGACGCTGTGACAAGTCGAGGCCTCAGTGTACTACTTGTCTACGACTCGGTAAAATATGCGTCTATAACACGGGTACCCGTGATCCGTATACGGGTCGAGTTTCTCGAATGGGACCACAAGAAGAGACTACTATATCCTCTACCTCCCAGGACTTGACTGAGTGTGTTGATGATGATCATATACCTGCCTCCGGTAGCCACCACAATACTGATGGGGACAATCCGGCGGTGGATGTTTTCCGGGGATCAAGAACCAGAGTCGGTGCTCGAGAACGACATGTTGGGCAAGGATTCTGGGCTTTTGTAGAAGACAAAAATCTCACTGACCAATTGTCAATCCCTCGGTATCTTTTCTACAACGAGCCAGAAGGTGAACCATTTATGCCACCGTCATATATCTCGTCTTTTGCCCTGGCGAAACTCCTTACCCGGCTTCCAACCAAGCCAGTTTGCGATGCCTTGCTGCAGGCTTTTCTCGTGAGGGTATATCCTATATACCCCTTGATAAATCCTCCAACATTCATACCTCAGTATCAGCTATTCTGGCAGTTATTGTCCAGTGGTAACTCCGAGTTCCTTGCTTGTCCCAAACTGCTCGAAGATCCCACCTATGTCTGTGTTATTTGGGCCATTATGTTCGCCGGTTCATCGGCCCTTTCCTTTGCAGAATGGAATTCAGCCCCGTTCAATGATTTAGATCAGCTACAGACCATCGACCAGTTGCAGCTTGCTTGCTCTGAGAGCCTGATTGCATGCCGACATACAGATCACCCAACCCTCAATTCTTTGACGGCCTCGATAATAGCCTACCATTTTGACGTGAAGAAAGGACTCAGCAGTAGTCTTTTTGTCACGACTACCCAGCGTCTAGCCCATAGTATGGGGCTTCATCTTGATGCCTCAGATCCTCAGCTTAATTCAAGCTCGGCGGAGCATAACCGGCGTATTTGGTGGCATATAGTCTGGCTGGATTTACAAACAAGCGTTGCTACCGGTTTGCCAACGTGTTGCAGCGAGACTATGATCGAGACTTCTAGGATGATATCAGATTTAAGATACACTTCTAGCAACCTCGAATCAATGACCTCCTGCGAAATTACATCGTCTGAGGAATTCGCATCCGAAATCTCAATGATAATGATACACGCAATTGGCAAATTTCGAACAGCAAAGCTCCAACACCAGATGATCGGCCTTTTCCAAAGATCAGGGGAAATACAGGCCAGAGATATCAGGAACTTGGTCAAGTCCATGAAGGAATCGCATATTCTCATCGACGAGCTGATTGCCAAGATACCCGTACATGGAATCCCCGAGAAAGGCATGATCCCATCTTGTATGACGAATGTGTCGCCAGCTGCAAGCCCAGATCTCTACGAAGACCGTGCGAGCGAGCCTACCGTATGGAGCACCTGTGCCAGGATCGCGTTATCCTTGTACAAGCTGGAATCAGTAATAATGCTGCAACATGCCTTACTTCCAGACCTGGATTCAATGTTGGTGCCTCATTCCGCCTGGAATCGCATTATTCGACTTTGTCTCGCTTACATGCGGTGCTACTTGCAACTCTGCCAAGTACCGGCCTTCAATCCGTACTCATGGTTTTGGTCATCTTATTCCGGTCCACGTCGATGCACTTTTTTAATACTGCATTTCCTTATAAATTCCCATTCTGAGCATAGAGATAGGCAAGAAATGCTGTTCTATGTTGATGAGTTTATCACATATTGGGGCTCCGTCTCTATTCTGATACCAATACAGTGTGAATCAGCCCTACCGCCAATGAACATGTTGGCCAAGATGCGACAACAGCTTGAACAGGAAAACAACTGCAATTTTGATCAAAATGTCTCAATTAATGGCAGTATGTCTGAGAGGCGAAATGCCCCACGAGATATAGATTATCTGGAAGATCTGTTTGATAGCGAATACTGGGCTTCCCTCGCATAGATCAAAAGGAGGAATTCGATTCCCATCAGCTCGAATGCATAACACATACTAGTACTACAAATTTCCAAGGTTCATTACATGGACGGAAGCAAAGAACTAACTTGAATGTGGTACCAGTAACGCCCAACCAAATCTCAAGTCCAGGGGATATTCAAAAAAGAATCTGCCGCTAGCATACTAGTACCTACTAGTATATGTAATTTGATAGTACGTGGCTGTGGAATTCACCTATGCTTCTACCTGGGCATGCGATGCTCAAACGCCATTCGCCATTCGGGCATGCAGCAGGGCTTGTCATGATAACCATCGTGCTTTATAGATCGTTCGGCCGAGTGATGACTCATCTTTCACCTGATGCCAAGGCCTCTTAATTGCTTTGCATGCATGTCGTACAACCAAAAGTTCTTACTTTAGTAGTTTAACCTTACGGAAGACTTCACGACAAAAATGAGAAAAAGGACAGAGACAGTCTATTTGATTTCTCCCCAGTAGATGAGGAGCGCAGATGCGCAACTACCCCGCTCGGGTCTACCGCGGCCAGCGGCACCGAGGCCAGAACACTCTCCTACGTATTCGACGTTCAACACGTGGTGATTTGAGACAATGAGTCGATGGGCTCGATATCGTAATGACCTAAATATTGCCACAATGAAAAATTTCGCTTCTACTTCCGATCTTCCGACTGATATAGTTCGGCGACAGCGAGAAAAGACCGAACCATGACATAAGCCCGGTATCGGCACCGTCGGCACATCGAGGTGGAGAGCGCATCATCGCTGAACAATTCATGGTGGGGAAGGGAGGAAAAAGATTGGTGACACACGTGGGAGCTGTCTTTAAAAGGATGGAGAAGGGGGAAAAAGCCGATCGGTTCTTTATTTTAATCAATTATCACCCGCGCAACTTTTTATCGAGTCCGTTATCTATCGTTAGTGATACACGACGTCATGGCTCTTCCCTCAGCAGCGACCAATCTTCGACGAGTACTGGCAGACCCCAATGGCTTCGTCGTGGCACCAGGTGTCTATGATGGCATGTCTGCACGTATGGCACTGGCAGCGGGGTTCGATGCGCTATACATGGTAAGTCGTTGGGTGTTAGTTAATACTGATTAGCATGACTGGGCTAACAAGACAGACCGGCGCCGGCACTGCAGCTTCAGTTCACGGACAGGCAGACCTGGGCATCTGCACGTTAAACGACATGCGCAACAACGCAGAGATGCTGGCGAATCTCTCGCCCAGCACACCGCTCATCGCAGATGCCGACACCGGTTACGGCGGCCCAATTATGGTGGCCCGAACTACCGAGCAGTATGCGCGCTCGGGAGTTGCGGCTTTTCATATCGAGGACCAGGTGCAGACCAAACGCTGCGGTCACCTGTCAGGCAAGCTCCTTGTTGACCAGGAAACCTACACGACTCGAATCCGGGCGGCCGTGCAAGCCCGTCAACGACTGGGCAGCGATATTGTGGTGATTGCACGCACGGATGCATTGCAGTCGCACGGGTATGACGAGAGTCTGGCACGACTGCGGGCAGCGCGTGATGCTGGCGCCGACGTGGGTTTCCTTGAGGGAATGACGTCTCGCGAGATGGCGCGCCAGGCGGTGCAGGACCTTGCGCCGTGGCCCTTGCTGCTAAATATGGTAGAGCACGGGTCTACGCCGAACATTACGGCAGCGGAGGCGCGAGAGATTGGGTTCCGCATCATCATTTTCCCCTTTGCGACGATTGGACCTGCGCTGACGGCCATGCGCGAGGGGCTGGAGAAGTTGAAGAGAGATGGGATCCCGGGACTGGACAAGGAGTTGACGCCGCAGATGCTCTTCCGGGTCTGTGGGTTGGACCAGAGTGTGCAGTTGGACGCGGAGGCTGGCGGAAGCGCTTTCGATGGCGGCGTCGACCTGGGCAAGGACTAATCGAGGGGGCCAGGAAGCCAGGCTCGAGGCTTAGCCCGTGTTCAGGCCGATCATCAGGATGGGGTGCAGCCTTGTCGGGGGTTAGGGTGTTGAAGCCTCAGTGAATATACTCCGTAAATAGAATAACTCCACCGAGTGTATTGTGCATCATTGCTTTATTTTTAAGCAGAGAGCGTAGTGATAAACGAGGAGGAGATCTCCGGTGACTGATGGCTGATGGCTGATCTCACGCGTTTCAGAATGTCTTCGAAGGCCAGTGGGCCGCCGATCGCAGTCCGAACCACGGAACGCCCTCCCAAGCCCTCGACTAGGTTTGTGTACTCCAGTCCAATGTACATGTGTATGGGTATGTTTACTCTGTACTCCATACGGAGTACACGCTCCTAGTCCGTGGGATCGTCCCATATACAGTACATTGACATGGTAGTGCACAGCGCTAGCTGTAACAAGCCAAGTGCAGTTCAAGTTTTTCGGGACAGAAGGATTCTAAGAATTCTACTCCGTACTTCTGTGCTTCTGTAAGGAACCCGGCAAACTCCCACGCAGCCAGGGCAATGCACATTGCACCATCATTGTGGAGTGGAATTGCAAGGTTTCAGCGCCACCATGCATGAAGGAGGATGAGCGTGTGGGCCCGGAAAATTCGAGGCCAACGACTGTTTGTACCTTACAGGTCTCTCCTCGCGCACACACCCTGGCTGAGACCCAGTTACCGGTAGGGGATGGAGCCCCATGGTGCAAATCGTCTGCCGTTGGACGATCGTCCGGGCCAGACCAGGCAGACCTGTCGGATTGAACAGAGATCAGTCGTGAGCGGTGAATAGTGAGAGCTGGTGAGTTGATGAGTTGTTCGAATCGAGTTGGTCAAAAGTCGATTACCGACGTGTCACGAGTCGGTCAATGACCGCCACCAGTTCGGAGGAGCCCAAGAGATTTGGCGAATACGGAGTCCTGGGCGAAAACAAAAAGGGATTGGCATTGAGTTGTGCCTACTCGGCAGAGAGACACGACACGTAAGACAGGGGCAGGGCAGCACCGATTGGGCGGTGTGGGGAAAGAGTCAGATGTGGCGGAGGCAAGATAGATAGATTGAGGGTCTGGGAGGCGTCGAGGGTCTGAGGATCCAGGGTCTGTCAGGGTCTTTTCAGGGTCATTTCAGGGTCAAGGCCTGTATGAGAGGGAGTTCGGGAGTATCGTCAGTGGCATTCCAGCAGACGACATTCCGATGGTACACGTGTTTGGCAGAGGAGTATAGGGTATCCGAGGTGAATATTGCAGGAAAGGGGAGGCCTGATCAAGATTAAAAAACTGGGACGAAGTAGTGATACTTGGCAAGGTAGAGGCAGTCCAGCTATTGAGGAAGTACCCAGTACAAACAACACCCACATACAGTAGAACAATACTGGGCAACTGCCTCCCACGGGTCTCGGCCTAATCCACTTGCACCCAATTTCCCCCCCTTTCATCCAATCAAATCAGTCCATGAAATCAGCCATCTCAGGAACCACCTTCTTTTCACCAATCAGAGTCAAGATGCCCCTGACCCAAGAGAAAAGCAAGATGTTATTCACTCAGGTTACCCTCCCCTGAAGGGTCCTCGCCCTGGTCCCCCCCCCTCCCATAATCAAATTTTATACTAAACCCACTCCTAGCCCCATCTTTGCCCTTCCTTTACCACCCACACATTCTTTTGCAATTCTTTTCAAGAGCATTTTTGCTCTAGTCATTCATTCATCCAGTATTGCACTCTTTCTTTACCAAAAATGCATTTCAAGAACACCGCCCTTCTTGCGACGGCCCTGACCGCTGGGTCCGCTGTCGCCCGTCTTCACGGCCACGACCGCCGTCACGCCCACCCCAAGGTTGACGATGTCGAGATCCCTGCCGTTGCCGCTCCTGCTCCCACTGAGGGCCCCAAGGTCGATGTCGAGAAGCGTGGTGATGATATGGTCTATGCTACCATCGATGGTGTCCTGCAGTCCTGGATCAACAACTGGTTCGGCGAGGTCTCTGAGTCCACCTCCACCTCTACCTCTACTTCCACCTCCACCACCACCACTCCTACCGTCCAATTCACTGCCTCCCCCAGCAATGTAGAGTCGACCGTGACTCCTGTCCCTACCTCTGGCTCCGGCTCCAGCTCCAGCTCCAGCTCTGGTTCCAGCTCGGGTGGTAACTGGTATAACACTCCTTCCGATGGTCAGTATTCCAAGGCTGCTTTTGGTGGGGCCAAGGATACCTCAGGTACCGTCACCGGCAACCTGGACTGGGACTATATCGGCAACGTCGGTAGCCCCTGGGGTAGCAACATCGCCTTGATTGACGAGGCTGATGCCAGCTCGTATAAGCACGTCATCCGTTTCGAGGGTGCCCACGACGAGCCTTTCAACGTTCTATTCTGGAACACCTATGGCCCCAATGGAAAGATGGATGGTTTCTGGAAGCCCAACGCTGCTCTGACCTTTTCCCTGGCTAAGGGCGCTGTCAAGTACGTCGCCATTGACGACAACTCCCAGGGTGGCTGGGCTGCCGCTCAGGGTGATATTCCCACAACCAACTTCGGCCAGTACGCCTCCACCTGGGGTGAGTTCGACATGAGCAACGAGCGAAACAAGGGCTGGTCCGGATATGACGTTTCTTGTATCATTGCTCAGCTCAACGACCTCGATATTCTGGGTATGCGTATCTGTGACCACGCCGGAGATGACTGCTCCTACATCGGCAGCGGTCTCCTTGGTGGCCTCCTCCATGCCTACACCTCCGCCGACCAGGGTGACAAGACCCTCGCCGTCCAGAAGGCGCCCGGCCCCATCCGTCTGGTTGTCGACCTCGACTACGCCACTTAAGCGTTGTGCCGTCATATCCCTTTTGAGTTCTTTACGCACATGATTCTCACCGGAAACCTTTCGTCATATTTGACCTCAATCTTGTGTCAGTACAGGTATCATTCCCTTTTCCTGTCTCGAAGAGGGAGTGAAGCCCTGTCCACTTGTCATTTTCCGGTCTCCCGCAGACACATTTCTTTCCCTTTGATCTGATCGGGAGAACTTACATACCTTCGCGTGATCATGACCTGCGTTCTTTTGATTCGTTGTACATATACCACCTGCGCTATTAGTTCATATTGAATTTCTTTTTTTACTTCAATTCGTCGGTCTCGCAGTGATCCTCTCTTCTCCCGGTGTAAGGACTTCAAAATAGATTCTCAAGCTGTCATGGTCCCTGGCCATTGTATTGGTCTTCAGTAAGCCTGAGTGATGATATTCTCGCGCATACTTTCCATGGCCTTTCGGTATGCCATCAGATCCGAGGTAAACTTGAAGATTTGTTGGAACTTTTGTAAGTACTTCCAAAGAGGGTGCATGGCTTATATAGGTATGTATCATTCTTTGAGCTTTCAATTTTAGCGTTTGGGAGGGAGGGGGGGGAGAGTAGGACTGACTGTCTTCACAAAGAACAGACCCTGGTCAGGTACTAGTAGTACCATAGGGCGTCAAAGCAAGATTATTTGACGGAGAAAGAACAGTCATAGATAAAAGGCTGCATTCCAAGGCCCCATCTAGTAAAGGACTCCATCTGGAGTGAAACCAGTAGAGGGTATGTGCAGAGTCACACATACGGCGTGTTGCTGTCGCCACATTAGGCGACATGCAAATGTCATGTGGTTGTTGAAGTTGGAGGGGGGGGGGAACTTGGATATCGATGAATGCATTGAGAATGGATGAATTGAACTGTGAATGAAAAATACTATTCAAGAAGCAATAGCCCTCTTATATTATCTTTCTCGTGGTGCCCGGAACCGCTGAAATGAGTGTAGTATGTGTGCGGGATCCTGCAGGATGCGTCGCATACATGCACTCTAGCCGTGGGGGCCAACACTATCACACTCCCCAGCGCTTAAACGAAACAATCGGTGTTTGGGTCGGTGCACAATTATGGAGATCTCGAGGCGCCAGCAAGTGACCTCTCTGTTGTTCAGCCTCTAAAATCATCGTTCTCGCTGTTGGGCGGTGCTTTGCGAACCTGTGAGTGGTCAAGTTTCCGCTGCGCCAGACTCCCCTCTCAAGTCGCTTGTTCGAAACATGCATACGGAGTACATATGCGGCCATATCCCGATGGCCTAGCCCGGTATAATCCCTGCATTTCCATTTCGTAGTCAAAGAATAGTCTCTTGTCCCACTGTGCCTACTAGTGTCGAAAGTCCGCAGTCATAAGTGGTAGCCAAACAACGATGACAAGCGGGGCTAAATGAACGTCGTGCGAGGTCCACTAAAATTAGTATTGCATTTTACCATGCTCGCCCTCAGCCTGCGTTTATAGAGATCTTTTTACTGGACATGGAAATCGACCAGGGGCTCTGATGGGCCACTGTATGCCGCCATACCCACTTCGCGTGCATTAAACCCTTGAACCCTGTGAAATCCGAGGCAGACTTTGCATCAAGTATGATGATGGAGGAGGGGAACTGACTGTCCCAGATATTCTATGTCAAATATTTCCTCTTTTCCTATATTTCTTGTCTACGAGTTGCAGCTGGCCTGCCACGCGTTTGACCATGTTACCCAGACAATATACCCTAAGCGAAGACCGACATATTCTTAGCCAAAGATCTAATTTATTTTCTCATCAAGTCCGTCCAAGTCGGTCTTCCTCCAGAGAAGGAAGCAGCGAGGAAGATGTTTCGAGTATTAGCGATATCAGCGAGGTTCTACACGAGCCAGAGGACCCTCCTGACTACCACGAAGAGAAGTTGCCCTCAGGCGATACAAAGAGCTGGGTACCCTATACTTTCTCGCGTCCTTTTTTTGCCATTTTAAGCTTCATCTCTTTTGGACTTTGCCTTGTGGTCTTTTTGCTATGGTGGAGGTCTTCGACAAATTACGGTCTAGGTGCCGATGATGGATCATCTACGCTACTGTTCGGATGGCGGTACAGTCCGACTATGATCGCAGTTATTTACGTTCAAATGACAACTGTTCTCTTCGAGGACGTCAAACGCACGGAGCCATATGCTCGGTTGGCACGGCCAAATGGAGCAGAGGCAAAGTCGAGTATCCTCAAGTCGCCGGGCGCCTGGTGGAACGCATTATACGATGGTTTCGCTAAGAAAAGAAATGGCTCACGCAGTGTCATCTTGATATGTGCGTCATTTCTTAATATATTCGGCTTTTTGGCCATTTCGCCGCTCTCGTCCGCTATTCTTTTCTCTGAAGACTTGGTGGTGCCCAAATCCATTGAGTTCACGAGCTTGACGCCGGTAGAAAAATCGCCTTTGCCTATTGACGCGGACCGAACGACGCACTTTCGTACGATTGCAAATTTACTCCAAAATGTATCGACCTCGCCGTGGATTACGGATGAATATACGATTCTCCCCTTCTGGCCAGCCGATATGCAAGATGCCCCGATTACCTCCTTGCCCACTAGCTCCTCGCAGACATGGGAAGCAGAGACAACCATGTTCAAGAGCCATATGAACTGTACACAAATGTCAATGGACCGACAAAAGGATACAAGTGTGAAGTACACAAAGGATGGTGGAAGACTCCCGTCTATATCGACAACCTGGTCCTCTCCTGATGGTTGTGAATATGGCCTCTCGGTCGAAAACTCCTTTAAGTCTGGCGGCAGTTGGTCTGATGCTTCTACATTCTATAATGGCATGTACTCATCTATTTTCCGGGCGAACAGCACCCCCCCAGTGTCAGAATCGAGATATCATCATCTTGGTTGACTCTTCAAAGGCCACAAATGGGAATTTCACCGCGCACCTATGTGACAGCAAATATTACATGGCGAACATTACAGCAAAGGTCGCTCTTGACGGCGATGAGCCAGATGTTTCCTATGATGAGACTGAATTCGAAAAAAAGAAACTCACGATCCCGGATGATATTCTGAACACAACTCTCTTCCGAGATCTCACCTTGAATGCCGATTGGAAAACTTACATGGTCTCAATTTTCTACTCTGACAACAAGAATTTTGGGGGTCCTGCTATCTTACTGGGAGCTCTGTACGATTACAACGTGACTTCCATAGTCAACGATTGGAATTGGATTCAGTCAGCAGCGAAAGCAAAACAACGATTTTTTGGTGAAGTATTACAGGCAGCTTTGACTCGCCAAGGGGCTTCTCAATACAGCCCCATCCGGGGCTACATTCATGATATCGAACCTCGAGTGGTGATACAAGCTGGGCCAGCTATAGCTCTGGGGATCTTACTCGCGGTTTCATTTTTTCTCATACTTTCTGTCTGGTGGTTTTCTCGACTACGACTTCGACCACTGCATTTGGTGGAAGATCCAGCATCTACTATAGGCACAGCCCGCCTGATTACGCAAACTCGAGCTAATTGTGGTTTTCAAAGCTTCAGACAGCCATCTGAAAAAGAACTACATGAAAAACTCACAGGACAGTGGTTTGTCACGGATACTCGGGGCCTTTCGCGAACCAGTACCAACGACATTATCGGCCACGAGTCTTCTCAGTCGGAAAATGGAACACCGAAGTTATTTCGACTTCCTGCACTTATTTCCCTTGCCACTGTCCTCATAGTGGGGGTGATAGGTATTTCTGTTCTTTATCATTTTGCGGAGACCTCGGGGCTATATGAAAAGGCATTTGTCTATCAGGTACATGTTTCTTTCATTAATAACGGCCTGTCGTCGGTGGCACCATTTGCAATGATTCCTACCATTATCGCGACTGCGATTGGGCTCTGGTGGAGCGCAATGGATGACAATTTTCGTCGGCTGCAACCATTTCTTGCAATGTCCAAAGGAAATCCCCAAGTTTTAAAAGGAGCAGGTCTCTCTTACCGGTCTTCTTTTTGGCTCTGGGCATGTACAAAGGCTGCTCTAAACAAACATTGGCTTCTGGCATTTCTCACCCTTGGAAGTTCTCTTTCACCTGTTTGTAGGTTAAGGTTCAAATATGTCGAGATGTATGAAGTATGCTAATTTTGAGATTACCTCTAGTCACAACTACGATGTCCGCCCTGTTTGATCGGGGACCGGGAATCGTATCTCAGCCAGTCACTCTTAACCGTACACTAGAGCTCCGTGAAATTCCATTTGTCTTTCATGCAAACCAATCTCTCTATCCGGGTAGTTTGAACGATTACGCAGCCGGGATCATTGCAGATCTTTACAGCAATCTTTCGACTCATTGGATGTATACCGCAACAGTCCAGCTCACGCTGGATGGATCTCAGCCTGCATGGAGTAAGGATGGTTGGAGCTTTGTACCAGCTAAGATGGATGGTCTTCGCAATGCTCAGCTGCCAAATGACCTCGACAAATCCGAGAAAACCGTTGACGGGGCCCAGTCTAATGTCTCATTTAGCACACCTGCCATGCGAGGCCGAATTGAGTGCAGCCAGCTCCCGATACAAGCTATGAAGAATCTTTCAAACTGGCTCACTTACAGGGACTTCCAAAATGAAACTATATGGAACAAATCTACCATACCCGAAGACCTCACAGGAGGCTTCGAATTAGGACAAACATGGGCTAATAGGGACTTCCCCACCGCAATCACACCTTTCACATCCCCTACCAACCTAACGGATTGTCTTGGATGTACAACTGTGTTCGCCAATCCGAGTGAAATACAATGCTGTGGCAACAGCAGTAGCAGTACCTGGGATCCAAGCGTGGTAGTCGGGTACTGGTCGCCAAACGCAAACCCCAATGCATGGAACACAAGATCGTGGCAGCAAAATTTCACAGCCAAGTTCTTCCACGGTGGCACAGTGACCGGAATTAAAAGCAACACCAATCTTAAAACCCCTGACGACCAATCTGTTGGCATGGTATTTCCAAATCCACCCTCCGCATCGTTCCTGACCTGCAGGCCACTGGTCGAATCTGCTACTGCGGAGATCACAGTCAACCCCGAGAATGGTGTTATACAAAGCTTCAATATCACAGACACTCCCAAAGAACGACAAAATGCGTTTTCAGACAACTTCTTGCCACACAACAAAACCCACGCAAGTTCAGAAACTGGTTATATGACATACAATGTCACAGTGAGGTAGGTCAAGGTTATACCCCATCAATACCTCCAGGAAACCCTTTGACTGACCAACGAATAAAGCTACGGTCGACTGTTCATGGCGTCTATGTTAACCGCTGCCGACACGATCAACCTGAAAGGTGCCCTTCATGGCACAGGCTATACACTTGAAGACCTCAACGACAACACATACAACATCCGGGACACAATCAACGGCCTAAACATGGACTTCATGACATATTCCATGTATTCCATGGCTGGAAAAGATCCAACAAAACTCCTCGATCCAGATACATTCTACCACCTCGCACAGAAAACATTCTCCACATTCTTCCAACATTTCGTCAGCAATGAGATATCGATGGAAACGGGCAGTTGGGGCTATCAAAAAATCAATGCCAGTCTTCCAGATGAGCTTGGCCCAGCTCTCGAGCTTGTCAACGGGTACCTTCCCGGCAAAACAGCCACTGAATATCAGGATGTTATGCAGCCTATCTCCCATACAAACCGCACGGTAGAAGCTCTCCTCGCCCGCCGTGTGGAGTTCCTCCAGATGAATGGTGTCGCAGTCTGGCTCAGTATCAGCATAATGGCTTGGTTGATCATAACGACAGTTGTAGTAGCGGTGCTACAGAAGCGCTATTTCGGCAGTCTCGTTCGGAATGTGGAATGCCTCGGCGACGTCTTGGTCCTGATAGCCGGCAGCGCAAACCTCCTCCAGGTTGTGCGGGAAATCCAAGCCGGTAGACTTTCACCGGAAATTTATGAGCACCTTCGAACTAAACTGGGCTGGTTCGTCGACGAGGATGGCGGGGTGCGATGGGGAATTGAGATGGAGGAAAGTTATGGAGAGGGAGCTAGGGTACATTGGATTTCTGCTCCCCATTTCTCAAAGAAGAAGGGTACTAGAATATGGAATCTTCGTGACGAGGAGAGAGATTTATAGACCATATAATGAGATTTGGGGGTTGAAGTACATATTGCTTCTGTCACCGCATAGCATACAATGCTCGAGTTAAGATAATGAAATGTCTATGATACAGGTTTTGGGATCTGTTGGGTGAGATACATCCTCCAATCCGCATTCAACCTCAGGTTCCACTTGGTTCGTCCAACAGCGCTTACACGAAAAAATGGTGGTTTTGCTGTCTGCAGGATTTCTGCAGTATCGAGAACATCCAACAGCGCTTACGGCCCCTTCACATTAGCCCTATACCCGTTTCAATACCCAGGCGCTAACTATACAACTCTAGCTCTGTGACAGGACAGCTACCCCCACTTGGTCGACTTGGATCGGCCTGGCCTCTGCCGGCTCGATTGTTTCTCCCAACGCACTAGTGCAAGAACTGTCACACTTTTGTCCCATTTGTTATTTTGAATGTACTTTTGCTATGTTTGGCGCCCAGATGCACCTCATTTGAGACGATCTGCCAGCGTCTCGGCTCGAGAAGCAAATGAGAAGTTTGATGATCCTTGCAAGTGGGGGTTGACTAAACAATGTACGAAACCATGTCGCTTGTTGCTGATCGTTTCTTAGATTATCTCTGCTATGCATGAAGTCTTATTATCCGCCTAATCTATTTTCTGCCTGTGTCATGTTGCATTGTATGGGGCACTGTGCATCGCCAGCGTATGTTTCCTGCAGGTATCCCTGCTGCGGTTGCGTCGAAAACCGCATCGACTTATAAGATATTACGGGGCGCGTCTTATTTTGTAACTCCAAGGTGTTTGATTCTGATATACGATGAGACTGCTGGCCAATCTCTAACATCCTTCCAATATGAACACAACACAATACAATGCGTCCGAAGATCGTTCCATACTCGGCATCGGCTCTTTCTTTTCTAAATTTGTTCGCCCAAGTCGCTCCCACTCCTGTGAAGTCGACGAGAACGATAGAGAGTGTTTTTCCAGTCAAAGTCATAACAGCGAATATACCATCTCTCATTCAGACCCTCCCAGCTATAAGAGTACCGAAGACGCAAAGATGGCGAGCTGCCAGTGGATGCCATACACGTTCAGGCCCTACTTTATTGGTCTTTTGAGTCTTGTCGCCCTCGGCCTCTGTCTGGTTACATTTTTACTTTGGTGGAAGTCGTCAAATAATTATGGACTCGGGCCGGATAATGGCTCCTCTTCTCTACTGCTTGGCTGGAGATACAGTCCAACAATGATCGCCGTGATCTATATTCAATTGACCGCCATGCTTTTTGACGACGTCAAGCGAACGGAACCCTATGCTCGTCTAGCCCGAACTGAGGGGTCAAAGGCCTCATCGAGTATTCTTCAGACCCCCGGGCCATGGTGGGTTGCGATATACGACGGATTTGCCAAGAAGAGGAATGGCAGGCGCAGCGAGGTCCTGATATTCGCATCCTTATTGAATATTCTGGGGATCTTGGCGATTTCGCCACTTTCATCCGCCTATCTATATTCTGAAGATTTGGTCGTACCGCACAGCCAAGAGTTCTATCGCCTTTCTCCTATAACAGAATCTCCACTTCCCATCGGTGCAGATCGCTCTACCCACTTTCGAGCAATATCCAACTTGCTGCAAAATGTCTCAACATCACCCTGGATTACGAACAATTATACTATCTTGCCATTCTGGCCAACTACCCTACACGATAGCCACCTAGACTCCTTGCCTTCCGATTCATCCCAGAAATGGCAAGCAGAGACGACGATGTTTAAAAGCGAGCTCAGTTGCACTAAAATGAAGGTTGATTCACAAGTTTCTGGAAATTGGTCCTACAATCCTAGGATGGAGAAAGTTGAGTCTATCGCTATCGATTGGTTATCCTCAGATGGGTGCAAATATGGTATCAAAGCCAAGGAGGCCTTTTTCAAGACTGGTGGGTGCAGCTGGTCCAATACATCTGCATTCTTCTATGGTCAAGGTGCCATAATCCCTTCAGAAAAGTCAGCATCTTCTACTTCCTCAATTGAATGCAAAAATCGAGAAGTCATCGTTGCAACAGAGCCGTGGACAGATACGAGTGGCTCGTACGTGGCACATCTTTGCGAAACGAGATACTACATGGCAAACATAACGGCAACCGTTGCGTTATCCGGAATGGACCCGGAGATATCCTTCGATGAGAGCGAGTTTCAACGTAATAAAGCTCTTCTTCCAGAGACTCTTGTCAACACAACTGATTTTCAAGATCTGATGTTGAATGAAGATTGGGCAAGTTACATGGTTTCCATCCTTCGGGCAGATACTGCAATGATGGGAGGGGGCGCAGTCCTCCTTGGAGCCCTCTACTACTACAATACATCGAACTTGGTTCATGACCCCGACTTGGTCCTATCAGCAGGAAGCGCTAAGCAGAGGTACTTTGGTGAAGTATTACAGGCATCTCTTGACCAGGGAAAGCTTCGCAACAGGTTTCTCTGCAAGGCTCGATCCATTCCGTTCAGACCCGAGTAGTTGTTCAGGCTGGTCCTGCAATTGCACTTGGGGTTCTTTTTGCTATTTCATTCATCCTTTTGCTTTCTATCTGGTTTTTTTCACGATTGCAGCAAAGACCCTTAAACCTGAACAAAGACCCTGCAACAACTACAGGTATTGCCTATCTCATTGCTCAAAGCCGGGGTATCCAGTCGATCTTCTCTATGTTCAAGCAGCCGTCAACAAATAATCTTCAAGCAAACTTGGCAGGAGAGTATTTCTATACGGACTCTCGAGGTCTCTTCAGGACCTACCCAGTAGAGCGACCGAAGCTTAATACGACACAGTCGGAAAATGGAACTCCGATGCTTCTCCGGCTGCCCGCTCTGCTCGGACTGTCTCTTTCACTCGTGCTAGTGGTGGTTGGTGTCTCTGTTCTTTACCATTATGCAGACAGCGCCGTCTTATATGGAAAGGCTTTTGTTTATCAAATCCAGCTTTCTGTATTCAACAGTGGCATGTCATCCGTCGCGCCCTTCTCTATGATTCCAACTATAATTGCGGTTGGAATCGGTCTTTGGTGGAGTGCAATCGATGACAACTTCCGTCGCCTTCAGCCTTTTCTGTCAATGGCCCGAGGAAGCCCACCTTTTCAAAAGGGTGTCGACTTGTCCTATCAGACTTGTTATTGGTTTTGGGCCGCTGGCAAGGCGGCATCTAACAAACACTGGCTTCTTTTGATTGTTACATTAGGAACGACGTTATCCCCTGTCTGTAAGTAATATCATTTATAGCGATATGAAATCCGTGGGACTCTAATGCTCTATATAGACACGACTGCTATGTCAGCGTTATTCGAAAGGAGCAATGGCAACATTATGCAGCCTATCACACTTCATCGCGAGCTTGAACTACGACAGATACCTCTTGTTTATGGAACACAGCAGGCAATCTACCCCGGTGATTCAAACGACTATGCCAGTCCAATTCTTGCTGGACTCTTCAACAACATCTCTTCTTATTTTATGTATACCGCTACCATTCAGCTAACCTTGAATGGCTCTGAGCCCGCATGGAGTAAGGATGGCTGGAGCTTCGTCCCAGTGGATCTCAGCAATGTCACAGCCACAAGATCCCTATCAAGTATTGGGGCCAACAAGGCTGATAGCTTGGGTGGGGGATCCCAAACAAATATTACGTTTGATACGCCTGCTATTCGAGGCCGAATCGAATGCAGCCCCCACCCAACAAAGGCCTTCCTGAATATGACCAATTGGCTCACACCAACGGATCTCACCAACTACACAATATGGGACAAGAGCACAATACCTGAGGGTGTTCAGGGAGGGTTCCAACTCGGTGCCTCTTGGGACACTCAAGGCTTCCCTAGCACTATTTACCCTCTGTCACCCGGTCAGAATTATACCTCCTGCCCTGGATGTACCCCTGTGTTTGCAAATCCCTCTTCTATTATCTGCTGTGGTAATGGCAGTACAGATTCTAGACAGGGAAATGTAGCAGTAGGATATTGGTCACCAAACGGTGTTCCATCAACTTGGACGCCTCGCAACTGGAGCAGGAACTTCACTACTAAATGGTTCTATGGAAACGCGGTGACAGGCATCGAGAAGACCAGTACCTCATCCGCAGAAAGAGATGTTGGACTTTTGTTCCTTCAGCCGCCCTCGATGTCCATGCTAAACTGCAAACCGATTACCGAAACCGCCAATGCAAGAGTCACTGTTAACCCATCCAATGGTGCAATTCAATCATACGACATCACAGATCAACCTGAAATTGACCCCAAAGACTTCTCTGACAATTTTCTGCCACACAACAAGTCGATTACTCACCTGCGAGATGGGGTCAAATGGTACAATGTTACACTCAGGTAAGCCATTTCTAAAGTATTTTACTCCCACCAGCCTTGGAAAGACTAAAGAATTTCTTCAATCAGTTACGGCCGATTATTCACGACAGCAATCATGACAGCAGCGGATCTTATGAATATCGCGGGTTCCACTCATGTAACCGGATACACTACAGAAGATCTCGACGACAATACCTATACCATTCGAGATGAAATGAATGGCCTAAACATGGACTTCATGACATACTCCATGTATTCAATGGCCGGCAAAGACCCCAAAGCTCTTCTCGACCCGGATACATTTTTGCGACTGGCCCAAAAGACATACACCACCTTTTTCCAACACTACGTCAGCAACAATGTCTCTATGCAAACCGGTGGTTGGGCATATCAAAAGATCAACGCAAGTCTGCCTAGCGGAATAGGTCCCGCTGTTCAATTGGAGTATAATTACCTTCCCGGCACCAAGGCCACGGCTTATCAAGATGAGATGTATCCTATCTCTTATACAAATCGCACCATCGAAGCGTATATATCCCAACGCGTGGAGCTTCTCCAGATGAACGCTGTTGCGGTCTGGCTCAGTATCGGTATAATGGCTTGGTTGATCATAACAACTATTGTAGTAGCGATGCTACAGAAGCGCTATTTTAGCAGTCTCGTTCGGAATGTGGAAAGCCTCGGTGACGTCTTGGTCCTGATAGCCGGCAGCACAAACCTCCTCCAGGTTGTACGGGAAATCCAAGCCGGTAGACTTTCACCGGAAATTTATGAGCACCTTCGAACTAAACTGGGCTGGTTCGTCGACGAGGATGGCGGGGTACGATGGGGAATTGAGATGGAGGAAAGTTATGGAGAGGGAGCTGGGGTACATTGGATTTCTGCTCCCCATTTCTCAAAGAAGGGCACTAAAACATGGAATCTTCGTGACGAGGAGAGAGATTTATAAACCATATAATGAGATTTGGGGGTGGAAGTACATATTGCTTCTGTTACCGCATAGCATACAATGCTCGAGTCAAGATAATGAAATGTCTATGATACAGTTTTTGGGATCTGTTGCCCTCGCTTGAAGTAGGAAATAGTCGAACACGCCGTTGATGAAATGATACCAGTAAAGTGCTGGCGATCCCTTTTTTGCTTAGATTCCGAGGAAATCAGCCGCCGTTGGGTACGCAACCTCGCCGTTTTCCTCTTCCATGTCCTCTTCCTCCTCTTCTTCTGAGCCAAAGGACACTAGACCAACCTGCAATACATAACCGACCGTGAGAGCAACAGCACCCACCACCGTGGCGACGGAGAGATACATGTCCTTCTTGCTAGCATCAGCGTGCATGTTTAGAACGTGCTTTTCTCTAGCCGAAAGTTCAGAATCCTCCGATTGAGCTACCTTCTTAAGCCCGTTGTTCTTGCGGATTTCACGCAGAAAAGGGGTCGAATCTGCCAGAGTAGAGAGAAGGGTCGTGCCGACCGCCGCGACAGAGATGCGCCCTGGAGTCCGCCAAGAAATCGGCGACTCGGGCGCTGACTCGGGCGCAAATGCATGGGCGATGTCGATCGGGGCATCGCCGAAGCACCGTCGCCGCAAGCGCTCTGTGTATGCCGAGAGCAGTGGAGCCTTGGCACGCATCGCATCCCGAAGCCATGGGAAGCTCATCTCTGGTACGAGCGCCAACGACAGATACCCGAGCGCGATGCAGTCAATGCCAGACGGGGTGCCCTCGTCTTCGGCGGTCAGAAGGTATGCTTTACGGCCCAGCATGGCCTCGAGAGGCTCAAAAAACTCCGCCGTCAGCGCCTCGATGCGGAAGTGATTTGACTGTGCCGTGCGGCCCAGGAAGCTCGACACGGTATCGCGGGGTCGCTGGATCAGGTTCTTTGGGATCTTTCCAGCGGTCACGGCGGCGCTGTGATCGCGCTGCCGTTGGTCCTCCATAGCTTGCAGGTCAAGCGACGAGAGACCCAGATGCTCGGTACGGGCTTTGGCGGCACCATGCAGCTTTGGTGGCAGGATCCATTGGTTCGGCCACTGGAGAAGGCTTCCGTATGCAGGCGAGGTATTTCCGTAATAATTCTGGCTGGTGACGTACAGGTAGAGGTCGACAAGGGACTGGCCGCGGGATTCGATGAAGGAGGAGAAGCTGCAACAGCGGCACAGGTCAGTCAGCTGCTTCGTTTCACAGGTCAGACCATTGGTGGGTTGACATACGCGACATTATCAGCACGGGATGTCTCATCCAGTTGTTTATCCAAATCCCAGGCTCCGTTCGAGTGTTTCCGGAGGTAGTCCACGATACTGCGGAATCGGCTCACCCATACCGCACCGTTTTGGAGGGCCGGGAGCTCACCTAATTTGCAGAGAAAAATAGCCGGATCAGCTCATGGTGTACTTTTATCTTGCGCCTCCTTGCTAGCTTCGGGTGGCCGGATGTGCGCATCACGTCACTTACCAGTAGGGGACACGGAGGGATCACTGCTGGCGACCACCTCCCAGGAGTCCTTCGGGAGGGCTAAGGAGCAATAGGCGATAGCTGCGAGACATTGCGCATCGATTGAGGGCAAACCGAAAGCCGGCCCCCACACATGTAATTGCAGCACCATTGTGTTTGCGCGTGGAGGTAGAAAGGCGAGCGCGGGCAAGTTGGGGTGGATGATCACGTGCAGATGATCTAACTATACAACAATGCCTGTTTGACGGGATTCGTGGATGAACTCCAACTAGTCATAAAGGAGCTCGGATCGTGGGATGGCAATTCTTGATTTGATTCTGACCGTTACAGTTGAAACAAAAGCGCTGGGTCAGATCGCAGGCTGGCCAATATGCAACGTTACCTGATGTTTCGAATTTGATACAAATGCATTGGTAGTTCCTAGTAACTCGGTAGTATGTACATCAACTACTAACCAACTAACTATTTGGCCCGTTTTGAATAGATCAGACGGTAATCAATGAGAATACTCTATATAATCGTGAAAATGAATCCGGTTTCAGAGCGATTCATCTATGGCCCCCGAGCATATTCAACGCCTAAACAAGAAATCCATGGCTCCCAAGTCACGAGAGTTTCAGTCTCCTCGTATTCTACCTGAGACACTCTACCGCATGATCTGGCCCTTTCCCACGTTTCGCATCGCAACATCGCAACATCTCGCCATTTCGCAAAGACAAAAACATCAAAACACCCCCTCTTCAAGATGACGATGCCACTGACTCACATCTGTCATCTCACCCCTGCAGATACATTCGACACAGCCGCGATAAGAGCGGCTCACCGTGATCTCAGCTTACACGTGGCCGTGGCTGCGCAAGAGCCCCTTCGTAGCTGAAAATGCATGGATGAGATGCTGAAAATAGCTCTCGAAAAGAGGAGTCGTGGTCAAGTCCGAGGTCCCTTTCGGCCGCCAACCCGGTTTCCAACCCTGCGGGGCAACACTTCGGCCCCAAGAACCCAAAGACAATAGAAAGCGGGGGCTCATTAAAGTCGTTGTGAAATCAGATGCGATGAAGAAACGCAATGATGACGCCAAGTCCAAAAATAATGGACCAACGACTAACCCGAACGTCAGCACGCTTGTTCTTGGTCCCTTATCCACGGTACCTGTGCGGTCTGTACTCACCTCACTCCCTCCGCAGCCACCTTGAGGCAGTACCTGGCGATGCTACCCGGATGATATATCTCATCAGGCTAACAACGTCCAAGTCGAGGGGAGCGGTGGACCCAAAAGGCACTCACTTCCCCCCAATCGCAGTGTATCCCAGCTACCTGGACACGCACCGTAGGGCGAATCCCGCCGAGCGCTCGGACAACACCGTCGTCACCTTGTCACTCATTCCCTGCCTGATTCTCTAGCTCTGCAAGACACAGGTGGGGCCATATCTGTTAGTCTGCCAGATTATCGATTTGCGCATACCTGGGGTACGCCGGCGCCATGCGGCCATGCACGCCGATAGAAGAGGGACCGGTTGAAAGCGAATCCTTTTGCCTAGCGTTATTGTACGCAGGCACGCAAAACACACCCCGCTCTGTTATTCGTCGCACTAGACTAACGCCATGGGCGAATGTTCATCGTGCATTCATATCTTCCTTGGCTATTATGTTCCGAAGATTGACATACTGTAATCTCGGTTGGATGTGATCCAGTCATGCACCTAAGATGTACATCCTGCATTGGTGCCTATCTGCACGAGCGGGATGCTCGATAAGATGCCAACTAGTGGCTGTGGTTGATTGATGGCCGTTGCAAACAGGGTACGGAGTACGGAGTACATAGTCCATGATTCATCATCTATAAGGTCAATGTCGAGGTATCCACTCCGAAATTAGCCCCGTCTGTGCTGGCAAGGTCAAAGTCGTTTTCACCGGGAGAGACAAAAATGGCCGTGCGAACCTCAATAGCCAAGCTGGACATGTATCCATGCTACACCGGACGTATGCATTATGGCGGCGAAATGCTAGTGAAACGAGCCGGCGGGGCGCGGTGTTTCATCGGGTACTACGGCGCTATTCCATAATGGATATTCCTCAGGGATTTTTGTCTGGGGTTGGAGATTATGCACGACATAGAATGATGATAAGACAAATTGGCTCTGCTGGGGTATATTAAGTCTATGATACATGCCGGTGATTCAGATTCGGCCCAATGCATGAGGCTAAAGAACAAAGGAAAAATAAAAGACAACAAAAACGGCAAACGGGCCGAAATGAGTATTACAAAAGATTGAAACAGTCGATGTGACCGGACAGAACGACATGCAAACAATGTAGAGGAAAGATAATAATCGAGAGAGAAAAAAAAAAAAAAAAAAAGAAAGAGAAATGCGTAAGGTGCGGAGATCAAGGCCCAGCTGATCATGGCGAGACAAGGGCCGCGGGTGGGTTGCAAGCCTGCAGAGCCAATTGCTGCGGCCGCTAGAAGTCGAGTGCGTCTGTTCTCCGCATCGTGCCAAAGGGCTGAATTCGAGATTCAACGGTAAATTGGCCCCCGCACGAAGTAGTCAGGTCGGTCGCAAATGGTGAAACACGGACCGGCGAGAAAACAGGAAAAGTGAAATGAAGAAGAAAACCAGTAACGAAGTTGGTCAAAATAAAAAAAAAAGATTGGCTAAAGATGCAAGAGGTCGAGGACCCCAGGGCGCCGGCGCTCTGGGCCCCCCATCGCAATGACCGTAAGATTGAGAAAGTGAGAATGTAAAAGGTTATTCTCCACGCTTCCTCTTCCCCGCCGGTATTGAGGGCGTGCTGTAGGGGAAGAGGGTCCGGAGTCCGCGTGTCGTAAGGTGTCTTATCAGGAGATCTTACTGCGGCCGGATGATCCGGGTGGTTTGGAGAGGGTGGGATTAATAGAGTTATCCGAGTCGAGAACAAAGAATCGTGTGCGGAGTAGCCGAAACCAGATCGAGATCGAGGTCATTTCATATCCATGCCGAGGAGAGGCTCAGGTCGTGAGCGCATTTGGTAGAGCCAGAATGCGCCAGAGTCATCACAGTCATTTGGAAGAGCTGTTTATTTCGGCAGAGGAGGGAGAGGGCCCTTTGGAGGAGGTCCAGGGCAAGGAGGGAACTGAGAGGAACCGACGGAAGGCATCTTGGATGGAGTGGTGGTGGTAGTGGTGAGAGTGGTGAGAATGTAGTGGTAGTGGTTGTTATTGTTGATATTGTGGTGGGTGGTAGGAAGGCTCAGGTAGTAGAGGTGTGTAGTAGAGGTGTGTGTGTGAGTGTGTACTTGGAATAATAGTAGACGATGATGTTGGTGAACCGAATTTGAGAAAAAAAGCAAGTCGAGGAGCACGAGCGTTACTTATAAGCCAGAATGGATCTCCCAAGCCCCAGTCACCTTACAGTCGGACCTAATTTACGTTAGTGCAGCTACTAAGTCTCCCCCATCGAGCATCCCTGCCATGAACAGGAGGCTGAGTACCCACCTGATCTGACGTAGGAATTATTGCGATTTACTTTAGCGCGTCGGGGGGGGGGGGAGATGAATAATGCTGCCCTAACCGGAAATCCAATGGAAATTCCCTAGTTTTTCTAGAAGCTCCCCACCTGAATTCCCGTGTGGCGCTGCTCTGTCTCTGGTGAACCAGGAGAAAGGGGAATGGTGAGACACCAGTCCCGTCCAGTTTCCAATCTTACCGCCATGCACCAATTTCCAGCTACTTTGCTCTCTATCTGACAGACAGTATGTACTCTACATGAGGGCTACTACTACTACACACTCTCCGTTTGTCGGAGGGGTTTCACGGGACGTTCGCCCGAATAATTATGAAACCCACACGAGGTGACAACTGGTAATGGGCAATCTCCCGTGGCTCCACCTCTGACTCCATCGGGACGGTTCCTCGATGCGGTGAGCGTGCGAAAATGGAGATTCTTTTCTTGATTATTTTCTATCTGTTTTAAAAAAAGAAATAAAATAGGTCATTCGAGTCGAGCTGTACAACCTCAGCAGAGAGTTATTTTCATGACCAGGCCCAAGCGGTACTTTGTAGAGGAATACGGGAAAAGAAAGGTGAATCAATGAAAGTACTTATAACTCGACCGAAAGGGGCCAAACCCAGGAACCAGGGTCCAACCAGTGAGCTCACATGTATGGTCGATCGGTGGGAAATCAACACAAAGGTTAAGAAGACCAAAACTCAACCGAAAAAAAAAAAGAAATTGGACAAAAAAAGAAATTAAGAAAAGGAAAGAAGTGGAATATCCCCATATAGTCGACCCATCAAGTTAGGGCCGGGTTTACACCGATCTTGTCGTATCATGACAGCCCGCCCAAGATGCCGGGATTCTCAGCACAGAGCAGGAAAAGGATCAGGATGATCAGGATAGCTGTTCGTGGCGCAGGCTCTCTCGTAAGCCTGCTGATTCGATAGCGAGAAATTTAACTCTCAACCCGGGTGCTTGGGAACAGAAAATCACAAGATATGACTGACACGTCAACCGAATGTATGTATCTGCCTTCAGGAGAAGTGTTCAGATAACCGTCCACGTCCGGAGTGGACTTCCATCCCAGTGGTTCATTTTCTCTTTGCATTTTGTTTTTTTTTTATTTCTTTTTTTCCCCTCTCTCTCTTTGACCTTGCTTTTTTGCCTCCCCCTGAGGCTAGGGACTAAAATAGTCAAGGGGGGGTTCAAACTGACCCATCCACGTACCGTGGGTCGTACCCGTGGAAGGCCGCGCTGGCAAATGACCTGGTGAATATTATTAAAGATGGAGTACTCCATATATTCTTGCCACGGGTACCTGAAGCTAAACCCTCTGGGACGATAGTACGGAGTACAGTAGAGACTAAGGTACCACTCTTTGGCAAGCGAAGATTTTGCCTCCCGGGGAATTTATTTTTTAAAATGGGTCTTATCGGTGGGTTACAAATAGAATGCGTCCTAATGCGGACCCGAAATTGAGTCGTCGCTACTATGCAACGCTAAAACGCTACACACACACACACACACACACACACACACACGACCGGAGAACAGAGCCGAGTCACCTCCGCTATGGCTCAAATGGGATATGAGATCATCTCGTTTCTGCAGCATTGCATTAGTGGCGGGGGGAGCAGAGGGGAAGGGACAGTGCATTGCATTGCACATCCTCATTAAT